GGGGTTTTACTTATACAAATTGGGTATTATTTATAGGAACAAAAAGTGAAAGGTTTTAGGTATGGCAAATTGAATTTAAAGGGTGTAAGCCAAATTTACTATAATAAAATACATGTTCTTCGTCCCGTAACTTACGTTGCCTTAACAAATAAATACAAGTATAAAGCATTTGTCACCTTGTACTACGCTAGCAAAGTGTTAAGAAAAAGCTTGAAAAGTCAAACAGAGTGTAAATTCCTTACTTACAACCTTTGTTCATTATAAATAAAAAAAAAAAAAAAAAAAAAAAAAAAAAAACAACAATTTTGCACAAAAAACACCAAGAGCCTGTCGGTTTGTTTTTGTTTTCGTTAGATTCTTGAAGAGAGTACCTCGGAGGAGTTATATTATACGAAAACAAAACCTCATCAACAACTATATATAAAAAAACAATGTCCCCTCTCCAGATCTGGGATATACTCGTTTCATGCTGCGCATGTTCATGCCCAATATTATTATTGGATTAACAAAATGTACCAACAGGCGGACTCAGAAATTTTTTAGCAAAGGTGCAATATTGACTAAGTATGAAAAATGATTTTTTGAATAATCATTTTCTCAAGATAAACTTTTGGCGGCTTTTATTCCTTACACCTCAAATAAGAAAACTTGATTTTATGGATTTTAGTATGAAGTATATATTGACTTAATGAGCCATCATTTTTAGCCTAAATCGTATTTTGCACTAAAACCGAATTTTCATATTTTGATTTGGTGGGAATTTGATTTTCTAGTATTTTTATTTGAATCCAAATGTACTTCATTATTTACATTGTAAACTTAAGTAAATGGAGTAATATAAAAATAAATAAAAGTAAAAGACAAAGACATTTACTTAAATGTTTGAAAATTGAAATAAAGTAATATGTACACCAGCTGAGCAAATGGCAATTTGAAGCACTCACAATGGTTTTTTCCAGCAAGGGGAGGTGCAGTGCACCTCCTTGCGTCTTACTACGTCAGCCAGAGGACCAGGGGAAAAAAAAAAAAAAAAAAAAAAAAAAAAAAAAAAAAAAAAAAAAAAAAAAAAAAAAAAAAAAAAAAAAAAAAAAAAAAAAAAAAAAAAAAAAAAAAAAAAAAAAAAAAAAAAAAAAAAAAAAAAAAAAAAAAAAAAAAAAAAAAAAAAAAAAAAAAAAAAAAAAAAAAAAAAAAAAAAAAAAAAAAAAAAAAAAAAAAAAAAAAAAAAAAAAAAAAAAAAAAAAAAAAAAAAAAAAAAAAAAAAAAAAAAAAAAAAAAAAAAAAAAAAAAAAAAAAAAAAAAAAAAAAAAAAAAAAAAAAAAAAAAAAAAAAAAAAAAAAAAAAAAAAAAAAAAAAAAAAAAAAAAAAAAAAAAAAAAAAAAAAAAAAAAAAAAAAAAAAAAAAAAAACATCGCCGCCTTTAATATCGTATGTACGTCAATGCTAAGCTTGGTAGTCTTTGGTACGTAAAATGAGTTTTGGGTGCATTAATTTTTTCAACCACATTCTTAGTGTGACTTAATTTGAGGAGTAATTAGTTCTTGAACATGACCAGATTAATTATGAACGTTGAAGTTTCAGTTCAGATCATGTTTTGAAATGCTTTGCCTAGTGATTCAATTCAAGTTTCAACTGCGGCATTTTTAAGCCACTTTATTATATCTTGTATGTGGCTCGTTTTCAAGGAAAAACAATTATTGTAGTTTAAGTAATAATGAAGGCCGAGCTTGTATTTTATGGCTGTGTTTTGTCTCTTCTTTGATGTCGTTCTCGCGTGGCTGAGTAGGCTTGGAAAAATGCGACTTTCACATTAGGTATGGATGTAGGGAGAGAGAGAGAGAGAGAGAGAGAGAGAGAGTAGTTGTCCCACGGCGACAGGCAATGGATGGATGCACGATTGATAAGGGAGCTCTAGAATCGAGGGTTAAAAACATAAAAAAAAAGAGAAAAAAGTTGAGGGAAAGGACGCCATTATTGCCTGAGCCTCTCCTTTCTTCTTTCTCCTTTTGCGCTTATAAAGCAGGGAGTTTTAGCTTTCAAGTTTTAAGTTGTTTCCAATGAGGACTAGGCAAAAAATGTAAATGAATTATGCGGCCCTATTCATGTCTGCGCCTTGCTTTCACTTTGCTTTTTATATTTGGATTGCAACATTGCCCGTGTATCTTTCCATGCCTGCTTTTGTACAATTAAGTTTTGTTTAGTTCTTCTTCATTATATATATATATATATATGTGTATTTTATATTCATAATTATTTAACTATCTTTTGTTTGTTGACAGAATTGCCGGAAAACCCAATAGGCCTCTCGCCGCCAACGCCAGCCACAACGTGCTTAACCACCACAGCAATTAGCACCACCACCACCACCACCACCACCACCACTACCACCTCAACAGGAAACGGCAGCAGTGTATTCGCAAGCATATTTGCACCTTCCACAGCCTCAGCATTGATCTCACAGCCACCGCAAACATCATCACCATCCTCATTCTCTAATCAAGTCTCCACCTTGGGACGCCCCGATGGCTCCACCACAATCCCAACCGCTTCCTCCATTAATGAACCCACATCCCTCTCTCTCTCCACCTCTCTTTACCTCTCCAGCAACGGCTCCTCCCTCTTCCCAACACCTGAACCACAAGACCATCGCCACTACGCTCAACCCGCTGTCATGTCCGCCACCGCATTGCTCCAAAAGGCAGCCCAAATGGGCGCTGCCGCATCAAACGCGTCATTGCTTCGTGGGTTTGGGTTGGCCACGTCATCCTCGTCCCCATCTCAAGAAAATAGCACGGCGCTGCAGTGGAACAAGCCAGAGAGTGGCGGTGGTACTACCCAGATGGCAGCTGGGGTTGGGCTCGAACTTCTCTCAACTGCAAGTGCTGCCCATTTGACTGATCTAATGATGGGCCCACCTTCCCAATTTGGGGCCCAGCCCATGACGCGTGACCTTCTTGGGCTCAGCATAGGTGTTGGCAGCAGCGGCAGCGGTGCTTCCACAGGCGGGCTTTCTGCGTTGCTAAATTCCTTTGGTGGTGGGGGCAGTGGCTTTGACGTCGCAGCTGCAGCAGCTGCTGCGTATGGAGGAGGAGGGGCTGGGAGTTCTCAGAGAGAGTCATGGGAAGGTGCACAAGATAGATAGTCCAATGGTCCTGCCTTGCTCTAGAACAGCTCATTTTCCTTCCTGAGATTGATTTTGTTGGCATAGCTAAAGAGAGCGACTCTGGGCAACTCGCTGGCGCTCCTGCTTTTGAAGATTCTCCAAGCGAAGTGGCCTTGTGTGTTTTGTGCTGCTGATTATAAATATATTGCTTAAATTTTGTCTTTTGAATCTTTAGCTGTTTTGAGTATTAGCTCATTTAAGTTGTAGTCTGTAGGGATGTGAATGGGGAAAAAAAAAGCAGTGTACAGGAGCTTAATTTTCTAGTTACTAGCTAGCGTAGCAAAGTGCACAGCACAAAATTAAGGGAAAACATGTAATGCGCGTCCAAGTCTGTACTACGTAAAAAGTGAGAGTGATTCAGTTGTCTTTCAAGTTCCTTGTGCGATTGTTGGAATAGTTTTGTGGGTGTGTTTTGGTTCAACTTACACCGTCAGATTCATCTTATTGCATCTAGAAATCTAGAACGACAAACTTGTGCACGAAACTGTGCCGCTTCCGGAATTAAAGATCCACATGGACTGTGGATGGCGGTGTACACGTACGGTGGTCAAATCCGAGAGCTTAGGGTTGGACCAGATATTAATTTGACAGAGAGTGAATGATGTGAAGATGAAGATGTATTTAATTCGTGAGCTGGCGGATGCATTTGTTTCCTCCCGCCTGACTGCTCTGAATGAATCTGATCACGAGTGGGTCCACTGGGTTTGATGGTGTGGTGGGGTTAGGTCCTGCCGGGTGGTCTCTGTTTGCTAGCTGCATTTGCTAATGCCACCCAGCTGCCTGTACAGTGTACGGCACGTGCTATTCTTCCCGTCAAAACTGTCACGGCGGATAAACTAGTAGATTAGTAGATTAAAGACAAACTTAATCTCGAGTGTGTGTGAGTTTTATCTTATGATTAAGAATAAGATAACCCCATTAATGATAGACATCTCTTTACAAAACCTCCACGTGTAACTGAGAAGATCCAAGAAATACGTAAATAACATAATCAAGGGTCAAGAGTCAAGAGTCAAGACCAAACAAAAAGGTTCTCTCTGTTAGATTTTCCAATTGATTTCTTGTCAGTAATGCTATATAATAGGATATTCCAAGACTTTCCGTTACTTAAAAACCAGTGGGAAATCAAAGAAAATGTTTCATTCACAACAACACGAGGACACTTGCACAGCATAATCCGAGGAAATGAATGAGATCAAAGATTGACATTTAATTAAGTCTCTGGATTTGGTTTGTGTATGATACCAAACCAGGGAAGAAATTGGTTTCGTGGTTGCAGAGAATCTGAATGAGCTTAAGATTGTAAGTTCAGTATTTCAGTTTCTTCCTATGCAAGTATTTCAATGAGTTAAATATACAGTCACTTTTGCCTATTTTGACGTTAATCGCGAGTCTTATCGCTTAATCTAAACGGAGATAACCAAAATCGTCAACAAATTAAAACACAAGGAGCAAAAATAGGTATTTAACCTTATTTGAATTATCGATGCTCACATGTTTTTCGTTGCAACTCAACCATCCGGTCCGGCTATGTTTCTATTAAAGCAAAACATCAGAGAAGGTTAAGCTTGGGAGCCTTGACATCCCTGCTGGCAAAATAGGATCTATTTGGCATTGTAGGTTGTCCGTCACTTAAAACTGAGAAATATAAGAAAACTTGGCAAATCTTGTAGAATTGCTTAATACTATTCTGAATTTTCTAATCTTTTGTGTTTTCAAAGATATTTTCGTCTACGTCATGCATGATGTATATGTAGCAATTAGGAAGTGTAGGCTCACTCTCTCACTAAAAGTAATAAATCTTACCCTCTTTCACTCTCTTCTGTCCCTGCGATTTCAAGATGCATCTTGTTCTTCTTGTTTTGCTTGTCCCTCCTCTTATCCTCCTCTTCAAATTTGTGCGCTCAACCATATGGGTCCCACTGAGGACACAAAGGCACTTCCAAAAGCAGGGCATAAGGGGCCCGGCCTACCGTCCGATCTTCGGGAACTCGGCCGAGATCCGCCGTCTGTTTGCAGAAGCTCAGTCAAAGCGAGGGGCATTTGACCACGACATCCTTCAACGCGCGTCCCCATTTTACCACCGGTGGTCCCGCATGTACGGGAAGAATTTCCTGTACTGGTTTGGGCCGAAGCCCAGGCTGGCAATAGCAGACCCCGACATGATCAAAGAAGTGCTTATGAATACGAGTGGGTCGTTTCAAAAGATACCCTTTACCCCATTAACCAAGATTCTATTTGGAGAGGGCCTTGTTGGGCTCGAAGGCGACCAATGGGCTTTTCACAGAAGGGTTGTGAATCAGGCCTTCAAAATGGAGAAAGTCAAGGTAACCTCAAACTCAAATACCCCTCGTTCTCTTCGTAAATTAAATTAATTTAGACTAGTGACTATCATATCTAATAGTGTAAGTTGTACTAGGTGTAATATAGTCAAATTTGATATGCATAATAAGTTGTACATCCCAAGTGGTTTCTATTTGATGTTGTTGTTGGGTTATTTTTCTTTTCTTTAATGCAGAGTTGGGTGCCAGAGATTGTGGCTAGTACCATGAAGATGTTGGAGAAATGGGAGGATGTAAGAGGAGGGAGAGATGAGTTTGAGATGGATGTGCACAAGGAACTTCATGAGCTCTCAGCAGATGTTATATCCAGGACAGCTTTTGGAAGCAGTTTCGAGGAGGGAAAGCGAGTTTTCAACTTACAAGAACAACAAATGCATCTTTTCTCCAAGGCAGTCAGGAGCATCTACATCCCTGGCTTCAGGTGACTTTACTTCTCAAATTTAAAGGCAAACTATGACTGGTTTAGGCCTCATATATATGTAAGGTTGACTGAACTATGAAGCATGCTTTCTTTGTTGTCATACTTTTGAACTGCTATGATGTATCTTAATGTGGTAAATGACATGAATTTTAGAGTGTTGGGTTGTTACTTTGAATATTTGTATATGCATATGTCAGGTGGTTTTCTTTCAATAATTGAAAAAGGGATTCAATATCCATCGTGTTTTCTCATCAAATTCATTTACAAACAGGTTTTTGCCTACCAAGAATAACAGAGAGAGATGGAGACTAGATAAGGAAACTCGCGAATCAATACGGATGTTGATTGTGAATAACCGCAAAACAAGAGAAGATTCAAGAAATCTGCTTAGTCTGTTAATGTCTTCTTACAAGAATCAGGATGGTGAAGAGGAGAAATTAGAGATACAAGAAGTTATTGATGAATGCAAGACCTTCTACTTTGCAGGAAAGGAAACAACTGCTAATCTTTTGACTTGGGCACTTCTCCTTCTTGCTCTGCATCCGGAATGGCAAAGCAAGGCTCGAGAAGAAGTCAATTGCGCTTGTGGAAGCAATAAGCTTCCGGTTGCAGAGAATTTGAATGACCTTAAGATTGTAAGTTCAGTATCTCAGTTTCTTATAAGTTCCAAGACATTGGCAGGGAAATAAGTTATTTTTGTGCTTTGAATTAAAAGTAGTACGTAAATTATACAAATTTGTTGCTGCTTCCTCACACATGTTGTTTATTGATGTCCCCTTTTGAACAGGTAAGTATGATAGTTAACGAAACACTTAGACTCTACCCTCCGGCTGTGATGCTAATGAGACAAACATCAAACAAGGTCAAGCTTGGGAGCCTGGACATTCCTGCTAACACACAACTTTACTTGGCCTTGACTGCTGTCCATCACGACACTGAGATATGGGGAGAAGATGCCAATGAATTCAACCCGATGAGGTTTTCAGAGTCTCGAAGGCATTTAGCATCATATTTTCCGTTTGGTCTGGGGCCTAGAATCTGTGCAGGTCAAAATTTAGCTTTGGTTGAAGCAAAACTGGTCTTAGCAATCATCATCCGGCACTATTCTGTCACGGTATCACCTACATATGTTCATGCTCCAATTTTGTTTATAAGTTTACAGCCCCAGTATGGCGCTCAAATCCTCTTCAGGAAGATTCCAAACTGAATTTTTTTGGGGGTTTATAAGTCTTCTTGTACATTAAAGCTCCTTGGATGAAATTATGGAAAGAGAAATAATTGAAAGAACGTTTGTTTATTATGTACATTATCTTAAGGCTCGTAACTTTAGCTAGTAATTCCAACAATAGGAACGCTCTTTGGGCAGGGCCTTGTTGGGCTGGTCAGTGATAAATGGGCTCTTCACATGTGGATTGCCAACCAGGCCTTCACTATGGGAGCAAGTCCATAGCCACCATAATCATATTTTCTTATTGATTTCCTAATTTCAAGCAAATCCACAAAGACGAAGGCACCATCTTCATTCTGCCAAAATGTGTAAAGGAGAAGAAACAATAAAATACAAAAGGAACTATCAGAATCCACTTAAATTCTTTTGCGTAGTTTTAACAATATATTGAAATCCAATGATAATTGATAGGCATATATGCCAATTTAACTAAATAAAAAATATAAAAAATTTCATCAACATCCCACTTCCAACTAATTGATATATCTTACATTATCTCGTTCTATTTTAATTCTCATTGTACTACACGTGTAAGATCATTATGGGTTTTTTGGGGGGTAAAGTGGAGGGCAAACGCCCAGTAAGAACACTAAGGAACAATTGGTATAAGTAAAGAAACTCTACACAAACCATTAAAAATTAATTTGTTCTCAGCTGGAGGGGCGACATCCCAAATTTGAAGACCCAAAGGCTTGGTGACTCCTATACTAATAGCAAGCATATCAGCAACATAATTACTTTCTCTAAAAATTTAACACACACCAGTGGTGTCACACCACCAGTCGTTATAACTTTGTAACTATAAATACGGCTGAATAAAATATGAAAATGATCACAATAAGGCGCATTCACAAGCTCCACAGCTAATTGGGAGTTGAACTCCACAATCAAAGGAAAACAGTTAAGTTAGTTAGCAAGATGCAAGGCATAGCCGAGAAACCACCAATCCAGTCCCATTGACCATTATGGTTTATTTTATCTTAAACTGTTTTATTTTATAAAATGATCACTATAGTTAAAAGATTAAATTTGATTAAGGTCTGGGGTTATTTTGTCATAAGGATAAAGTACGGGGTTTGTTTGTAAGCATATGGAGGTCATTTTGTAAATATAAGTAAAATCCGACGGCGGATGTATTTTCCCAAAACATAAAGTATATTCGCAGCGCACCAAACCGAACGAAGACCACCAGCTTATCTTCCTACTATATTGGACAAAATCATGAAAATATGGTAAAGGCTTATAATAAAAAAGTCTTCACGTACCGGTCCAATCTGGTTGTTTAGTTGTCAACATAATTACCAAACCCCCCTCGTTTCAGATCAGAAACGAGCAGACGTGTTCCGTAAATATCAGTAGGACCAGTGGTGAAATAGTCACAAAACAATCTGAAGTAAAAACCCTAGCATAAAACCCGTACCATAAGAAACTTCTGGACTCTTACCTTTTTTAACCGTTGAAGGCGATCGTGAAATTTGTTGGAGTTTGAAAGGGAAGAGAGTTGGATATGGGGGCTCGTGGTGCCACCTAACTCCAAGATTGACATCTAGCCCGAGCTCTGTTTCGTATAATATAAGTGGAGATTTGGGATTCGAAGAACTCGTAGTGGTTTTTGGGTATGCTTCTTGCTTTTTAGGGCTGGAGTTTCGATTCCGATCGATAAGCTTGGTGAGATTTCCATTTTTTTAAATTTTCTGCTATTTTCCATTATTTTAACTATGGCTTTTGGGTTTTTTGATTAATTGTATTTTCATTTTACTGTTTTCCGGGAATTTTGTTATATCTTGATGTTGATAAATACTTGTTAGCTTGCTACTGTATTTTTTTCTTTTCAAATTTTCTGATTTGTGTGTGTGATTATGTATATTTGTCTGTGGCTATGTGCAGATACGAATTGTGCACCATCTTTGTTTATTTCTCAGGTTTCTGAATTATTGTGATATATTGGTGGGAGAAAGGGGATCACGTATTGAATTAATTTAAGAATAGATGTGCAGATAGTTATGAGATTTAATTTTGCGCACAGTGGAAACCTTTGTGTTCTCTGCACTAGAGGGGTTGAAGCTAAGCTCTTTTGTTTAAGAGGGTAAGATGCCATCTTCTCATTTGTCAAAGCTTAGGACTGCATTACAGAGATCGATTGTAGGGCAGGAAGGTGGGCTTCAGGACTCACTAGATGGGCTAATTGGGCAAGGAAAATTGTTGTTTGGCAATTCTAAGTTGTTCCAATCCAGACCATTTTCAACTATCTCAGATCTCCATGCGTTTCTTTCACCAGGCACCGTTTTCGCTGCAAGGTCGGATTCGCAGTTAGTTAACCAAAGAAAGAACATATCTGTTGTTGGAGAGATTTCGCGTATTATTTCAACCCCATCTGTGTCAGGGCCTTCACTTCAGGTTTGTGGCTATCATATTGATTGTGCGCTTTCTGAGCCCTGTCAGTTTATAACCAGAAGCAAGTTTCAGAATAAACCTATGGCTGCCTGTGGTTCTAGAACTTTAGTTGGGGGATGCTACCCTGATAATTTTACTTCAAGGCGTGGGCTTCTTTCAATGGTACCCGAAAGTTCGTGTACATTTTATAACAACAGGAAAGGTTCTGACTGTTTTCAAGCAGCTAGCATGAGTTTGAAAAAAAGAGGGCTATCCAACACTAACGCAATTTATGGATATTTCATATATGAAGTTGGAAAGAGATGGTCTAATTCCTCCCCAACTAAAGGATCAGGGTCAAGAGAATTTCATAGTTCGTCTACATGCTTATCTGCAGGGACTGCCCATGACGTGTCTTTTGATAATTCTGCTCCTGAGGAGCAACTTTCAAGTTCTGCAGATTCATCTGATCAGTGAGTAGCATTCTCTGTTTTTCCATCTTTGTTTCTTAGATTTTATTTATTTGTTGTTTTATGTAGTTGTACTGGCATTTAAGTTTGTATTGAAGTAGTGCAATGAGTCTCAGCATTTGTTAAAGCATGTTACAATGATTACAGGAAGATTACAGATGGAAAGTCCCTAAAACTAACTTCAGGATCATATTACCTGCCCCATCCTGATAAAGAGGAAACTGGCGGGGAGGATGCTCACTTCATTTGTGTGAATGAACAAGCAATAGGAGTGGCAGATGGTGTTGGTGGCTGGGCAGATCTTGGTGTTAATTCCGGATTGTATTCCAGAGAACTGATGTCTAATTCTGTAGCTGCTGTTCAGGAGGAGCCCAAGGGTTCAGTTGACCCTGCTAGGGTATTGGAGAAAGCTCACTCAAGCACAAAGGCCAAGGGTTCCTCAACAGCATGTATCATAGCACTCACAGAACAGGTATGGAACTTCCCTTCATTTTAACCATGTCTGTCAAAGTGATACTCTTGCTTCATGCTAGTCAAGGGAACACATATCCTTTTTTTCTGAGGCCATTTAAAAAATGGTTTATGTTGAACTAATTAACTCTTTATGTAGCCGGATGTAGTAAAACTAACTTCGGAAGTCTAAACTCTTCATTGTTTTCTTGTAAGAGCAGTTTGTGTTGATATTTATTGTATATTCAAGAATCTTGAAATATTGCTATCTTATCATACTGACTATTTAGAAACTTAAATGAACTGTTTGCGATTTCACTGCAGGGTATTCATGCAATTAATTTAGGTGATAGTGGGTTCATAGTGGTTCGAGATGGGTGCACCGTCTTTAGATCCCCTGTGCAACAGCATGATTTTAACTTTACCTATCAACTGGAGAGTGGAAGCAACGGTGATCTACCTAGCTCTGGCCAGGTCAGCAACATATTTTCTTTAGGACTCTTACCTAATGGCTTACATATTATTCTTCATTACATTCTTGGTTTGTAATGTATCTTCTACTTGTGAGTTTCATTCTTGATTTCTTTGCAAATCTTGCTGTCCGATATATGGTTTTTGTTTCTCGAACTTTTTTACGATGGTTGATCAGTATCTTGAAATAGATCTTTTTGAGTTTGTAGCAGAAACAAGGAGAATGTGATTTCATGATTTTTCAGCAATGTGTCAAATGAGACCTGGAATGATTGTAGTACATATCACAAGCTAAGTTTCCTTTGTTTGATTCAGGTTTTTACAGTTCCTGTTGCACCTGGGGATGTTATAATTGCCGGAACTGATGGCCTGTTTGACAACTTGTATAACAATGAGATTACTGCAGTGGTAGTCCATGCCATAAGAGCTGGCTTGGGGCCTCAGGTGACAGCACAAAAGATAGCGGCATTGGCACGCCAACGAGCTCAGGATAGAGACCGGCAGACACCTTTCTCGACTGCTGCTCAAGATGCCGGGTTCCGTTATTATGGTGGCAAGCTCGATGATATAACTGTTGTAGTTTCATATGTAACCAGTTCGAGTAATGCATGACACAAAATTGGACTCTCTCTCTCTCTCTCTCTCTCTCTCTCTCTCTCATTTGTATATGCTACATTTCACTCTTTTTTTGTAAATTGTTTTTATTTAGTTTCATTTCTCTCATGTGTGGATAAAATCCATACGCACTCTTCTTGGTTCTGAGATTGACTTCCTGTGCGAATGGTATCAAATGAATGTAGAGACATATGGTGGCCTTTTTTTGGGAATATATCTGGGTCTGTCCTTGTCTTATCTCCCATATACAAGGTTTTTTATTTCTTTCAGAAAATGTAGATGAGACAAGTAGGGAATATTCCCTTCCAAGTTGAAAGCCTCGCTACTACTGCATTTCCTTCTGCTTTTTTCCTTTTTTGGTAAAGCATTTCCTTTTGCTTTTTTCTTTTGGCGTAACATTTAACTTTTTCTTTATCATATTCTTCTTTTTAGTTTTTATTTATTTGCTAACTGTTTTAAAGGTAAAAGAGTATAATGCTAAGCATTTAGACCCGGTTGACCCCCAAAAAAAAAAAAAAAAAAAAAAAAAAAAAAAAAAAATTGGAAAATTGAAAAACACCACCTTCACTTCAAGCACCGAATTGAAAATTTGCGCAGGGCCTGAAGTGTGAGGCCCACTGGGCCTGGGCCCTTCTGCATTACTCCCTGCCGTCTGTCGATTTTTATTTTTATTTTCTTTATTTTCCGGGTTGTCGGATGTCAAAGTCAAACTACAACAGCATAAAAAAACACCGAATCTTGGCCGATATGCCAAAAAACGAGAGCAATGATGGTCCTTTAGTTCCTTGTATGCAAAACACCGTATCCTTGCCCGGTCGATCCAGCTCGTCTCTCTGTCAGACTCTCTTGGAGAGGAGAGAGTAAGCAACGAAAATGCCTTCCTCGTAGCTCTGCTTGCATTTTCGATAATTCATAAAAGGAGAGAGAGCAGCTCCACCTTCGCTTCCCTGACTTTCAGTTCAAGCAGCAGCACTAGAACCCTAATCAGCGACTGTGATATTCCATATCTCTCTATCTCTTACTCTCTCAAGAACGACTGTGTACGGCTCGAGGGAAAGGGAAGGAGGGCATGGCGGGTCGTAGAGACGGGTCGTTGATGCGGGATAAGACCCAGTCATTTCGTGGATCTCGAATAGTGACAGCCATTGTCGTCGGAGTCCTTCTTGGCTCGGTCTGCGCCTTCTTCTTTCCGCGCGGATTCTTCAGCTCGGATCCGCCTATCCAAAGCCGTCGATTCGGGAAATTGGATCTCCAGGTTCGGATCTCGGTTCCAAATTGACTGACTTTTGGCTCCTTTAATTTTAATTTTAATTTATTTTCTTTAACTTTGAATTTGGCGCTTATACAATCTTAATCGCGTCATTGAGTGATTTGGTTATGCCAGTTTGCATTTGCTGGGATTTATTTTCTTTACTTAGATGTTGTGATTGGCTTTCAATCTTCAACGGCATTAAGCTGACGGTTGAACTTTTATATGTAGAGTTAAACTTATATATACAGCTTACGTTGTGAGCATTTGGGTTTAATTCATCGATCAATTCTAGTCCGTAAAACAATAAGGAACTGCATTATATTTACAGGCTTGTTTCATGATTGGTGTTTTAAAAAGACAGTATTATAAAGCTGATCTCTTTAACTTTCGATATATTATAGTTTATGTTATGGGGCCTTACTTGCCCACCTGCATTTGCAGACTAGCTCATCCCAATGTGAATCAACAGAACGGATAAACATGCTGAGGTCTGACATTGGATCGCTGTCGGACAAGAATGACGAGCTGAAGAAACAGGTTCAAGATCTAACTGAAAAACTACGGCTAGCTGAACAAGGAAAGGATCATGCACATGAGCAGTTTTCAGTATTAGGCAAACCGCATAAGGCTGGCCCTCTTGGTACTGTCAAGGGCTTGAGAACTAACCCGACTGTCATTCCCGATGAATCTGTGAATCCGAGGTTGGCAAAGATCTTGGAGGATGTTGCAGTTCAGAAAGAGCTTATAGTTGCACTTGCAAATTCAAATGTGAAAGCCATGTTGGAGATATGGTTTACTAGCATCAAGAGGGTTGGTATAACCAATTATCTAGTTGTAGGATTAGACGACGAGATTGAAGAATTTTGTATAGCTAATGATGTTCCTGTATACAAGAGAGATCCAGATGAGGGTATTGATTCAATTGCAAAGACAGGAGGTAACCATGCCGTCTCTGGGTTGAAATTTCGTATCTTGAGGGAGTTTCTGCAACTAGGTTACAGTGTTCTTCTCTCAGATGTTGATATAGTATATTTGCAGAACCCCTTCAATCATCTTTATCGGGATTCTGATGTAGAGTCTATGAGTGATGGTCACAATAACATGACCGCTTATGGATTTAATGATGTGTTTGATGAACCTTCTATGGGTTGGGCTCGCTATGCTCATACAATGAGGATATGGGTATATAACTCTGGGTTCTTTTACATAAGACCTACACTTCCTTCAATTGAGCTTTTAGATCGTGTGGCTGGACGGCTCTCTAAGGAAAAAGCATGGGACCAAGCAGTGTTCAATGAGGAACTCTTTTTCCCTTCACATCCGGGGTACGATGGGCTTCATGCTTCCAAGAGAACTATGGATTTCTATCTCTTTATGAACAGCAAGGTCCTCTTCAAGACAGTCAGGAAAGATGCTAATTTGAAAAAATTGAAACCAGTAATCCTTCATGTAAATTACCACCCAGATAAACTTCCAAGGATGAAGGCAATTATGGAGTTCTATGTTAACGGCAAGCAAGATGCGCTGGAACCTTTCCCCGAGGGTTCTCAATGGTAGTGATAGTTCTACAGACCCATGGATGGGCTAAACAGTACACACGCTCTGTAATTCAACTGATACAGGTAGAGGCGAAATCGATTGCATCTTCTGAGGCCAATTCAAAGTCTCTTTTTTTCTTCTTCTTCTTTTTCCCCGAGTTTCCTTTCAAATTTTTGTTTTGTATGGATAGTAACTTTCTGAGTTTCACTAGAGTATCTCCTGAGATGACATTTGTTCTGTATCATATATATACACCAAGAAATGTCACATATGGGTTTGCCATCTTTGGTGATTGACAATTTGATAGCTTTGTCATCTGTATATTTACTTGATTGAATTTCTTCTAAAGTGGATTTTGTGTATGCAACCTCGTTGGGTTGGAATTATCATCGTAACAGTGAATTTGCTCATGATCAACTTGCATGATTCATGAAGAGACTTTGCTAATGACGTTTCAGAGTAATCAATTTAATCAACACAATACAACATTTGAGCATGAAGCCCATATAATACACACCATTTCTTACCTTTTCAAGAACTTTTATCCTATTTTTGATCACCACAAAAGATATCACCAAGAGATCTGGTCTCTTTGTAATCAGGATTTCTCAGCATATGTAGGCAATCGTCGCAATTGCTGACCGTGCTTGAATGGGATAACCAAGTTCGTTAGAGTCACACAAAAAAATCTGAATAATGGTCACCATGAGATGCACAGCAATTAACAGATTTTCCGGTGCATACCAAAACAAAATCCTAAAATCCTAATTGCCCAATAAGGCAGTACCTTCCCCTCTAGTCTTTTGGACTCTTCCACTTATCCAAAAAAAACTCATATCCACTGTCTTTGTGTTGTGTGGCTTCAAATCCCACTAAAACATTCTTAACCTTAAAGCCCACTCTGTCTCCATCTGAATTTTCCGACACAATATCCTCTGCAACTGTTTCAAGAACTTTTACGGCCGAACCCATTAATTGCCATTCTTCACTTCAGCAGAGAAATTTCAAGAACAGCTGCCCGCCAAATTTTCTCGTTCAAATTGTCCTCTGGTTGCATGCTTTGTTTCAGTGAACAGCTAGTGGGTACTGGGTAGGGACCAAGATGGAGAGATTTTCACAAAGAGAGGGCCTTCTTCTGGGCTACAGTCCTCAAAGTTCCTTCATGAACTCTGCTTCTTCTTCGCCCAGTACTTCCAACAAAAACTCAGATGTTGATTTTCATGACGTGTTTGGCGGGCCACCTAGGAGGTCATCCATTCACGAAACGAGGTACAGCTTCAGCATAGTTACGGATAACAATGCATTGAAAAGGGTTGTTGATGATGACGACGACGAAGACGATGAAGCTTGGTCTGGTTCCACTGAGAAGCCAGTGTTTGGGGATGAGGCTATGAACAGAAGGAGGACCCAGAGCGAAAACTTCTTTGATGACATATTTAGAGGCAATAGCTCGGTCAGCTCCAGTCCCAGGAGGCTTCAGCGGGACCCTTTTTCTTCAGCACCAGGTTCCAGGGTTTTAAGCCCTGCCAGGCCCCTGCCCCCTAAAGCCGAGCCCTCTGCGGCTTCTTCACTGCCCAGACAATTCAGGTACCATAGAATCTTGAGGGAGAAGAGATACAATATGTTTGAGTGGCAGCTAGTTTTGTTTCAGGTCCTTTTTTCTTTAACTGATTCTTGTGGCTGCAATTTTTGTTCATTGTAATTTCGTTTACTTGGCTACTTCACATCACTCTTCTACCAAATCTGTTCTGGCTATGAACACACTTCCATGTTTTGTGTTCTGATTTGCACATGATGTTTTTATGTTTTTTGGGCGTTGTACATGATGTTTTGATTACCTCAATGGCTCTAAATTTCTCAGCCTGCCTACCAGATTAACCAAAGGGGTGGACCTGCCAACAATTGGTTCCACTAGTCGTACTACTTCCCTTTCTAGATTTTCAAGCCAATCAATCCAGAGTCCTGAGGATTTGAAAAATGATATCCGATCCCGGGAGTTTTCTGGTAGTGGCGAGGGGTGCTCAGACTTGGCCACATCTGATAAAGCCGACACAGTAGGCAATTTGGAGCAGGATTCAAAGAGTAAAGAAAGTCCAACCTCTAGCAGTCCGTTTCAATTTCATTTCTCAATATACAAGTGGGCAAGCAAAGGAGTGCCAATTGCGATGCCTCTTAGGCGACGGACTGGCTCAAGAGGGCAGAAAAGGACTAATAATGAGGAACACTCAAATACTAATGAATGCGCTGCTAATGAGAGTATGGCAAGGCAATCACCCAAATCCACTCTGCCTAATATTGATTTTCCCTCCGATGACCATCCACTCGCGGATACGGATGCAGATGCTAGGTCTCCCACCTTGGAACCAAACAAACAAGAAAATGACTTGCTTCTTGATGAAAGCGGTCCTGCTAAAGTAGAACCATGCCAATTTTTTGAGGAAGCAATTCTTCCAGTAGCTGAATCAGAACCCTTCAGCAGACTTCATAAAACTATTGAAGATGTTTCTGGTAATACGGTCTCATGCCGTAGAAGTGAAGATATAGAGCCTTATCCTTTACTTGAAACAGCTTCTGGCAAAGCCCCACAAAAAGAAAGTCCTGTGCTTTTGGAACAAGTTAGCGAGCCTGATCTAAAACCTAATAGTTCTTTGTTTTTTGATGATGATTTTCAACAAGGTATGTTGTCTTATGTATTTACTGTTACGGGGTTCATGATATACTGCCTCTGACACCACATTTGTATTTTCTTATGCAGGCAATGATGGGATATTTAAAGTGGGTGGTAGAAAGGAAAGTGTGGTCAAAGGCACCAAAAAATCATCTCTAGATGTTGGCTGTAACGAAATTGCAAAAAATCAGAATGGAAAAAGGAGTTCCTTGACGAATGTTGATGTTGATAAAGCTAGTTTCCAAGGCTCACCAAGGGACTCAAGAGATAATCTTGGAAGAAGCAAAGTTAAGGGTAAAGTCAAGGACTTTGTTAAAATGTTCAACCAAGAAGTTTTGTGCAAACCCGCATATGATGGCGATCTTGGAAGTCTGAGATATAAAACGAAGGAGAAAGGAGCTTTCAGAGCAGAGAATGTAGCGAGTATTAGCGCAGCAAGAATGTCCGAGGACTTGCAAAAGTCCAATGTGAAAAGCCCATTTCCAAATGCTTCCGTCATGGTAATCAAGTTAGAATGGTTTGAGTTCACATACCCAAAAACTAACAATATGTTTTCTTCAACATTTTGCTAAGTATCTTATTCTGTTTTCTACCCTTTTCAGATGAATGAAGATCTCAAACAGTTAGAGAAAGAATATTGTGAAGCAAAGACTGCTAGCTATGTACTTAGTAATGCTCCTGGGCAGGACGTCTCAGCATCAAGTACTGGTTAGTTCTCTTAATCCTATATAAGTAATGTGGCTTAGCTAAACACTTAAGTAGAGGAAGAAGTGGTAGACAACAACACTAGAAATCGTTAGTCATTATGGGGATATTTCTGAGCTAAGCCTGAACAGATTGCTAGCCTATGCAAACAAAACAACATACATCTTATTTATTAAGTGTTGACAGGATCAGTTCCTCACGACCCCGTGGCTATTACTGGAGATGCAGATGAGTGCTTCCTGGTATGTGGTTCTTCGTAAAACAACTGTTTTCATCTTTTCTTGTATTCTTATAACGTGCACTCATTTGCCGTGAACGAAGTTTCGTTCAGTCCATTCTGTATTTTGATTGAAGTAAACAAACTCGGAATTCCCATGCCAATTATGTTTATGCATACTATGCCTAACAATAATATTAAGGAACTAAAATTTGAATTTGAGCAATGTTATACTTTTTGTGAAAGTCATAGTTCCTACCAGGTTTTCTGATAAGCTATTACATTGTTGGCAGGTCAAAGAATTGACTCAAGATGAGAAGAAACAGCCACAAGCTGGCGAAAATCATGAAGAAATCCAGGTAAAATACAAAGCAAACAAACACAGCGTGCTGCTACAATTCTGTCTTTTATCCTGCTAGCAGTAATGTACTAGTTCATAAAATGCAGGCAATTGATGCGAAAATACGACAGTGGTCAAGAGGAAAGGAAGGAAACATACGCTCGTTATTGACTACTATGCAATATGTGAGAGCATTGATTTGTCAAACTCTCGTATTGTCATTTTTCTGTATTCTTTGATCAGCCTCTAATACTGCATAATAATAGTATGCTTCAAGGCAAAAGAACTTGGTTGCCACTCTAAGAATGGAACTGACTAAATATTTATCTTATGCATGGCAGGTTCTTTGGCCTGAGAGCGGTTGGAAGACTGTACCGCTTGTTGATGTAATTGAAGGAAACTCTGTGAAAAGAGCATACCAAAGGGCTCTGCTCTGTTTACACCCAGATAAGCTGCAGCAGAAAGGTGCTGCTTCACATCAGAAATACATTGCAGCCAAAGTTTTTGATATCTTGCAGGTACCTAATTTACTAAGAATCACATCATGAACACTGGTGTGGCATTGCCAAATCATACTTTTTTCTTTTGTTTCTCATTTATTTTTTGTCTTTTTGGGCACACAGGAAGCCTGGAATCATTTCAATTCACTTGGCGCACTTTGACAATTTGAAGTTGAATCCGCCCGTCAGAAAATACACACTGGTTCAGTTCTTGTTAATTTGAAGTGCACATAAATGTTTATATCATTTTGATTGCGGATGAGCTATGGCTATATATGATGGGCCGCATGCTGAGCCCATTAACAATTTGAAGAATGAAAGAAATTGCCAAATTACCACCACCACACCACTATTGGATTAAAACGACAGTACACTGTGCCCAAAAATGGAAAATTATAAAAGAAAGACAGCAGTCGACACTCTGACCGACTGGGTCCCATCCTAATTTTAAAAGTGATTTGGCTTACCAGCTGTACCACTCGACTCGACTCGACTCGACAGCTTTATTCACATGATGAATACAATACGCTTGTCGTTTCTAGCGTTTCATGTTTTAACTACGTTTGTCGTCTCGCACTAAAACGACACTGCAATCTGGTGAATACACAATACTAACGCCTTATTGTTTAGATGATCGACACGATACGATTGATTGATGCCGCCAACTGTCGCGGGACCCCCATACTATAATCAAAGTTTTTAAATGTAATAATTTCTATTAGATTTTATTTTTGACAATAACAATGATTATAATTCTAATGTGCGGAGACTTGGGAGAAATGTAACAGACACGCTAACTCTATCAACTAACATAACTCACATTTGTAATTTAATAATAGATTACTTCAGTCCATTTGTTAGGGATTTCATTTTCAATTTTCCCCTAAAAAGCTATGAAGAATCTGGTGGTGGATCATATTATAAATGAGAAGGATTGTTCAGAGTCTTCAAACAATGCAAGTGGGACATATATATTTCACTTGACTCGTAATTTAGCGATCGCTGTCTAAGTGTCTACTAATTAATTAATTAAATTATTATTATAGATATTTTCAGGGCTGGCTGATATTAAATGAGTGGTGTTGAATGTTCATAGGAGGAGGAAATTAGAAAGTAGACGAAGGCAAGCAGCACAAACAAGATGTCCGTGGAGGCCTTAATTGATCATCAGCTGCCAATACTGTTGCTCACCCACACATTTGTCAATACTCACTTCCATGCTATAATCGAAAGACATACTAGTAGGAAAATTGTTTGAATTGGTAATAATCGTTTTATTCACTATTAATGTTTAGGTTCGAGTCTTGCTGTAGATAATTCCTCTTTGTAGGTAATTTGTAAAAACTAAAAAAGAACTAAGACTCCCTTTGTAAATTCTCAAAAAAATCTTAGTATGCTATGATCCTGGAATGTAGCCTCCACTCCCCTTAAATTTTTTTTCAATTAAAAAAAAAGACATACTAGTAGTAATAATTCAAATTTTAATACCAAAAATATATGGTTTATTATTATTAAGCAATTATTGAATTATAGAATTGGGTTTTAAAGTCATTAATGATCTACTTATTGTTAGCTTAAAACCATTAGTGTTTTCACAAAAAGAAGCATCTTCTTTTGAAAAGAACACTATGATTTTTCTAATCACGTTTAAGTATAAACTTTATGGCAATTCCTGTTTTCACATGTGTTTAAATCTGTAAATTGTCCTTGTGCTGCTGTTTCTTTTCTACTTCTGTTTTCTTTGAAATTTATTACCCACAAGTCAAATTGACTAATTGTCTCACCGTCTGGCTGCAGAAAAAACTATTATAAAGCCCCCACAATAATTATGGGCACATGTGGATGTGACACCTCAGCAATTGTTTACGTAAAAAAAGAAAGATAATATCATTAAGTTGTTTATTTAAATTTCTTTTTTCTTTTGATCATTCATATCCCAGAAGAAATACAAACAGAAAACGACGACGCACCAATCCGTTGAGAAAGGGAAGTTACTTTACTCGAGTCTGCTTCTTCAGGTCACGGAGGTACATTATCCATTAACACCAATTCAATTTTCCCTAATTATTGTTTTAGTTGGCGGTGAGCTTAAATTGAAAACAAGTTTAAAAATAAAATAAAATGTAGACTTGTATTAAGTAGACAGTGATATTTGCGACTGTAATAATAATAGAGGTGACTGCTTTCTTACACTCTAATAATGATATTCCTCTTGCCATCAGAATCAGATTTTTCCAAAACATTGTGATTTAACAGAAACACAGCACATTAGCACACTAGCAGAGAGAGAGAAAGAGTGAGAGAGAGAGAGAGAGAGAGAGAGAGCTGGCAGCAGGATACAAAGGCCTTTCATTTCATAGCAGTTGGTTGGTGGCATTCTGGCTCTGAAAATACTGAACTGAAACACAGCTGTTTTACTGTTCAGAGAAGTTGGGTTTTGCTCCTCTCTAATGACTACTGCCCTCTCTGAATCTGTGAGTCCCACGATTCTCCATGTTTTCTTAGAATATTTCTTTCGTTTTTTCTTTAAATTACTTTCGCTTTATTACTTCCTCTATCTGCCGGGTGTTGATTATCTTTTGGGTCCTCTGTTTGGAATCTGAGAAATCTCGGGAAAACGAACAATTAAGTGGGAATTTTAATGGACTGAGTTTCGAAAAGACTGTTAAATTCAATGTTTTTCCTTCTTTAGTTTTTCCCAGAAACCACAAGTCTGCAATTTTCTTTTTGTGGATGAATGACTCTGCTTTTTTCCCTTTGTTTTTGTTTTAGCGTAAGATTAGTGGCTACAATGTTTGTTCTTGGCTGCCTGTTAAGTTGTAATGAAAAAAGCAGGCTCATTTATTTGTTATTTTTCGTTACGTATTTCTCTGCTTCACCACTCGTCAAACTAGATCTGATGTAGATCTCTGTATACTGTGAGATCTGCAATGGAGAGCCTTTCTTTCTTTCTTTCTTTCTTTCTTAAAAATAAAAATTACAACGAATTGTATGGTATTGATAAATTTGTGTTGAGCCAAGTTTGATTTCTGTTGCATGCCAATGAGCCAAATTTGTGTTGAGCTTTTGGTGTTCATACCACTACATTTCATCCTTGGGTTGTAATACTAATGTAGGGTCATCAACACTACGTATTTGATGCATTTGGGTGATTTCAATTTCAAATGTTCTTGTTTGCCAACTGTAATTAGTTGGATTACTCATTCTTAAGATTTTTGTGTTGACTAAAAAGCCATCCTCTCTCTGCCAACCTCATATGTATTCAAACTAACTAACTAACTAATTTTCAAAAGAAATTAGAATTAAAGTCAACCTGTGCGGTGCTGTGATGGTTTCTGACATGTTAACAAGTCTGTATATGGAGAATAATTGGCTCTGTTAAAATCTCTTCTTCTTTCTTTCTTTCTTGCCGTTTCCTTTATCATCCTCCGGATTTAGTTGGAGTTCTTTGAAACATAACTAATGCCTTTATGTCCACCCATATGCACAGGCTGGAAGCATTGACTGAATTCTGGCTATACTATCAAAGAAACATGAAATTTGAATTGAAGAAAAGATGGAGAGCCATTGCCCCACATCAATTGAAAAACAAATCAGCTGGCCGTTTTTGTTTATTTCCCAAATCAAAGTCAGATCGCTCTGATCCGAGAAAAGCACCAGTTTATCTCAATGTATATGATTTGACACCCATGAATGGCTACGTCTATTGGGCAGGCCTTGGAATTTTTCACTCTGGTGTTGAAGGTAAGCTTATGTTCGGTTTATATTACCTGCCTAATGTACATTGTGTTCAATCCGAGCCATACCTCTTTTTGTTCCTGGGTTTGTGGGGGTTTTGAGTCTTATGTTTCTTCTTGTTTTACCGAATGCTATATAGGTTTGGTGCTTCTGAAATTCCAAAGGAATAAAGTACCAAATTACTATTGTTATTCTTCCTTTTATGCTGCTTCAATTCAATGTAATTTCAGAGTTTCTAATAGTTCACTTGCATTGTGCAGTTCATGGTGTAGAATATGCATTTGGAGCACACGACTACCCTACCAGTGGTGTTTTTGAGGTTGAACCTCGCCAATGCCCAGGATTCAAGTTCAGGAAGTCTATATTTATTGGGACCACATCCTTGGACCCTACTCAGGTTAGGGAGTTTATGGAGCGCCAGTCTTTGAGCTACAATGGTGATACATATCACCTGATTGTCAAGAACTGCAACCATTTCTGCAGGGATATCTGTCACAAGTTAACCGGAAAATCGATTCCCAAATGGGTAAATCGACTGGCAAAAATAGGTATTCTTTCATCACCCTCTCTTTTCAGAGTTATATGAAATTTGATTTGGTGAATTGTTTACACACAAAAATTTCCACCAAGAATTGTTCTTAGCCATTTTGGGTTTAAGCACTCATTTGACTATACTTGAATCATTGCTAGCTATTTAATCCCTTATTTGTTGTCTACCTCCCCATAAGTTCAGTGAGAGAGATTTTCCATTACCTTTCTTTTAAAGCTGCGTATAACCTTGCCTGCCATGTCAGCCAGAAAATTTCAGAGTGAAATTTTTGGCAACCTTAAAACATGTTCCGGATGAATTACTAGTTAACCCAGTTCTTTACTTCAATAGTTGTTGGTTGCTAATTGTATCGATTGATTTTACCTTAAAACATGGAATTCTGATTGTCGTTTGCTAAGATCTTTCTTTGTGTGTGTATGCTTACAAATTGTGTTTCATCTGGTCCTCTTTGTATATTTTGGAGGAGTGCGTGGAATATCCAAAGTGAAATTAACTTTATTCCATGTGATTATTAATATGTGGTAGGTTCAATATGCAACTGCGTACTTCCTGAAGCCCTAAAGATTTCTTCTGTGCAACACGACCCGAACTGCCAGCCATACGACAGCGAGAAGAGGAGTTTGAGAAGTACGTTCAGTTGCCTGTCTTCTATTTCAATGCGGCAGAAGCAATTGTCATCGTCATCGTTATTTCTACAGTCACCCCTAAAAGGCTGCTTGCCGCCATGGGAATTGAGAAGGTCGAACAATGGTTCCTTGAAGGAAAGGTGAGAGAAACTGTTCTACAGTATGATGACTGGCGTGGCGTCCATAACCTTTAATGAGGGGAATTTGTTGCTAAGTTTTTGTGCGTCAGCAATTGAAAGCTGCCATCACTCAGATTGTTTTTGTTCTCCCAGGTTTGTGGACCGATGTTTGTGATTGTTGTAACTCTAGTTATTCATGAAGAAATTGCTAATCAGTTCTCTTTATCTCCAGTTTTCTTGTTTCTTTTTTTTTTAATGCTTGTATTTCCTTTTCTTCCATAGGTTAGACGTGACAAAACTCCTCCCAAGTGTAAATTGTGCTGTTAGCGTAGCTTGTAACATCGTTGTCTTGGCAAATGAATGCATCAACGTGCAGAAACTTTGATTCCCATCTCAAGTAAGGCTTAGGAGGCGGGAATGGGATTCACGTTTGATAAAATGTACACGAAGCAGTAGAAAGGATGCGATTGAGATAGATCATAAAAACAATCACAACCTAAACTGTTGCACTGTTAATGGATATGAGTAATGCAATACAATATAGACCAGACCAGCTCGGCAATTACCGGCATAAAGCAACTTCCCCTATCCCATTCCCGCCATCAACCGATAGAAGAACATACAACAGTCAGAAACGAGAAAATGCCTGCTTTAAGAATGCCATGCCACCATCAATCCACAGCAACGCATCATATAAATACAAAATCATCTCATCTGACCAAACAAAAATTACGCTTCTGCATTCCATATCCATTTTAATTTTTCCCTATAACAAATAGAATCATACAACGAATATACAGACGGCGATCCGAATTAGCATTGGGAAAACAAACCTGCAGGAACATGAAAGAGATGCTTCAGATTTACAGGTGCAAAGTTTCGTCTAAAGCGGTTGCAATGCGTTAAACATGTTGAATATACAAATACCACACACTATACTCTCTCAGATTATTGGATGCTTTTAGCGTTAAAGATCCACCAGCACATTAAGATCCCGTATCTTTCTTATAAGGGCCACAGTTTCCAACAGCTTGGAATTACAAGTCAATAATGGCACACCATGGGCTTAGCTCAGTAATGGCACATCATTACAAGTTAATAATGATAATTACCACCCCCTCACTGTGGCTGTGCAATCATGATCGAATACCAACGAAAACTATGAAACTCAACTGCCACTAGATATCATTTGGGAGCGAGGCGATGAAATTTATCAATCGTCTTTCTGATGCAAAACACTAGGACGGCTATTATTACCATTAAGAGCAGCATGATATACACGCTTCTCAGCAAGTCCAATATCTGATTGAGTCATTTTACCCTGTAAACAAAACAGAAACACAGACGGAATCGAGTTACAAACACCATAAGCTCCCATGATTAATATCTACCTAGTTTGATCATCACAATCTTATTTTCATTATATACTTTCAAGGGGAACATATACCTCACTGGCCATCAACCTTCTGACATTGGTCGCATAGAGTTTTGGGTCATCCTTTTCTTGCTGTGAGGGGTAATAAACAGGTAACCTTGTGACCTCTATGTGATTCACAAATTGACAGAAAAGAAATATCACATGGCGCACCTGAAAACAAAGTAAATCCAGAAGAGTGTGATAGGAAGTATATATAATGCATTTGACTGGGAACTAAAAAGTAAACACTGTATAATTCATTTGGCTGGATTTTAACGGCCCAAGTAAAGCAGAGTATATGCCTCTATAATGAAATAGTTTGCAAGCCTGAGAGTTCTATCAGCAGCACTGACTGCAAGCTCCAGTGCCTAGCCAGTTCTGTATTAAGTAACAACTCAAAATAAAAATAAACAAACCACCAGCTCTCCCAAGATTTTACTGAACTAAAGACCAGACAGTGGTTCAGTAGGAGGACATTGAGAGACACATTCAGTAACTTTCCCAAACCCAAAATTCCTATTATTTGTATTATGTATAAATTATTGTACATGATATATGTATTTCCTTATAGGTAATCATGGAAAATGCTTATGAAACACTCACCCCAGATATTGAGTCCCATGCAGGACTAAATCTCTCGTAAGGATACCTAAGAATAACTGGAAGCACTGGAGCTTTTGCTAGAAATGCTCCTGTCTTGAATGGCAGAAGAAAGTCTCCATTTGTAGTAGTGCCCTCTGTAGAAAAGATTAAAGATAAAAAGTTAACAGCATAGTAGCACACAGACAACAGAAATGCTGCCAGGATAGCTTAGTCATAGTTACATGATAATTCATAGCTTGGTAAATGATGATTAAGACATACAAGAATAAGAACAACACAAAACTCATTATATTAGGAAATCTCTTCTACTGTCATGGTTTGGTTATAACATAATCTTGCAAAGTCGCCCCCAATCCGCCAAATAATCAGTCATGCAAAACGGGAAAAATAGAATGGCAATGGATTTTTAAAATTATAACCTGGGAAAAGCATCATTGGTGGGGCAGAATTACTCTGATGTGCCTCTTTAACTCTTTCAGTCACAACGCCTGCAAATGATACACAAACATTAATCAAAAAACATCATCACATAAGTAATATAACATCAGAAAGCAATAGATTTGTTTCAGCAAGAATTTCATGACTTCGTTATGTCTGGCATGCTTGTGTCCAGGTCCACTATAGTTATCAAGTACAAGGAACCTTCCAAAAAGAACAGGAGCATCCGCAATGTTCCACAAATTTTGAGAACAAATATTACAAAGAGCACGGAAATATCCACAATTTAAGTACCTGAAACACCCTTGAAGTCAGATGACTTTGACTCCCGCTGAACATAGACACAACCGAGGCACTTGCTGTAAAAAATAAGGATCAGAAACTGAATTGCATTCCATCCCGTAAAATTTATGGTAAACTAATACTATACTAGAAGAAGAGAAATTAGAGAAATTCACAAAGACAAAATGGTGCTCTTATGATGAAATTGAAGGAAGGTAAAACGAATTTGACGAACCTGATGAGGCCAACCAGAGGAAGTTTAGCCACCGATCTCTGCACCAATAAAATCCAGACCCAAACAGAAATGCGTCAGCGACTAGATCAGAATTATTACATATATACATAAGTAAATAGATAAGAGTGGATTCTGTCTGAAAATTTTGATAGCGGAGTGATAAATTATTATTATTATTATTTTTTAAAGAATAAAAATTTGAAGAAAGCAACAGACCTTAGCAACGAAGCTCGGAAAGGAAGAAGACATGTGATAGAGGATATCCAAATACGAAACGTGATTGGATATAATAGCCCCAGGCCTTTCAGTCCCTTCTTCTTCGCTCTCATCTTTGCACTAATCCAATCAACAACAAAAATGTCATAAATTTAAAAATAAAAATAAAAATCACTGCTCAAATTTCACAGATAAATTTTATTTGTGTGTGTGTGTGTGTGGTGTGGAAGAGAGAGAGTACGTCGGTGGTGGGCTTGGGTTGAGCATCTGACGGTATCCGATAGGTCTCGTTGATCCAATAGAAGCCGAGGATGAAGAGCATAAGTCTGGATAAGGAGCGGCCGCACTGGACAATCACGGCCCTCCTCCAACCGCCCATGTGCGCGTAATCCTCCTGCTCCTCGTCGCGATTCGGGACGGAGAAGAGCGTGCAAATCCGACAAATCAAGTAATAGATTACCAAGATGGTCATGGCCAGCACCACGCGTATCGGGACCAGAGTCACCAGGGCAAGCCCAAGCAACACCTTCTCCTTCACCGTCAACTCGCCTCGTCCCATGGTGCCGTACGCATCGCGCCGTACGTACGCAGCGCACTTCTTCTCCAGCTCCTGGAGCTCCTCGCTGGAGACTTGTGGGGCCGGGTCAGGTTTAAGGAGCGGGCGATCATCCTTGCCTGAGGCATCGTCGTGGGCCGGCTTGCCGGAGCCGTCGTCGGCGACGGGCTTTGCTGGTTTGGAATTGAGGTCTTTGAGTTCGGACTCCATTGGAAAGTAACTGGGGAGTCTCGGAGGTTTCTAGTGAAGGGCCATCGAAACGATGACGTTTACGAAGTGTTTAGATCTGGAAAGAGGAGTGTCTCTCTCTCTCTTTTTTGATCTCGTGAAGAAGGTTAAGGTTGTGTTGTGCCGGGGACCGGGGCTGGCTTGCAGGTTGCTTGCTGCACATCAAAACTCGTATTAAAAATTTAATTATAGGCCTTTAAAATAAGATAAAATAAAATTACCACCCGGGAAGATATGAGGAGTCCATACACGAGAATACGAACAGGAACGAAATGGTGGCGAATTGTAGCGTACCATGTAAGCCGCTGATGCCCGCGAACTGGAGATTGTGGGTCCCAGATTCCTTGTCTCATTCCCATCCCAACTGTAAAAACAAAAAAAGTATTTTTATATTTATTTAGGCAAAAAATATATATTTATTTCTATTAAAATGCTTGGTCGTCAATGGGTCAGGTTGAGGAGGCCTGGCCCATATTGGGTTGGTCATGGTCAACTATAAGTAAACGCTGCTGATGGATCAATCCAAAGATTGGGCCTGGACCAAAGGTGAACTATTAAATTTGGGTTGGGTTGAATCAAAAGACAAAGTCAAAAACGAAAATCATCTGTATTAGGGAGGTGTCTTGATTGACCCAAAAAAGAGAGAGGTGTCTTAAAGATGAACATATGTTTTCGGCTTTCTCTGATTCTGGACTCTCAACAAGTCTGCTGGAGATCAGAATCTCCTGATTTTCTTGAATGTTTTGTTGAATTTTAGGTTTAAAGTTTGCGTTTTTTATTTATTTATGCAACACTATATGAAAAAGGGATTTATTTTATTTTATTTCTGGTATGTGATATCTAGTAGAATTCTACAAGGAGAACCAAGGGGCGTTCGGATTCAAGTGAATCGGGAGGGTCAAACGAGAGAAAAAGATTTGTAAAGCCATAGGAAAACGTAAATAGAAGAGGGACACTTGTTAAATATTTATTCTCTTCTTTTGTCCCTTGCAGATAACGGCTTCAAAATGCTAGGCTTAAAGGCAAAATGCTGCATTCTGGATATATTCATCATAATCCAAATAATCAAACAGTCACCAAAGGATCAAAATCAGCTTTGGCCTCTTCATCATCCGTGTCCCAGTCCAGTTAGAAGAACAAGTGAGTTGCTTGCTGCCTTTGCTGATGAGTTTATGCCACCACTCTGCTATTACCAAAATAATACAAGTGAGTTGCTTCTGCTCTTGTTCTTGTAGCACACCCGTACTTCAAATTTGTGCAGTTGTTAACAACATGAATACGAAAGTATAAGTTGATGCCGAATAATACCAGTCAAGCTGAAACGTTAATGGAAGACCGACCGTAACACATTCAACAGAGTTGGACATGAAAAGATACCAGCACCATTGACTGTGGATGCCAACATTAAGTCGGCAGGCAACTTAAAAGTCCTTAAGAGTTTCTGGTATAAGATGGCTGACATACAAAATGAAACGGCAAATTTACAGATAGACAGGAAAATATTTCCTTAGACTCACCAGCACTTGCCAATACTCTTTTCATCATCATCACACAAACCCATCGATTGATGATTGAGAGAGAAGAGTGCACTTGTCACCACTCTGTTAGTTTAACTGATTAGTTAAACCAATTTTGAAATTTCTTTAAGCACTGTGTTGTTCATGTTCTTGAAAATTAATGATAGCACAACACTGCATCAAATCATATGTCAAAGCAAAGTCAAGTCCAGAAAGAACAAAACCTACCCTATATGAGCACTGTAATTGGTGATCATTAGGAAGGAACTGTGGCAACTGAATGGGTAGGAAGGAACAAGAGGAGTTTCAAGAACGAGTAAAGGTTTCAGTTGCACTTTATCCTCATATTCTTCCACAAAAGTAAAAAGGGAATATTGTTCCTAACTGGTCAATACGCCAAGTACGACGACAACGAAGATGCATAAGACAACTAAACATGAAAATCACAAGCTTCATAGCCCATTATTGGTTTTAAATCCCAAACTAGGAGCTTTTGATCAGTTGTTATGAATGTTGTGAGCTTCACAGTCACACATCTCTATTAAAATCTATCCAAAGAAGTTCCTTTCAGTCTCAATTATCTAAAACTTTGACATACTAATAAGTTCATGTACCAACTCTTGATCGATTGGTCTGAGTTTTCCTCAGCTAGAAATTACATACATCCCAATTCCTACAAAGAAACATTTAAAACGTAAAAGAAGAATAGCAATATGCACAAATATAAATCCTTATTGAACCACTGCCTTTTACAGCCTGTATGTAGTTTTATTCATGAGAAATGTAACAACCAGAAAAACAAGGACCTCTTCCTTACAATTTGCAGTTTCAAGCTCTAAACTGATCATTCAATAAGCAAATTAAGGAACAAGTTTCCAGCAACCATACCTTGTAAGAAGGACATGAAACTCAGCAAGACATCCAATTCTTGTGAGTGCTAATTAGTGCCGATAGCATCCCGGCTAACGATATCGAAAGCGGCCCCAAAAAGGGCCCATCGCCGTCACGAATATCAGCTAATGCCATTAACGCGTCAGCCGCATCTTGAACAACAGAAAGCCTCTTCATCAATTTCTTTTCACACAATTTACATAATCTCTCCTTTTCTTCCTGGCACTTATTTCCCCTCGTAATTGCGATCTCAATGCTCGATTTCAGGCACTTTTCATCTTCGGAAATTCGATTCAAATCCCTAAATTTCAACGAAATGCTACCGACGTACCCAATGAACTCGGCCCAAGCGCTGATTTTTTGCAAACTGCGCGAGTGTTTGCTATCGATCAAACCAGATTTGGCCAACCAAATGAATTGCTCGACGAAGAAATACAAGCCCTCGCCTCCGTAGGCGATGAGGGAGAGGACGAGGTCTTCATTCGAATCGAAATTCGAGTTTCTCAGAGCGTTCACGTCCTGGACGAACTTGCCGAGCCTAAAGGCTTTGCGGCTCACCCCTACGCTTGACTCGAAGCTCTTGAGGCGGTGAGTTAAGGTTAGGGTTTCGGGGAGGGCAGATGAGGCGAGTATGATCTTGGTGGCGTACCTGGATATCTTGAGGAGCTTGTCCACGCCATCTCTCTTTGCGAGGTACGCTTCGACGTGGTTCAGGAAGTCTCTTTCCTTCTTGGGATTTGATGGAAGATTATTAGGTTTTTCCTGGTTCAGTAGAGGAGTGGCAGTTGTTGAAGCTTTGGAATCCATGTGAGTTGCAGAGAGCGAGCGAGAGAGAACCAAACTCTTGCTTGGTCAATTGTTCGTTAGGAGAAAATGTATCACCTACAACCAAACGACACCGTTATGGCTCCTAAAATAATAAATTTCACGTTTTTGAAGCCCTACGGCGCCGTTCGGCGCGAAAACCGTTCACCTTCTTTTATTTGGCCGAGTGCCACCTGTTGTTCTATCTTTTCGTTTATTTTTTATTTATTTTCTTTTGTTCGAAGATTCTTTAATGGGCTTTTGTGCCAGGAATTGGGCTAACTAAGAGATCGCATGAGTAAGTTCCAAATCCAATTGTTTACAACTTGCACAAATTACACTCAGCCCAACTTGAACCCACTTTTTGGGAAGTTGGGCTAAGTGTAATTTGATCAGAGATTTACCAACTCCCTTGAAACAAAACAAAGGTTGACATCATATAGATTGATCAGATCAGAGATTGACGAACTCCCTTGAAATCTCAATCAACGAACGGATTTACAATATGTTGTTCAACCAAGAAAAATTTGGCAATATTTTTAAGTAGATGTAAAATAGAAAATTCGTAATGGTGTCATCAGTTTATTGCTAATGACAACCTTTAGAATTTGGGCACAACACACACACTTGCATGGCGAGATCAGTTGGACTTGTAATTTTAGGATTTGCAATGTTACCTACGGATTCGAGTCCTTATATTTAGAGGTGGTGCATTTATTCGGTATCCGTTACATATATAACAAATCAAGGTGAGCCTCCCGCCCTCCATTCGTCCGCCAGGCCTGCCAGCGATGCATTAGACGACCCGCCTAAACCCAAAGCTTTGAGTGCAGTACCTTGAAGCTCTATCACCTTCTGCCTCATCGCCTTTCCTTGTTCACCTTCCATAACAGACCTCACCACCCTCTCAACCTCACCTCGCCCCACCACCGCTCTGTCCCCAGCCGGCTTCGGCCACACAGCCACTCCCATATCCACCAGCATCCTCGCGTTCATGCTCTGCTCAGCGTACAGAGGCCACGCAATCATCCCTACCCCTTGAGCTATGCTCTCCAACACAGAATTCCACCCGCAGTGCGTCACAAACCCAGCAACGGACCCATGACTCAGCACCGCCACTTGCGGGGCCCACGAGGATATCACCAGGCCCCTCTCCCTCGTCCTGTCCAGAAACCCATCTGGCAAATACGACGCCGCACCCTCCGCATCATAACCGGCTTCGAAAAAGCTCCCCGACGCACTGACTTCACTCGGGGGTCGCGCCACCCAAACGAACCGTGTTTGGCTCAGTTCCAGTCCCCAAGCCAACTCGCTCATCTGTTCACCAGACAGCGTCCCTCCGCTCCCAAACGACACGTATACAACCGAATCGGGTGGCTGCTTGTCCAGCCACGTCAGTATCTTCTTCGATTCCAGTGTTGACGTCAGCGGTTCATCTTCATTGCCCTTGGTCATGGGTCCGATGGGATAAACCGGCGGCGCTGGTAGACCAAGAAAGAAAGGATTCTTCCTAACAGCGCCAAGGGTGACCGGCTCAAGTTCTTCCCATGTATTTATGAAAACGCCCTTGACCAACGGAATACGGTTGCATAGAGGCAGGACTTCTGGCATCAAAACCCCAGGGATTAGATCGTCAAGCAACAAGGGGTTGCAACCGGGGACAACAACCTTCTCGGCGATCTTAGAATAATCTCCGTCAACCTGTGCATGAAGCGTGGGGAAGTACATGGTCAACGCCGTAAACGAAGCGGAAGTCGTCAAGAAAAGGTACGTGGGGATGGAGAAGGCGGCGGCGTATTCGAGGGCTCCCACGCAAAATGGATCGACGATGAGAGATTGGATGTGCGGTTGCATATTTGTTAGGACTGATGGTAGATAGCTGAGGGTCTGCTGGACGACGAGAACTATGCGAACGGAGACGCCCGTGGAGGCGGTGAGTAGATTTGACACGTCAACATGAGGGAGGTGGATGACGTGGAGGTCTGGAAGGAGGGTGGAACTGTTGAGGAGCTGAATCTGGGCGGGTGGTGCGTCGGTGGAGATGGCAAGAAAGGTGACCTGGAAGCCGTGGTCAACGACGAGTCGTTTGGCTAGCTCAAGGAGAGGGGTGACGTGTCCCACGCCTGGGCTTGCTAGGACAGCTACATGGGGCTTCTTCTGGGTCGTCTCTCTGGCCACCATGTTTGTAAAATCGCAGCTCTAGACTTTTTAATGTGAATTAGAAAAGGCAAAGCAAAGAAGTTGGTTTATGAATCGAGTGATGAGCAAAAGCTTTCTCCACATGATGTTTCTAACTCCAACTCACCATTGTCTACTCTTTTGAGCTGATAACATTATCTTATTGTATTCATGTGCATACTCAGTTGTAAATCATCCAATTAAATAGAATACTACATTCTTCATCGAGAAGGTCAATGAATCAGCAAAACACGCAGAGAGAGAACATGTTTAAGAAATAATAATAAAATGAGAGACTCCAATATAAGCTCATACAACTGATATCCCCTAGACACAAACCCATCTATCTATATAACTTCGTTGAAAACCCAAATTCAAATTTAAATGACCAGTAGGATATAAGAGGTCGTAGTATTTCTATGTTTTTACATCGTTGCCACTAAACTTCATATTTTATTTATAATTTATTTCAAGCATTTCATTAACTGCCATAATTGTAATTAATATACTCCCTATTAATAGCATATCAATCACCCCATTTCTTTTAGTTGTCATTCCCTCTCACATCTCGCCCCCTAAAATTGCAAACAAACAAAAAAAACTGTAAATTACATATCCAATAATGTACCTATGAAAAATATAATATAAATATATACATATAAAATATAGGTATATTATTTACCCAAAAAAAAAGTCAGTTACTTTGTAATTGCGTATATTTTTCATAATTAAAAATAGGTACACAATAATTTATATAAAATATAGGTACATTATTTGAAGAGGAAAGATAGGTACATTATTAGAGGAAAAAAATTGGTAAGTTATTTGGAGAGAGAAAATAGGTTCATTTAAAAAAATTACGTTTGATAAAACAAATAATAGGTACTTTATTCAGAGAAAAAAGGCTATATTATTTATAGTAAAAAATAGGTACATTATTTAGATAAATAATAGGTACTTTATTCGTAGTAGGTATATTATTCAAATGGTAGGTACATTGGATGACATATAATACCTAAATCCTAATTGTAAGTACATTAAAATTAATGTAGGTATATTGGAATAGATAATTATGTACACTTTTCATACTAGGTAAATTATATTTTTCATAAAACAAATAGGTACATTATTTTTTCAACATAATTAGTATGTACAGTTTTATTCATAAACAATTATAAAGTGGATTATTAGTCATGTATAATTCATAAAAAGAAAATAACATAAACATTTTATTAAACAAACCAATTACCCAAATTTGAATTTATTGTTAAATTTTTTTTAAAATGTTCCAAAATTAATTCCTACATCTATTACAACCATTTGGAGATATTTCCAAATTCAACATATGTCATTATATACAATCCAATTAAAAACTGTTTCCATATTGATTCCTACATTAATATACAAAATGCAATAATGGCTTAGTTGGGGGTATTTTTGGAATCTGAAAAGTACAATAAATCAGATTTTATGCTTAATTAGGTAACTTGCTGAGTTGGATCCTAGTCATGGGTTTTTACTTATACAAATTGGGTATTATTTATAGGAACAAAAAGTGAAAGGTTTTAGGTATGGCAAATTGAATTTAAAGGGTGTAAGCCAAATTTACTATAATAAAATACATGTTCTTCGTCCCGTAACTTACGTTGCCTTAACAAATAAATACAAGTATAAAGCATTTGTCACCTTGTACTACGCTAGCAAAGTGTTAAGAAAAAGCTTGAAAAGTCAAACAGAGTGTAAATTCCTTACTTACAACCTTTGTTCATTAAAAATAAAAAAAAAAAAAAAAAAAAAAAAAAAAAAAAAAAAAACAACAACATCTGTTCATTTTGCACAAAAAACACCAAGAGCCTGTCGGTTTGTTTTTGTTTTCGTTAGATTCTTGAAGAGAGTACCTCGGAGGAGTTATATTATACGAAAACAAAACCTCATCAACAACTATATATAAAAAACAATGTCCCTCTCCAGATCTGGGATATACTCGTTTCATGCTGCGCATGTTCATGCCCAATATTATTATTGGATTAACAAAATGTACCAACAGGCGGACTCAGAAATTTTTTAGCAAAGGTGCAATATTGACTAAGTATGAAAAATGATTTTTTTGAATAATCATTTTCTCAAGATAACTTTTGGCGGCTTTTATTCCTTACACCTCAAATAAGAAAACTTGATTTTATTGGATTTTAGTATGAAGTATATATTGACTTAATGAGCCATCATTTTTAGCCTAAATCGTATTTTGCACTAAAACCGAATTTTCATATTTTGATTTGGTGGGAATTTGATTTTCTAGTATTTTTATTTGAATCCAAATGTACTTCATTATTTACATTGTAAACTTAAGTAAATGGAGTAATATAAAAATAAATAAAAGTAAAAAGACAAAGACATTTACTTAAATGTTGAAAATTGAAATAAAGTAATATGTACACCAGCTGAGCAAATTGGCAATTTGAAGCACTCACAATGGTTTTTCCAGCAAGGGGAGGTGCAGTGCACCTCCTTGCGTCTTACTACGTCAGCCAGCGGACAGCAGTTCTAAAAGGGATCACATTCACAAGACACAGAGTTGAGATGTGTATGCTAGCAATAGAATATGCTCATCATCAATAGTTTGATGGTGTGCGCCTTACCTTGCCTATCTGCATATGTGATGCAAGACCGTGTGACTTGTCGAATATCTCATGTGGACACCCAAATGCAGACTAATATTATTTAGGACCACACTTTTTGTCAATCAAAAATAATTCAGTACCAATTATTTGTCACCTAATAGTTTTAATATTTGTCTTGTTTCAATTTTTACACGCTCACTTTCCCCTCTCCCACTCTTGTATTTTTTTTCTCTCTCGCTTATTCTTTAGTTAGTTGTAAACCCAATGAGGAAGACGAACTCAGTTTTTGAGCCCAACTCAAGTAAGAACGTGAAGTAAAGTAGCATTCTCTGAGACGAGTCAGATTCAATCATATGACAAAGTTGACAAGTCTTGAACAATCTGCCATAGGATTGTAGACCCTCTAGCTAGCTAAACATATTGAGAATCAGCAAATCTCTTTAGTCACGTTTAAGTCAAGCCATAATTGTAGGATCTGCTCTTATGCAATCTTTCCATTATTCTGATTGTAATTAGTTGCAAGACTTTAGGGGCACAAGTTTAGTTAACTTTACTTGTACAGCTTTTCCTTTCTTATATTTAAGATTTGTATCTGCTTGCTAAAATATCAACGAAACCACAAGAGAAATTTCTTCTCTTTTACCAATTTTAACAAAATAAGCCACAAACAAGAATTCAAATAAATCGATCAAATGCAGCGGGAGGGAGGTCGATGACATGGAGTCCGGACAGGAGGGTTGGGGAGCGGAGGAGGTCAGTTTGGGCAGCGGAGACTTTAGTGGTGATGTTGAGGAAGCTGACATGGTGGAGGACGAGGCGCTTGGAATTCTATTAGTGACTAGTCTCGTGATGTACGTATATATAGAGAAGAGAAGAAATGAAAGAAAATGTATGATCAGCTAGCGTAGGATGTTGCATGCATTAGTTGCATCTGGTGTCCATGCAAACCTTGTATCCTTTGGAAGGGATCCAGATTCTCTGCTCTGATTTTCTCTGCCATAATCTGCTTTACTTTTGTTTTCCACAAGCCACCTCATTAAAATTTAATCTAACGGATTTAAAAGTTAACACATCATCTTTAAAACAAAAACCAATTTACTACTAATTTAAAAACAAACAAAGATACCCTAACCCAACTACCGACCTCTGCAAGCTGTCATTCCCCAAAACCTCTGTAATCTCTTATCTTTCCTTTCTACAAGATTAAAAATAAAATAAAAAAATCTTCCCATATCCATTGTTTGAAGATGGTGCCAAGAAAAAAGTATTCCCTTGTTGTTTTCCTAGATAAAAGAGAAATCATGTTTCAATATCTAGATTCCGGGTTTGTTTGTTGACATGCTTTTCTCTTATTTTTTGTCCCAGCTACATGCTCATATTTATTGGTCCCTTCTACATGCTCCTATGTTTTTTTGGTTTTCTTCCTATCTCCAACAATTCAAAACTTACACTTTCTCACCGAAACTAGTTGGGTTTCTGTCTGGCTTTGAATTGGATTTCAATGTTTTGGTATCATCAAGAGAAACAAAGCCAAAAAAAAAGTCTAAAAGATCAAATCCAACAGGGTGTAGGGAGTACAGTAAAGAAAAAGAGACTCAATATTACAGCAAACAAACCAACAAAAGAAGTACAAAAAGTTGTCTTTAATCAAACCAATACAAAATAAGAAAATTGTATTTTCTCCCATAATAAAAAATTGTGCAATTGGGTGGAAAACCTGCAGAGAAAGAAAGTAGATAAAAACAGTTGAAAAGGAGGGACGTTGAAGAGAAGGGAGATAGAAAAAAAATTGCAAGAGTAAAGTTTCTTGATAGTTCAATTAGGGTTTTTGTTTTGTTTTTAAATTAGTAGTAAATTGGTTTTTGTTTTAAAGATGATGTGTCAACTTTTAAATCCGTTAGATTAAATTTTAATAAGGTGGCGTGTGGATAACAAAAGTAAAGCAGATCATGGCAGATAAAATCAAAGTAGAGGATCCGGATTCCTTTGAAAGTGCGTCTCTTTTTGTTTCTTTCTTTGTTGCTTTAATGGTACATGGGCTTAAATTAGACAATAAGCCCCCGTTTGTTACATATGATTATTTTTTAAGACAGGAATATTCAGCTATTTATCACTATTGATTTGATCTGTCGCACTCCTTCAGTACTAATTCCCCAACAAATAATTTATGGGGGGATGGATGACTAAAGTCTAAATCAATATTTGCATTATTTGATGCTTTATGAAGGTGACCTCTTTTTTGTTTTTTTCCCATAAAAAAGGGTGGAAATCTTAATATGGTAGAATTGTCGTAGTTGACCTTGAGCTGATGATATTATTTCCCAATCATACCACACAAGCGCGACAGCAGCCTTTGCCTTCTCACTTGGCAATACAAATTTTTATTCTAATTAATTAATTAATTACGCTGTGTTGCGTGTTACATTTTCTTACCTAATAATTATCCACTACATATCATATATTCAACTGATGGATTTTTTTTAACAAACTCTTAACTTTTTTCCTTTTTTTTGGGCAGAAAAACTCTTAACTTAAGCAAAGCAAACACATAAATTTGAGACTGTTAGTCAAACACGACGGCAGTCGCTGACCACAGTGAGATTCGCTTTTATTGTGTTCAGTTAAATGAGCAATAGCAACTAGAATTCTATAACTCTTATTCGAACCTCTATCTCTTAATCGTTTGATCAAATTAATGTAACACGCAATGAAAAAGTATGGTCTCATCTAATGAACTTAGATAACGTCCCCACAATAGCAATGGAAGCTGCTCTCCTCTCCTCTGCTAGGACCAAGATAGAAAGGCCCAGCCCAATCAATGTTGAGCATACCGAGTCGGATACATAAATAGCCGTTGTATACCCACTATTGTTTTCGTCTCTTTTTGTTCAACTTTGGATTCTTTTACTCAACGGTAAGGAAGCCACCTTCCCACCAAGACCAAGCTTGTGTATATCATCTTTCATTCTCATCTTATCTTATAAGTTATATGCAATGCAACAAACAAGTAACACGTAAGCACGTAACCCATTTTGCAATTTACATCATCCCCCAAACGTTACCAACTGACTGCGACTCATAGCCTAAAACCACCGGTTGTTCCTCCAACCGCCACTTTCCGCCTTCTATGGTTTCTGGTGGTGATTCACTTTGAATACCTGAAATACCATCAATACCCCTTCAATCAACTCATAACATGATGGATCCCCATTTGTATGTTATGTATGTTTATGGGTGTAGACTAATGAATTTGATAGATTGTCAAAAGAGAGGCAGCTTAATTAATTAAGCTTTGAAACAAACAATTTAAACTACTTTCAATTAATATAATTTAAAGAAAATTCAAACTTATGAATGTTCGAAACAAATTAATTAAATTCAAATTCAAATTCGCATGTAACCAACCTTAAAACCAACAACAAAGGAATTATTTTATCATAATCAAGTAATTTTGGTTCGCTTCTCATTTTCGTGGCCCCATTTCTTGTTCTTGTTATTCTACTTTTTCTTTTATTTTTTATGACAAACTTAAATACAATTTCAACAAAATTGATACACTAACTATGATTCATTAAGCATATTTTATTTACATGATATCGCTTTTTTATTGAATTAAGGAAGAAAAAAAAATCAAATCTCTCTTTCAAAAATTGTAAATTTAGAATATTAGAAAGTTATTTGGTACCATGTCCTAATTTTGAAGCAACTCACAGTTAATGCAATTCAGGGAACTGCGTATGGGCAATTTGGGCATTTCGGGAAAACTTTGCCCATACCATCGCTTTCAAAACCAAAACGGTTCAATGTCTGTCACCGACACGCAAGCACTATTTACCGGGTGTTACCGGTGCCTTACCCATTCCGGCAATGCGTTTTAAATTCGCAGAGAACAGTCGTTTTGTCGTCACTTTGCGCCCCTCTGCTTTCTCCACTCCACGCTCACGCTCCTCACACCTCACCTGCTCTGTTTCTGCTCTCAGCTTCACTCAACCTTTTTTCTTACCGTTTTACCCTCCGCTGACGCCCTAATATCCTCTCTAACCACCACCACAACCCCCAAGCAAACACACGCAACAGAAGCATAACCTTTCTTCTTCACGAGAAAATTCAGCTGAAGCGTCGTCGTTTTCGAGCTCAAAAGCAAACCCAGCTGGGCTCTCTTTTGAAAATATCTACAGCAATGTCTGTGGCTACAAAGCTTCAATCTTCGATTTGTGAGCCCCGAGCTGTACTCGGTCCCGGCGGGAACAGAGTTAGGGTTTCAGAGGCCCCGAAACGCAAGAACGAGGGCTTGAAGAAGCCACCGCAGAGGCCGACAAAACCTGTATCGGAAATTCCAGAAGCGGTTGTACGGAACAACGTTTCGGTGGACAGCACCTGCTCTTCTGATACCTCGTCGAGCTGTTCATCTGCCAAAACGGTGAGTCCTAGAAGGACTGTAAGGCACAAGAGCTTGAGGCCTGCGAAGCTTGTTTCGGACGATATGGAGGTCGTCAAGCCCGCGGGTCCACCTAAACGGTGTGAATGGATTACACCGAACTCTGGTAAATTAGCCGTGCTTTTGTTCATTTTCCTCTTATATATATTTGCCTGCTGCGAAATTGATGAGAAAGATATGAAAATTTGGAATTTTGAGAGTAAAATGCTTTCCTTAATTTATACATGCAAGAAATATGTTTTTTTTTTTTTTTTTTTTTTTTTTTTCTTTCTTTTCATATAAAAGATTATGAAGTTTCTTTTATAATTATATTGCTTTATATTGATAATTAGGTGGACCTCTTTACTGTGCAGAATTGTTTGATTGAGGATAGGGTAGAGTGTTTGAGAATTGAGAATGTTACTTAGTTTGAGTGACATAATTTTATTACCAAGATGGTGCAAATGTGTTTCTTGAAGAAACCAAAAACTCAATTAGGAATTAACACAATTCTATGCCTGAAGAGTTGCAACATTTCTTTACAAGGGCGTTGGCTTCCACCGGAATATGATCCTTAACATTTTTTTGACTTCCATTGATTAGCCGCCTTAATCGAAACATTGCTTTCTGGCCTAATGAAATTTCTTGCTTGCTACTTTAACTTGAACAACAGACCCAGTTTATACTTGTTTCCACGATGAAGAATGGGGGGGTTCCAGTTTATGATGATAAGAAGCTGTTTGAGTTGCTCGTCCTTTCACAAGCTCTAGCCGAACTCAGTTGGCCAGAAATTCTACACAAGAGAGACATGTTCCGGTATGCTTGTTTCCATTTATCATAATCCATATTGCATCTATAGTTTAGCGAGCTTTGTGAAGAAAGATATGCCTGTAGACTGTATGCTTATAGTTTTATACTTGTTTTGTCCCCTTGGGCCCCTTGCAGGAAACTTTTTGACAACTTTGATCCGTCATCCATAGCAAAGTTTGAAGAGAAGAAGCTACAGTCTCTCAAAGTAAATGGCATTCCATTGCTATCTGAACAAAAGCTTCGTGCAGTTGTGGAGAATGCTATGCAAATGCTCAAGGTAATCAATATGCATTGCATGATTCATTGCTTAAGCACGCATTCATAATGTGCTTTCCCTAGTTTCCAAAATCAAAAAATGATTCCTTTATTGAAATCCTTCTAAAATAATAGGTTTCCATGTGATTCACACATTTGTACCTTGCAGGTTCAGCAGGAGTTTGGTTCCTTCAGTAACTACTGCTGGAGCTTTGTGAACCACAAGCCAATAAGAAACGGATTTCGTTATGGACGCCAAGTACCGGTGAAGTCGCCAAAAGCTGAAGTCATAAGCAAAGATTTGATGAAGAGAGGCTTCCGTTGTGTTGGTCCTACTGTCATTTACTCGTTTATGCAAGTGGCAGGGATTGTGAACGATCATCTCCTAACATGCTTCAGATACAAGGAGTGCGATGCAAATGACAAAAAATTAGACCTGAAACTTAAGATGGAAGAGAAGACGGAGGTGCTAAAACTAAGTGAAGCTATGGAGATTGGAGAGCACAAATGACTGAGACAAACTTTGTTACTAATTACACAAATCCACATAATTTAGAAATTACTGTAAGAAGGTAAAAAGTAGATGTTTTCCATTTTTACTTTGTAGTCGTTGCGTGCTTTTCTCATGCCACTGTCTGTGTCTCTGTCATTAAACTAACCAACCAGAAAATCATTGTCTTAGACTCTTACCTCTGTGTAAGAAGCTGATGCTTTGTAGAGATCAGTGTGAGTTGTCAAATTTGCTGCCTTATCGTCATTTTGGTGTCTTGTAATAAATATTCACATTATCATAGAAAAGCACGTGTTTGTGATCATGAACGCTTGTTTGGTGCATTGTGTTTAAAATTTTCTTCAACGTTTGCGATTGAATACAACGTTAAAAGAAGGTTTAATACGATGGATTATTATTAGGCATGAAGAACGAAACCTCTATATATATAAGCACGCGGACGCATAAACAGCAAAATAAAACTTTCCAATGTACAACAACGTTCCCATTTTGCTGTGGGTTTTCTGAGTCTGCAAATTTGATTATAAAAATAAATAATAATACATAAAAAGAACGGTTAATTTGAACAAGAAGCGGTACACAATATTCTGAAGCTGAGAACATCCCAAACAAAGTCGAATTGAGAAAGAAGGAATAAAATAAACTTAAAACGCAAACGAAATCTAATTTCTAGCAAGCAATATAACCAAGTATGGTTCGAGATATGCAGTTTGACCCAGAAAGGGTTGTGGCAGATGAACAAGTACAACCTCTTTTCTTTCTCTTCCTTCATAACTCAGCAACTCACACTCTGAATCCAAACCACCCCACCCAATTGCTGGGCTTAACTTCGAGGCTTACCACTTCCAAGTGTGAGCTCCAAATCATCCAATCCCACCTCATGAATCTTCTCTCCAATCCACGGCTTTACCTCTGGGATCTCACTGTCAGGCAAGTTTTGGTGAGCAACAACAGGCTTCACAAGATTGAAAGTGGGAGAGGCTGGCATTGCTGACAGAGAAGGAGCAAATCTCCGGAAGCAAACCCATTGCCCAGAATCAACAGTGGAAGTATCAGACTCGTCACATTCGGGAATGGTAGCAGCTGGAAAATGGAGCTGGTGACGGGTCGGGCTAGCCGGAGCAGAGACAGCAGAAAACGGGTAATCGAAAGAGGCCATGGACTGTTTAGCAATGGAGTCCCAGTTTGGAATTGGGTTGGGGTTTCTGGAGGTTGGGGATGAGAGCGGTGGGGTTACAGGGGCACTATTGGAAATTCGCAGAGGAGGGAGAGACGAAGGAATTGCAGAGCGCAGATAGCGACTGGGATTGGATGAATTAGTGCTGGGATCGAAACGGCTTGGGCTTGGATAGGAAGACGACGAAGGACTGGCTTGGTAGGATGGGATTGGACTAGGATTTAGAGAAGAGTAAGGGCTGATCATGGTTGATGTGCCCGGTGTATCAATTTGGGTTGGCTTCAATCCCTGTACAACACCACCACCATCACATTATTAGAATTCATCAGTAAATTAATTTTCAGGTGGATTTTTCCTTTGGATCTGAGCTATGACAATTATGGGAAAATAATTAGAAATTAAAAAAAGACATTGAAGAATTGGGACAATTAAAGTGAACTGAAGAAGAGAAGAGAAGAGGGACCTTGCGATAGGTGGTGCCGTCGTCTTCGACGGTCCAGCCAGCCTGGAGGCAGAGAGCTTTCAACACCTCGTTGTTGTCGCAGTGCTTGGGCAAATTGAAGTTGCCCTGAGCTCGGAGCCCTGCGAATATCTTCGCAGCTATGGCTCTCCTCCTCCTCTCTCTCCTCCGGTTGTTCTCTCTCTCCCTCCACGACGGCTTCCTTCGCGCCACCGTCGCCGCAGACGTGGCTCCATCCGACGTCATTCTCCAATCAATTATCTTCCCTCTCTTTTCCCTCTCAGTATCAGGCGCTGTGCAATGTCGAGCTCCGCGTAAGTTGCGTCGCAGGCGATTTAAGCTCGGCAGAATCAGAGATGGAGATGCGTGTGTTCACGAGGAATGCGCTTTTGCTTTTTCGCTGGTTTGTGTAGAAGAATCTCTCTCTCAGTGTTTACAAAAATAAAGCCTGACTCGGCCATGTTGAAATGTGTCGCGTGTGCACTCAAAGACCTTGACGGCGTCGTTTATTACCTGCGTTGTAGTCATACTCGTTTACTAGTGATTAATTGAAGGCCGTTAGATTACGATCAGGGCATATGGAGGGCTAGTAATTGAGGACCGACCTCATGCAACAATAACAGAATGGTGTTCTGAGGTGCACGCAAGTCCATTCTGATGCGAGTGAGAGAGAGAGAGAAAAACGCTTTGCCGCGTGGAGTTTTATTATATAACTGTTTTTTTCTTTTCGCCGATGACCTAATAATTCTCTTGCGGGTCCGGCAGTTGCAGTGGGACCCGCTTCTGAAAACTGTGGGTTTTTCTGTTTGCATGGGGATTTGGGTTCGCAACAGAAGAGAAGAAAAAAAACAGTTTTCGAATGAACAATGGGCTTTTGAGTGGTGACATTTAATCGACAGGCCCAACCCAAATTTTCCAGGTCCGCACCAAAAAAGACTACAAAACTGATTGCATTGGAATAAAGGAGGAAAAAAACAAAAGAAGCTCTCAGGTTGCTTCATGCATGTTTAAATTAAATGGTGATCATTTTGTTCAAGTTAATGTGAAAAACCAAAAACCAAGTCTTGACATGACGCCTTGTTTATTAATGGGAAGAGAATTTGAATTACACTAGCACACAAATGGCCTCCTACTACAACAAGTATCGGCTGAAAATTGTGACACAAAACAATCTCCCTGCTCACCTGAAATGTAGAAACACTCCAGGAAAGACAACCTTCACCCCTATACAGCCTTGGACCTTGAACAAGCAACCCTAGATAACCGGATTGAAAATCTTCTCAATTGCACCCGGGGAAATAGTCGGTTCCCACCCATTGGCGACCATCAATTGCTTTTCTCACATTTGATTGAAACAACTCTGGATCATCCCTCAAAACATCAGCTGCCTCATGGTTCAAGGGATCCTCATAATTGGGTTGCTGCATAAGTAAATACTCAAGATTTGAGTAAGCAACAGGGGAACATACAAATAAAACTTAGCAGAAAAAAGAATCGGAGATACCGTGAATAGGTGAGACAATCCATAAATAACAGTGTTTATGTTGAGGACAGGTTTCCAATCTTCTCGAAGAATGTTAAGACAAACATTCCCTTCCAAGTCAATGTTGGGATGATAGATCTGCAAATGGTATACAACATCAGAAATTGTAGTGGTGAATAAAATGGTTTGCCGCATTAATACCAATAGACTGGAAAATAAATTTGGCCCAAAATGGGGCGCCTATGTTTCTTTACCTTTGTTTCACACTTGATCTTTGGAGCTTCATGAGGGTAGATAATGGGAACATGAAATGAGAAGACAAACCTGCCACCACTGTCACAGGAGGTAGAAAAGGGAGGGCATTTAGCTAGATGACATCAAATTTGCAATTCGAAACAATTTCCAGAAACCAAATTAAATTTAAGCAGAAGATTTAAGTGTCCTGATCAAAGATAACTTACATATAATATCCCTCGTCCGGTTCAATGGTGACCTCAAAGTTCATCAGATCGTTCTTTCCATTAGGGAAAGATATTTCACATGCTTTTGGTAGGTTCAACTCACTTATGTCTACAAGAAACAAAAAGGTAAAAATCATAATCTGGTCTCAAGATAGATATGTGAACAGAATAATACAATTCAAGGACTACTTGAAGGAATTAAATATATACCAAATTGTTGCTTATTCAAAGTTTCATTTAAAAACATATTCAGGAAGCTGATAGGATGGTATTGGCAGAGCTGACACTTCATAAGTTGAATACCACATTGCAAGAATTTGATAGTTTGATCGTAAAACGGGGCAAGGAATGAGTTCGATGAGATAATGGGAGCAACAAAATAATCATAACAGAGTCGTATAAAAATCTGATTTATGTAAAATGAATGTTACAGGGGAGACTGATGGAAATGATGTGTGCAAGTATATGCTCCTGAACTACAAATACGAATAATTACAACACGTAAGTAAGCTGTTTATGAGGATGCACCAAATCATCATTGGACATGATGATATCACTTGCTGCTATGCAGATTATTCCACGCAGACAGAAAAGAAAGATGTCAATTATATCACATATCTACATTCTAGATTACTGATGAATAGGCAGGGATTGCATGGGTTATGCACATTGTTGCGAACATGCATGGAAAATAATGGTCACCAACATATACTCAAAAATGAAAGGTAAAAACCTCTATGAAGACGTAATTCCCCTGCACTTTGCTTCTTGACTAGGCCCTTCTCCTTTGTATTTTCTTCGATTTCCTTTTGCTTTTCTTTAACTTTAAATAGCCTGATCATTGTTTCTGGCAATTTATATTTATATATATATATATATATATATATAAGAAGATATATGAACAAATTAATTCAGGGGAATTAACATGCGCATAAACTATAACGTCAAAAAAATTACAAAGACTGCAAATTGTTCATCATGCACATTGGACAAGGCAACTGGCCAAGACAAAGAAAATGAAGCTAACCTGCTCGATGAAAGGCCGCAGAAAAGCAAAAGGAAATAAGTTGTTAAGCAAGCAAAGATGGAGAGAAACAAAGACGGACAAGGATGTACAATTTGAATGGGGAGAATCAGAAGGGAGGAGGCTTCGCTTGTCGTCCTCATTTCTCCTATTTACAGTCCTACTAAATACTCTCTTTTTTTTTTCTCGTCTGCTACTTGTTCGCGGGCACTATTTTTATTTGTTGGTTTGCTTTGATTCGTCTTTTTTATGGTCACCTTGAGCCTTCCATTTTCTGTCTAAATCCGAAAACGCAGGGTCCACGGGCTCCTCCTCTGATTATTAACGACATGTCGTATGCTGTATTCAAGTGTGAAAAATAAAACCATCCTCAAGTAAAAAGAAAACGCCGTTGCCGGGGATCGAACCCGGGTCACCCGCGTGACAGGCGGGAATACTTACCACTATACTACAACGACCTTGTTGTGCATGTTTTATGTTTTCTTCTATGTATCCTAAAGAGCCGGCGCCAGATTGAAGCCATGCTTACTTTCTTACATTACGTGCAAAACAGATGGCAAGAAAATGGACGTAACGAATTTCATTTTCTTGCAGCTGAGCAGGCCGAACTTATCAGTAACCGTTTTTAGCCTGAAAAATGGAAGGAGATAATGGATCCAATATTACGCACAGTTGGGTGTCATTCCCGACATTTGTATAAAAAAAAGCCCATTAAAAAGAAAAAGGAAAAAATTAAGGAAGAGGCCATAGCGTTGTAAGGAGCTCGCATTGCATATATGACATAGGTGTGACGTAATATTACCCAAATATTCTTTCAATTATCTCGAGTAAAAACTCATGAGCAACAGTTACGGCCAGTTCATGCCCATGCACGATACAATATTGCAAAGGATCCAAACGTAGCAAATTCATGTCATGAAATGAAAGAATTACCAGAAAATTAAAGGAAAGAGATGATGATGAACCAAATTAAAACGATAGAATCAAACAGAAGATCTTCATATCTACTAGCTAGTACAACTAAATTTCCCATGTAATTTCCTTCTGTGCTTCTCCAACTGTTGAAGATGACGCCACGTCACTATGTTGATTAGTTGCTAACAGCGGCTCCTTTTCTGCTTCTTTTCCTTTTGCTCCTCCTGCTTGTGCAAAATCTTGTAATTCCCCCTCCCCAAAAAATAAAAATAAAAATAGTTCTATAATTAATTAGTTAATTAGTTCACTCATTTTAGCTTAACATGCATATAATGATGTGAGCAGTATCAGTATGGAACCCGAGCCTCTTCATTTTGGTACGTGCATTTCAAGTAATCATGGCCATTAATCAAATCTAAGAGCTAGAAATGACTCCATGTCAGCATTAGTTAATTTCCCAAGAGTCACCGTTATTACTTAACGTCTTCCACATTCCTCATCACATCTCAGCATCGAGTCCATATCTTTCTATTCATTTGTTTTTGTTTCATTGCTGATTTTATATGCAAAGCAGATGGAGTGATGCCTAGACTTTGGAGCAATATTCAAACATTGACGATTCGTTGAGTGTAAAATGGAGTGCAGGCAGTCAGTTGATCCCTGTTATTACTTAAATATATTGAAATGGTTATACTTATTTATTGGTTTGGTATGACAAACGTACGTCTTACTGAAGAATTAAGCATGATATAAATAAATATACAAACAAAGAATGGCATTGACCGTTAGGCTTTTTTGGTTCAGTAATAGGTGGCTGCTTGATTTGGGATTTTGTTAGTTCTCTGTCGTCATTGTTTTTTTATCTTTCGCCATTTTGTTTCTTTCTTGTCATTGGGTGCTTCTTTTAATGAAAATTGGAGGGTTTAGTTGCAAAAAGAAGATTCATGTGGATTGGTGCTGCTCTGTGAAGCAGATTTTCTGTGAACAAATTGTGCTGCCAATGTCCTGACTGCGAAGAGTTATGATTTTGGTCCTGACCCCCTTGTGTTTTTGGAGGCTCCGGCTTTTTTTCAGTGCTAGGTTAGCTGCTGTTCTTTTTGGTTTAGGGCTTTAGCCCCCCTCTGTACCCACTAAAAAAAAATACAAAAACAAATAGCCCACCACACTGACAAATTTCTTATCACAATACCGAAGAATATAACTGAACCCTCTGGGGGGCGGGAATTGCAAAATCCCTACTGGCAGTAAACGAAAATTTATATAGGCATCTGCTTTGCAACAATAACGAGGCCTTCGCGGGAAGTAAAATAAAATGAATGTATAACTATGTCTTCATAAAATTTTTGGACTCCTGAAAACGAAGGGGTTCATTCCCCCAAGAAATCCATCCGGCAGTCATCTCTCTAGCAAAAAGTTCAATACATCGACCACGTTGGAGCCTCGGAGCATACTCATGTAACAATCCTGAAAGGAAAAAAGAAAGAAAAAGAAGATCCTATATTGGTAAACGTAGTCTGTATTGCCTATTTGAAAACCGGATACATGAATTGCAAACATGTATCCAACAAATGATTAGCAGTACGTACGTAACTACTACAAACGAAAGAGTTGTATGTTGTTGGTTAGAAGACTAAAGCTTTAATAAAGGACTACATATCTAATAATATAATCAGTATATCACCTGCAATTGGGGGTTTCCTTGAGTAATCTCCCGGTATGCTTAACATGATTTGATTATCCGGTAGTATAGGTTTGGTACTTGATAGCTGTTTTGAATCTGTAACCTGTGAAGTACCAACATCACAATCAATAAACAGATTGCTAATTCAAAGAAGAAGAAAAAATTGAACCCTTGCAAAGAACCCATGATGCTGCAATGGTAGTAACTAACCTTCCCATGAACGAGGCCCAATAGAAGGCACTCGTATGGCCTGTGATGAAAGAGGTCCAAATCAGAAATCAACGAACCATCTGCTTTGACCTGCATCAGTTCAATAGAACCAGACCTTAGCAAAATGAATTTGCAAAATCGCACTCAATAGAATTCACTATATAAACACACACAACACCGAGAGAGAACCTTCAACCAGAAAAAAGTAGCAACATATTTGACTCCCCATGCAGGAAATAGCTCTTTCTCAACAAAACCACGCAACTTCTCCCTATTTGTCACCCATAAAGCAACAAGTGCTCCATCCGTATGACAAATTTGCTTGACGGGAAGGGATAAGAAATATCGGTTAGGCAAAAGTTGAGTACCTATAAGAATGAAAAAACCACCCCATCCAAAATGAAAGTATTATGAATAACATCACCGTATTACAATCTGTTGTATAATATTAGTTTCAAGCAATGCTATAAAATCACATGGTTATTCAAGAAAACAACGTCAGGCATGGGGCCCATCAGAACAACGGGGCCAAACCACACTATATATTAAATTCGCATCAATCACTCATCTACCACTCCAATTTGTTTCAATGGACTTGGCTACCAAAATTCTTAACAGAAATTTAGAAAAAATTTCATGGTTGCTCTAATACAATTTGTTTTAATGAGAGTCAGTTGGATAAGCATCCCTTTAGAGTCAATTATCTCTAAGGTGTGCCCCTTACTATATACCTTTAAAGAATAGACATACCTTTAAGTCAAATAAAATGTTCAAAATACAGGAGATGCAAAGATATGGTAATGGTATTAGCAAACAGGATTGCAGGTTCTTTTAAGCTAGAAAATACAATTGGGTAAAATTCCTACCTCTGCTTTTGACGAGCACTTCCATTTTCCCATGGCGGATCAATAACAATAAGATTGAAGCCGCAATCAGTCTCAGCTACATTAAAAAATTAAAAAATCAAAAAAGTTTAAACTACAATCAGAATGCTAGTAATAATGTAAATCAGATTTCTACCAAATTCCATAAGAACATAAAAGTAAGAGCACATTGAGAATAAAAACAACACGAAATGGTTGTGAAAACTTAATAAAGTACTTCAGGTATCAATAACCTTGGAGATAACATCAAATACCGTTGAATGCATAATGACATTTCCACCATTAAGCATCTAGTTTGGGCAATTTACTCCTACAGACATTCAGAACCAGATTCTGCAGATAAATATGGGTTTGAAATGCAGGAATTACCAGGAATTAGATTGTGAATCTGCCCCAGATCAGACTTCCACATGATAGAAAGCAAATCATATAAGAAACATGGTAAAGTAGCTTGCGTTGTTTATCTCAGTTTTTAAAAAGAAAAATAGTCAGTAAGTCGGCATACCATGTAGAAGGAACTCTCTGGAGGTAAGATATATTGACTATTCAAAAGTTCAGCCTCCACATCTTCACTGGTCTCATTAACGACTAAGTTGTTAAACACAGGGAATGCACGTTGTTCACAGTATTGAATAGTAGGGGCACCTAAGAAAACAGAGTAGGAGTCATTTTCAATTTCAGAAATTTGCAAAACCACTCAATATGAGAATGATAAAGAGCATGGACTTCAAATAATTAACCAACCTCCATTGTCAAGCAATCAAGCACCCTGATAAGCCAATAGTCTTGATAAAACAACAAATGACCAACATTTCAATTTACCCAAAAAAGAAAGAATTAAAGGCAAAAATTTTAAATAATAAAACCAACCTCCATCTTCCCTTGCGTTGTCATTTGGATGGAAATTCAGAGTAATCTCATAGAGCGGTGCCTGCCAGACCCGCCCGAGTTCAACAAGTGACTGTTCAGCTCCAGGAGACGATGTTGAAGGACCCAAATTCCCCTTCAAATTGCTCACAACCTCTAAAAGCTCAGTTGCTCTAACTAAAGATTCATGCGCCTTCAGCAAAAAAGGTCTCACTTCCTGCAATAATCAACATCAAATCGAACACTAAGGCTCCGCTTGGAAAATCTAAAAAACATTGAAGTTTCAAACTTGTAATCGCACAAAGGGTAGTGACTGTGTAATTACCTGATGGCGTTGATCGGCGGCTCGTTCTCTGTCGTTGAGAGGCTGAGGTTTCTTCTCCTTCCGCTTTCGCTTTCTGAAATTTGAAGAAACCCTAGCCTCTTGACCAGCGTGTTTGGAGTCGAAAGAGCGAGAGTAGTAGGCGGAGGGGGAGACCCTAAACCTGGTGTAGGAGCGGTTGAGGACGCGAACCGGGTCGATGAAAACGGCGTTCGAATCTTCCAACCGGTAAACGCCGGATTCCAAAAACTCCGATAGCTTATCGCTGGTTTTCGAGTCCTCCATTATCAGGACTGGCCAGTCCCGCTAGGTTTCGCCGTCCAGCTTTCGCTGTGAGAAATCTCCCGCCGCATCAAATGGGCCTACAATCCAAAGGGCGCAAATGGTCTGACGCCAAGTTCAATAAATAAGCTGGCCCAGCCCAATTAAGTCCCATGTACATTTGAACCCAACAATTTTTTTAAAATATTTTTATAATATTTACTTAAATATTTTGCCGGTAATAATGAGATCACTCTGTCTTACTTCAAAGTATTTTTCGTATGATATATATTTCCTTTTTATATGAAACAAACAAATAATAGTATTAATGGTTGGACATTTGAATCGGGCAATTACCGTTTGACCCTACCAAACCTATGGAAAATTTTGACCATATGTGATTATCAAATTATCAAGAGATATTTAGTCATATACCTATTCTTAGCACTAAAATTATAAATAAATCATATACTATTTAATTTCTATAAACAAACCCAAAAAATAACAACTGATCATATTTAATTTAATTTTGATTATTAAATTACTTTGAGACCCTATTAAGTGTTTTGGGCTTTTTTATGAGATTTTTGAGTTGGGTTTGTTAAGAAATCAATGACAGTCTTATAATTTAAAATAAGTTAAAAGTTTTTTTGTTATATTGTAAATGGACTTTAGGTGTATTTCTAAAGTCCATTTCATAAATGATTTTTTTTATAATTTGAGTTCCTATATTTTGTATAATAGTAAATCTCCCAATTATCAAAGTGGCAATTCAATTAGATATGGTTGAGGGAGGGAGGGGAGCTTTGCCTACGTCTCCTCCTGGGGTCTGTTCTAGAAGACCGCACGCATGACAATAAAAGTCATGTCGTCACAACTTGATATTTTGACTTAATATCAGCCACCACTTTTGTTTATCTTGTTATATTTCGCACCATTAAAAGGTGACATGGTCATTTTTATTAACGTGGCAATACTAAGCCTACACCACATCATATTAAATGTAACATGGTAATTTATGGATCAGTACGCTTGCAACTAATTAAGTATCGAGTTTTGACAAATCAAAAATGGAGGTATCGAGCTTTTATAAATAAATAAAAATATTAAATATCAAACTCATCACAAATATATATTGTCATCAGTGCGCGGTTTTACAACAAGGATAGGGTAGGCAGCCTGCCTACCCAATTTTTCACCCACCAAAAAAAAAAAAAAAAAAAAAAAAAAAAAAAAACCTGTAAGCAAAGCTAATCTTACCCATCCCATGTAATAGTGTGAACCCATGCCTACCCAAACTTAAAAACAACTCACGTGTTATATGCCCCAGTTAAACTTAAAAAAAGAAAAGGGGGGGAAGCAATATAAGTAAGCAGCCAATTCCCTTTCGGCTGTGCAATAGTCGATATTCCCAAATCATTCTTTTGCAGCTTCTTCCTGAGTCTGAATATTCTCCCTTGGTAGCATTTTCTCATATATAAGGCCAATAAATATTCTTCTATTGGCTTTTTCCTAAAATAAATATATGCATCTTAAGTTTTTTAATAGTTTAATTTAGTTTTAGATTTAAATAGTTTAATTTTTTGTTGCATTACATTAATTTGTTTTTTTGTTGTTGTTAAGTTTTTATATATGAGGGTAAATCTCATTACGCTCTCCCCAACTAAGTGTATTTTTTTATTTTTATGAATAAAATTCACTCGTACCGTCAAATTTTTAAGGTAAATTTCGCCTACTTAACTTTTGAATTATGGATCCGCCACTAATTGTCATCGTCATTTATATGAGTCAAATATGAGACATCCTCTAATTAAGTATAGGCAAGTCGGTAAGAAAGAAGATAGTAATTGATAGAAATCAAAGGCTGACAATGTTAAAGAATATCGTTAATATATCGCGAGTTGTGTTGAGCATGGAATTTTCCAGGAAAGCGCGGCAAAGTAGTAGGAGGAGGGCATGAGTGGGATGCAAAAGATTAACGGGATTGCGTGACTCGGCCAATGACGAAGCAACACGTAGTGGTTTCTTATTTCTCAGTGGCCAAAGTAGAAACAACGATGAAATGGGTAACTCGGGTTAACTCACCCTGGGCTTCGTTCACTAACGCAGCAGCCCTATAAATAGCCGATGACCCCAACCCAACTTTAATTGTTTAGAGTGGAAATTAAGGAACGAGCAGGAGAAGGCAGTGGCTCTCTGGTCGTCTCAAAACCCCAAAGGTTAGAGCTTGATCAACTTCTCACTATTGTTGGGTTAATTAATTATGTTACTATTATATCAGATTATTTATATGATAAGTAAATAAAGTGTATGTACAATAGTTTTTAATTTGAAGATGGGGAACTCTCCTGGGATATTCTTCTCCTGTTCGTGGCACGCTTTCTCATTTCTTTTATCTCTTTCTGATGTTCTTCATAGTTTTGAATCATATATCAAACTGTTTTCTTGTTAATGAGGAAATGAAAGGTTGAGTAAAGAGAAAGATGAAACTTTTGTTTTCATGTGAGCATGAGTCAGTCGTCGTCAATGGGTATGTTCGGTCCTGTTGACTCCAAGTCTTGGTTCCTCTGAGAGGCTGAGACCCAAAGTTTAAGATTTTAGAATTTTGAAAACTAATTTTCTTGTTGCTCTGATACTTTCTTAACTTGATCATTGGCTTTTTGACTGTTTAACGCAGATGGGTTGCTTCTGTTTGTTGTAGTAATGTAATTTGGTTTATGGATAGTTTGTGTTTTTTGGATGACACCCCTTTCGATTCGCCTGTGAATTATTTGAATTTTATTGGATTTGTGTGATGGATTCGTTTCAGACTTGAAAATAACAAAAATTTCAAATGTTGTTGGTCAAGTATTTGCCCTGCAATCCGACTGGATTCAAAGAGACTCAAAGCATGAGCCTTATCATATCAGTGATGTAATTTAATGTTTGGTTTATTATTCTTAGATCGCTGTTGTAACATCTCGAATATTAGTTGATGATGTTGTACTAGTCTAAGGTGCTGCTTGATTGTATTAGCGATTTTAAGATTTGATCTAGATTTGATCCAAGATTTTCTTGCTCCTCTTTATTTTGTTGGTGAACTCTTCTTCAGTAAGTTTTGTCATTAATTCAATATTAGTTTGACTAATTGGACATATAAGCAGCTTGAATCTTGATATTTGACTAATTCAATATTATTTTTCTCAATAGCTGCTTCAATCTTGATACTTGGTTGACTTTTTCAATTGGTTCTTTTTGTTTAACCTTCTTTTTGCAGACTACTGATCAGGGACTAAATTCATCAGAATTTTTTTCCCTTTTGATTCAGTCGTCATGCGCCCACAATCTGCCGCCCTGCCTGCTGATATTGGTTTTCAGTGTACCGATGAGGAGCTCTGTATTTCTCTAGGGAAAATAATTAGTGGATCCCCTCTTCCAGGCAATGTGATTGAAGATGCAAATCCTTACCAACTAGTGCCCTCAAATTTACCTGGTACTTTTCAGATCTTTGAAGCTATAAACCCTTCAATGTGGTGTGGGGAATACTCTTATTTTGATTTAATCAAGTTGATTAGTTGAGTTATATGCAGATGTTATTTGGTACTTCATTCACTCTAATGACAAGACCGTTTATACGCAGATGGTTTTTGGTACTTCATTCACTCTAATGAGAACAAACCTACAAATTTTGGATATTGGAGAACCAAAGGGGAGGCCTGCAGAATATTCTCAAACTCTTCCATCACTGGTTGGAGAGCTACTCTTGAGTTCTATCAAGGCCATGCCCCTCATGAAAGTAAAACCGATTGGGTGATGCAAGAATACTGGCTAACTCAGAAGAAGTTGTCTGAAGACAGCAAGGCAAAGGTAATTGATTGAGGCTTCCAATCCTGTATTTCTTTACCTGATTCGTTCTATTTGTTTTGTTCTCTACCCAACCTGCCAGTCAATTGCCAGTTTGGTTGGATAATGTGCAGGAACCCAGGTCACTTTGCAGAGTCTTTTGTAGCAATGAACAAAAATCGAACTGCAAAAATCTTCAGAAGATGGTTAGTTCTGATAGTGCTAGTTACTCAACACATTCAGCTGTTCCACATACCAAGAATTGTACTAGTCACAGTTCCACGAGCAAGCCTCAGGTTGGTTAATTAGGATCCTACGGGTCATTAATTCTAGCAGCTTGAAATATATATTTTGCAGTGACAGCAGCTGATTTCTTGTGCAGAATTTAATTTCTTTTAAACAACATTTTTTATTACTAGCTTTTGTGCTGATGGAACCATGATGCTTCCTTTTGATCATTCCTCTGATGGATGTGATGGCTTGCTATATCTTGTAGGTGATCAAGGATAATGAAAGGGGAACATTAATGGTTACAGAAAGAGTTCCAGATCATAATGTACAAATTATGCCTGAAATCGATTACGTTTCCAGAGGTGACTACTTGGAACTGCTGGATCTTGATACACCAGCATCCTTTTCTTTTAGTTCAGATTCAAGTTGCTTGACTATGTCATCGGATGAATGCTTCGATTCTCTGGCATTGTTAGAAGAACTAGAGCCTAAAAATAGCCAAGACTTGGTAAACAAGAATGCAGGTTGCAAGTTCAGTATCTCTGCACCTCCAAGATCAGATGAGTTGGTCATGTTTGCAGCCTCTTCAGGTACATAAAAATACTTCTTATGTTTGGTGTAGATGACACACTCTGTCAGTTCCTTTTTTGTTCTTTTCTCTGTTGTAATAATTTCCTGAAAAGATTAAAGTGCTTCTTATGCTTGTTGTTTTGAAGAAGCCTAAAAATACCCAATTTGTTTTTGGTTAATAGGATCTTTCAGCAAGTCTCCAAGTGAAGAAAGAGTCAAAACTCATTCTCCAATTCCTGGTTCAGCTGTTTGTGGCAAGATCTCAGGAAAGACTTCAAACAATATGAGCAGAATTCAGAAACCAGATAATAGGAATGAAGGAGGCCCATCAACTTCTCATAATGTTGATGTCTCACCCAGCAGCCATACTGCATCCCAAGAAGGAAAAAGGAGGGCTAGAACTATTGGCAGAACCGAAAAGCTTAAGAAGAAGTATTTCTGCTTCATGCCATTTTAGATCCTCTCTCCATTCTACACGTGTATTTATTATGTATATTAGTGATTTGTATTAGCAAATAATTAATACGTTTACAGTACTTAGAGGTGGTTCAAAGTTGGGAAGGGGGTAGGTCACTAGTGTTCAGGAAGAAAGGAAAAGGGTAGGAGAATTGATTAAGCTGTTCTTTGTTGAAAAATACATTTTTCGACATTCTTTTGTAGAACGTAAACTTAATTCTGCTATTTGTGTGTGCTTGATTAATATATATACAAAACCAAAAGAGATGTTTCTCTTTCAACTCATTTTTCTGTTATTTGTTTGCCTTTTTTTAAATAAATAAAAAATTAACTCATCAGAAGCAGCCCAACCCAAAGCAACAATTAAAGCCCAACAAAATAGCAATTGGGTTCACCTCACCAGAAAAAATAAAAAAAAGTAGAATAATCCCAAGTCCTAACTAACACAGCACCCACCCAGCTTAAAGAAATATATAAAACTAGATGCAAGGACTGACCATTGACCTAATCTATACTCTCTGTCACATGTGTTTGCTTAGCTTTAGCTGTGGAAGTCAAACTTCCATGTCAGGGGGCATCTATACATGCTTTTGAATGTGACGGCATACTATTTAAAACCCCTTTCCCCTCACACTCCACTACTCCTATCTGTACTCTGTAGTGCGTTAAATTGAACAGAGAAATGCTAAAGGCGGTCACTTATTCACATTTAGCAATCTCCAATCGTTGATCAATACATGTAGTGCACCAACGGTTGGAAGACCGCACGAACACAACCAAATGCAAATAATACAAGCAATTAATGTACTATGATCTTCTGGATATGAGTATCATCCGACGCCACTAAGAATGAGCAGCAAACGATGGTCCACAAGATGAAAAATGCATGCTGGTCTTCTTGTGGTTTTCCCCACATATGATCAGTTCTGCAAATGTTATTTCGATGAGGAGGAAGGGGTGTGAATTTCGATCGATTTTTAGGACATATAAAATGTTAGGGGGTCATTTGATAACGTTTTCAAAGCTCTGTTTTTTTTTCTTCTATCAAAAACTCATTCGGTATGTCATTTTCATTTTCACTGAAATTCGTTTTTTGAAAACAAATTCACACTCATGTACAAAAACTGAAAACACCAAATTATCGTTTTCATTTGCTACCCAGTGTATTGGTCTGATTGATTTTTTTATTTTGTTGAAGTGATTTTTCTTTTTAAATTTTTTTATCTAGGTTTTTCTAATATTATAATTTTTGTATTATTTTAATTATATTATTATTCTCACATTATACATTTTTCATTGTTTGTAATAATTTTAGCCTTTAAAATATCAGAAATTTTAAAATAAAATAAAAATTAGGACAGAAATTAGCAAAAAATATACTTGAAAAATAATTCACATATTATTATTCTCAAAGTGTTCTACCAGACACGTTTTCACTATTTTTATTTTCTGAATATGTTTTCCAATTAATTTATTTTCTCATAAAATATTCTCAAAAAAATTATCTGAAAACGTTACCGAACGGGTTAGTGCGTGAATGCATACACTCCTAACTTGTTTTATTGAACTTTCTTCACCAGTACCAGTACCAGTGCCCTAATTGTTCTGTTTTGTGTTCTTTCCCTTTCAACCGAGGAGCAACATGGAATGTACGGAAGAAAAAATAAACTAGTTAGACAGTGGAGCCCAATGTCTTGTCTGCTCCAGCTATCGCTCCTCCAAGCTGGGCCTCCTCCTACTTTACAACTTACAACCAGGCCTCTTTCACAACGCAAACTTCCAATTTATTTATTTCTTTTTTCAGGTATTGTATTTGTGTGTTTTTTTTAATAAATAAATAAAAACTTTTCGTAATTTGGTATATTTAATTTAAATATCATTAAAAAAAAATTATAATTCATAACACCCTTATAAAATAAAATTTTAAGAAGGTGGCTGTCACATAAAATTCATAAAAAATAATATATAAAAAAATGTTGGTTGCTTCCTCCTTCCACTGAGAACCCTTTTGCAAACTTCTGGAAGCTTTTCAATGGATCGGTAACGTAACCGATAAGAATCGCATTGTAGTCATACTACCTCTTTCACTAGTCGCCACGTAAGGACAAATAAAAGTATAACCAAAAATAGGAAAAAAAAACCCGTAATTAACACTAAGAGCATCTCAAAGAGAGTATGCAAATAAAATAGGCAAAATTGTACTATAACAACCTCAGTGGTATGTTGTCTACCCATTTTCCTCAAAAAAAATTAGTCACTTCAAGGGACTAGACAATACAAGTCTACAAACCACTATTATATTTATTTTTATCTTTTACATTTACTATTATATTTTATAGAGAGGAGGTGAGAGAGTAGAGATGATATTTTATATTATATAAAAACTCAATTTACCTCTTCACTTTTAAGTTTGTAATATTGCCTTGTTTGGAAGAGTAGATATATTTTGCCTGCACATTTGCCTATTCCGTTGGAGCATGAAAATGCTGATGTGGCAAAACGAACGAAATTTACTACTCATTTGCCTATTCTCTTATAGATGCTCTAAACACCACTTTTGTTTTGTATTTAGCTTTGGGACCCTTCGGCTTTTGTAAATTTACTAATACCACCCACTTGATCCAGTGGTGCGCTGCTCCATCAAGTCTGATGGCTGAGATCCAACGGTGGTGGTGGGTCATTACAAAAAAGAAAAGAAAACAAGAAGTTTGAAATTTCCATGTTTTGATTTGTCCCTTTCGTTTAGCTTTTATGCCGAGGTGTCCGAAAGGTCCACCGCTCTTTCAACTTTGTGATCATTACACATGCTATAGGAGCATGTCTGCTTTTCTAAATACTATCCAATCCAATCAAACGGCTGGACTAAAACTCCCAACCATCCAACGGTAACCACCGCTGCCCTCCCAAATCCACGGCTTCTAATGCTTGGTTCTGGCGGGAAATTGTACCCCTAAAAGAGGCAAGAGATATAGATAAGTTAACTTATTTATTTTAATATAATTAATTGGTTTTTGTTTGGGTAAAATATTGTGTTGTTTAAAACTGTGTGTGAGTGAGGGACAGATGTACAAGTCCCATGTTGGATAAGACAACACCGACGGCAGGTAGAGCCTTCCCTCCTCAGCGCCCAGTGGGCCCTACCTCCTCCCAACGATGAATTTCGGATTTCCGTTACGTTTCCAATCCCCGTAACGTTTCTCCCGCTTTTTTGAGAAATTACTAACCGCCCCTTTTTCTTTTTAATTTATTTTCCAATCAACATCACAACAACTATTTGAATGTAACACTAATTTCTTAATAACTTTTAAAAATTAAAGTAACAAATATCCGCGAGCTGATTTAGTTCAAGTGACTAAGAGTAATTATACATACACTAAAATCATGTGTTCTGATTTTTCCTCCTTTAATTAATAGCGCTTATATAAAAAGAAAAAAGAAAACTAATAAGTATTCTATTATGAAATTTTAGTAGATAGAAACATTACTATACAAAAACAATATTAGCATCATTACTTAATAATCATATGGGTTAAATTAGATAAACACAGTCTAAATCAGTCTATCTCCTTAAAAATTTCCAGCTTGAGTCTTGACCATAGAACTTCTATTTTCGTGGACACATTTATTGAGTGAGTTCAAAATTCAAACCCCCCAATGACATTTATAGTACGGAACCACATAGCATAGCAGCTCCAATAATTCTAGACCGTGGGAAAAGGAAAACCTCTGTAAATGGAATGTATAAGGGTAGTTTCGTCATTTGGACCAAGACCCACTATCTCATTCCCCTCCAGTCAAACGGTCAACACCCAGTAACTCTGCTTCAAAAATCCAAACCGCTAGTGGTATTGCAACATGCCGCGACCTCAGCTTACTGTGTGAAACGCATAATTAAGGAGAACTACAGCCGGACGTGGCACTCTCCGATTCGTCAGTTGCGAGTCTTCGGGATTCATAGCAAAACACCAATAAAGAATACCAGTCACTCTCATCCCTTCTCTCTCTCCCTCCCTCTCTCTTGTTCCCTCTCCCTCTCTCTGTGTCTCTGTGTTTTTTTATCTGCTAAAACTCCCAATTTTGGCTCCAATTTCCCTCCTTTCTGTCCCCAAAACTCCCAAATACGTATAGAGCAATGCATGATCTTTCGTTTAAATGCAATTTTGAGTCCTAATACTAACGTTTTCACCGACTAATTCAATCACTGAGTTCAAGCGGAAATGCTTGAGGCAATGGAGAGTTCCGTCCATGGCGGTTTCTCTCACTTGCAGAGTTGTGGTGACAGTAGTGAAGAGGAGCTCTCTGTGCTTCCTCGCCACACCAAGGTGGTGGTGACTGGGAATAACAGGACCAAGTCTGTCCTTGTTGGTCTCCAGGGCGTGGTCAAGAAGGCTGTGGGGCTTGGCGGGTGGCATTGGCTGGTAATTCCCTTCGTCTATTTAGGTTTTTGGGAAAAATAGATTTTTGGATATCGCGGTCCATCTGTGCCTTCAATTTTTTTCTTAAATTTCTTTTGTTTGCATTTTGGAAATTTGAGTTTAATTGGAACCTTTTAAATCTAATTGACATTGTTTAAGCAATGCGGACCAATTTTTGTTCTTACTGGGTTTGGTGTTTAATCTACTGTGCTATTGTCTTCCCAATAACTTTGTTTGGTCATTCTGTTCATCAGTTTCAACGCTCTTTTTTGAGTTTATTTACATCTTTTATTTTTTTTTTTTTTTTTTTTTTTTTTATTTATTGCAAATTCCAGCAAGCTTGCTTCTTTTTTTTGGGAAATTTCCATATTGTTGTGCTACATGCGTAAATTATCATGAATTCAGATTTCTGTGGAAGTTTCAAGAAGTTATGAATATTGAGTTCTCATTGCATGTTCCATTTTTTAAAGGGATCTGAGGATTTAATAGATTTCTATTTAAAGTGGGATTGAAAATTGGGATTTCAATACGGTTTTGTTCATTCCTTTCCGATTGCTTGTGTTAACACCAATAGTTATTTTCTTTTGATTTATTTGGTTGTATGAATTTGAGATTATCTTCAGGAGTATAAAAATTCGAATTTTCTATGTCTTTTGTGGTAAATTTGCAGTATCTATGATTTGGTTTAAAGGAGGATCACCCTTGCGTTTATTTTGGATTTTTCATTTTAGCTTTTCATATCTTTTATTCCTCGCATATTGCGGACTAAGATGGCTTGGTAAATTACAGTTTGGGTACAGATATTCCAACTTTATCTTGTAGTTCTTGCATGTTTGGATTGCTGCTAGTTCTCGCATCTGCAAGCCTTGTGTTGAAGTTTTTTAACAGCTTATGGATAATATTTATAACATTCTAGAACTGTCTTGTTTTCTAGGTGATTTATAAAATTTACAAATTTTGTTTCAATCTGCTTTGTGATCGTTTACATTTCTATTCCCTCCAACCCCAATTATAGGGATTAAGTCATTTTGACTCTATTACAAACAGTTTATCCCTTGGTTTTAATGAACTGCTGTTCTCTTTGAAAATGGGAAGCTAGTATGTTTTTTTGATGGTGTGATTGAGTAAGTTCCTTTTGAGCAGTGGAAGATGGGTGGGGGTGCAGGATTACTGATTTTCATTCTTCTCTTGACCTTTGAAAACTACTCTTAGAACTTCTGTAAGCGTTTAAGCCAGGAAATTGAGTATCCTTATCTGGATTTGTCTCTGATTTAGAAAATTGGATTTAATATGGATATATTTTGTTCCTAAACATTTTCAATTGGTTTACTTAGAACAGGATTTGTGCTTCTCCTTTTTTTTCTTGCCGATGTCTTGAAAGTTGTGTGTGAATCTGTTCACTTTTTGGGTATTTCTTTAGGCATCTGTACCATGCATGAGAATGGCACCTAACATCCCAATCAATGAATCTACAGGTTCTTACAAATGGCATAGAAGTTAAGCTTCAGAGGAATGCCCTTAGTGTGATTGAAGCTCCTACTGGTAATGAGGAAGATGATGACCTTGATTTTGAGAATGTCCAGTGGAATGGATCAGATATGGGTGAGTTTGGTTATGGACCTTAAACATTTTACCTGAAATTATGTTTTGACTCTTCTCGACCAGTTGGAACTATGATGCTTTTAGCATAGTGGGTTTTGCGAACCACCAAACTCTCTCATTATTTGTATGTCTTGATTTGCTTTTCAAAGCATGATTGTCAAAAGCAGTCTGAATAATGACTGATATGAGTTTTGTGCTTGACTAGAGTACTATTAGTTGTGTGACTGCATCTGTGCATGCCCTTTGGACTTCGTTAGGGGGTCCCTAGTGCTTTCATATTTTAATTAACTGTTCTCCGGAACTTCTCTAAATGTGAACTTGGAACAGTATTTTTATAAAGAAAAGTAGTCGAGGTTGGTACATAGGATCCATTGTGTCTTTACCTTTTACTTTTCCTATCTCTAAATTAAAGCTTTATTGCCTCACTTCTTTATCTTTTTTCTTTGGTTGGTCCCACAATGCTTTCTGATTGTGCTTTTTTCTTAAAATTTATTTTTTAATCCCAGCGTCTGATGACACTCAAAAGTCCCACAGATCAAGGCAAAGAGTGCATAAATCATCTGGATCATCTCACAAGACTATGTGTAGAACTTTCTCTTGTGACTCTCAATCTAAGGGTTCTATTTCTACTCCACGAGGGTCCACGGTAAGTACAGTTGCCCTGTTGACTTTATACTACTTCTTTCATAGTCTGGAAATAGAGGTTGAAATGCCTAGGTGATTTGTAATTTAAAATATCTCCTATTCAGAAAATTGACCTTGGCAAACTGGAGATGGCTGCTTTATGGAGATATTGGCGACACTTCAATCTTGTGAGTACTTATACCAGCCAAGATCAAATGATTGCTCCGTATTTACATTTCATTTATTTGTGTACTGTGAATTTTTCTAGGTGGATGCCATTCCCAACCCATCGAAAGAGGAACTCATAGATGTTGTTCAGAGGCATTTCATGTCACAGGTACTCACACAATTGCTTGCCTTGTGCTTCTTTTTTCTGGTTCAGTGTACTTTAGCCATCTTGCAACATTGAGCACAAGTTGAATGAAAGAAGCCAAATTTATTGACAACATTATAAAGCTTCCATGTTTTTAAATAGCTAGTTATGTTGTCAAATCCTGCAATGCCCTGTAATCTGATAAGTTTCCAATGTTATTGACAACATTATTAACCATTCAAAACTTTTGTTCATCTGCTGTAGCCAATCGACGAGTTGCAGGTCATTGTGGGGTTTGTTCAGGCTGCGAAGAGACTAAAGACCGTCTGCAAATGACATGGGGAGAGAGAGAGAGAGAGAGAGAGAGAGAGATGTTTGAGTGTGGTAGTCGATGCTAACAGATACCTGAACCCCCAATGTCCACTTCCCGTTGGTGATATTCTGTAACATATATGTATCCAGGCTTATGTATGTTTACATGTTGGTTAGTGGGTTAGTAGTATTACTCTGCTTCTTCTGAGTTATATAGAGGTTCTTACCTTTTTGGTAGCGTAGCTTATGTAGATATTGTAAACTGGTGGGAAGACTTCTCAGAAGAAGACCCTGTGGCTTTCCTTCTAAAAGCTTGGATTAATGTATTGCTGACTGGGGAAGTAGGTTTTTTTCCTTTCTAAAATGTAAATATTTTTAGTTCTCAACAATCATCTTTTATTGGCAACCCTTTGCTGTCTTTCGTTGACCAATTTCTGATTGCTTTTTTACTGATGTTTTTATGACTTGGTGCGTTTTATAAAACATTGTCTTTTGATTTTTGGCCAGTGCTGCAAATCGATTGCATTGCATTGCATCAAAGGAAGGCCAAAAAGAAAAAGGGGAACTTGTTATGACTCTACCTCGCTTTACTATTGTGGAGTCATTCTATAGTGCCCTTAGGTGAAATCTTATTTTTTAATCGTTGAATCAGGCTAACCAATTTGATCCAGTAGCTAAGAGATATGATCTTATATAAGAATCATATATAAAGTGCTCACTATAGAATTCTTGTACTATTGTGAGTCTACTACTGGCATGAGCATCTGTCGTGTGCATAAGCATCTGTCGAGTCACGCACGTGATTTGGAAAATTATAATCGGGGGAGGAAGCAAGCAGTAACAAATGAAAGGGAAACGTAAATTTATGAATTTCCATTTATCTTTGTTTATACGTCCTCCTATACGCCAAATCAGGAGATTTGAATATCAAAACGGGTCCCATGACTCCCATTGATATTTCTGTCCTATCCATGTCAACCCCTGCCAGCCTCAGACAGAGAGGCCCGCAAAGCTCAAAGAACTCCAAGTGTCCAAATGTAGGGTCAATGTTTCCCACAACCTCACTATTCAAAATGCAAACCGTAGGACATTAAGGGCCGTTCGGTAATATTTAAGGGGTTGTTTTTATTTTCAAATAACAAAAATGCGATAAAAATATATTCAGTAGCTCAAAACAGAAAACACTGAGAATGTTTTTATAAAATGAAAATAAATTCATGTGTACTTGTAGAAAACATAAAAAAAATTGTTTTCATTCTCATGGGAAATATTTTCACAAAAATAACTCATATATTATTATTTTAAATTGTATTACCAGACACGTTTTCATTATTTATGCTTTTTGAAGATATTTTCTAATTAATCTACCAAACGTATTTTCATTTCCTGAAAATGTAAATTCGTTTTCTTGTTTTCATTCTTTGAAAATATTATCCGAAAACGTTATCAAACGGGCCCTAATGATATGATATGTTTACTAGTACGTAATCAGAAGCAGGAACTGAATTAAAGAGTTGGATTGAGAAATTAGAATCCGGGTTAATGCTGCTTAAACTATTATTATTGTTCATGATTTTGCATTAAAAAAAAGGCATTTGAAATTTGGTGGGCCGGGCTTAATTTCCTTGAGATTGAGATACATAAATCTAACTTTAAAGAAATGTCGACGACTTGAGTTATGAGACCTAATTGTCATGCCCTCCTATTATTAAAGGTTGCTTGGAATTAAAGCCTGTCTTTATCTCTACTTTGGAAGAATTCAAACCCAAACCAAACCCCACTCACTCAGTCACTCTGTCTTGTGTTGTGTTCCACTGCGTACGGTACCATCTAGATAACACCAATCCCTAGTGTGTTAGGGAACATTAATCTGGTTTTCTGCACCTCTCTTATACTAAATAATTAAGGAGATATCTGCTGCAACTTGCAAGTGTCAACCAAGTCCTTGTTACTCAACAGTTAAAATAAATTCCCGCCGGAGTTTAAGGAAAGAAATTTAGCACGCCAAAAAAAGTTTGTTGGAAGGTTGGTGGCTTTGGTCCCTATCAAATCTTACATTTACATTTATTTATATCCATGACCATGTGGATATAAATAACTATAAATTCCTTCTATGCTAACAATGTAACCAGTAACCAAAACCAAGGCGGCCTTCCTCCAAATCCAACTTCCAAGCCAAGTAAAATGAGCTGCTTTATTACAAAAATGGGGGCTTTGTTACTTTGGCTACTACTGTTCTTCAATGCATTTGCACTTCATTTCTCGTATCATATTCCTCGCCGTGGTAGCCACTATCGAAGAATGTGTCCTCCACCGCGAAGGCCACAGCCACCGCCACCTCCAGCTTGGTTTTACTTCTACTCTCCTCCTCCTCCAAGTCCCCCACACTCTCCTCACCATCCTTCCTCACCACCACCCAGGCCTCCAAATCCTTGAAGTCCAACTAGTAACAAAACAATGAGGTTACAAATTATGGAAAACCCCAAGAAGAAACCATTGTGGAAGAGTTGTGTTCTAAACTTGAAGTAATGCTAATTAATCATGTTTTATTCTTCTTTGCTTTTGCCAACCCAAGTGTGTGATGTTGTTGTAGTTGGTTTGTTTAATTCACTACTTGCATTGCACAATCCAAATGAATGAGTTATATGATTCTTAATTAAACATGTGCCACAAATGGCGTTTATAATCTTTTGATTGAGGCCCGTTCTCGTTGTTGTGGGCCGGCTACAAGCCCCTTCGACTTGATTAAAATTACAAAACCCGGCCTGAGGAAAATTGGGCCAGGCCCAATACAACAAATAAGCCGGGCTGTTTTCTAGCTCAGTCTTATGTCATTGCCACTACATTCAGCTCAAATATCTTCAATATTAAAATATTTTTTAAAATATTATTATAATTTCTTTATTAAATTTCCCACTAATGTCGTCTATCCATATATAATATACCTTTTAGGAAAATTTATGAGTTTGTATTGGAGAGATGGTATAAAGTGAAGTGATTCCAATGAGAAGAGAGCCTTTTGGTCAAAGATTCAATTTAGATCCCACAATGCAGGGACGTCTTTATGTTCAATCAATTTGCCACTAGACTTTATCATCATATCAGCTTTTGCCCAGCCAACCTAATGGTCAACACAAACCCATCTTCTTTACCCCATTCATTTGAGGGAGCTGATTTTCCTTCTCTACCGACAGTCCCTTTTGCTTTTTAATATTTTTAATCAATCTTTTTCTTTTTTATTCTTTCTCTTTTTTATTTTACCCTTATTTTTTTTTTTTTTTTTTTTTTTTATATTATTTCTTTGACTTTAATGTCAAAATGGTCTCTGTATTTTATCACCTTGGCCAATTTAGTCCATATGTTTTTAATTTGGCCAATTTGATCCATGTGTTTGAGACCATTAATCAATTTGGTTTGTTCCGTTATAGTTGCCGTTAAATGAACATGATAATCTTTTTTCATTTTATTTTGAAAACCTATGAAGTTAATAAAAAGTTGTATTGATTTTAAAACACATTAATTAAACTAAAATATATCATTAGAAAAAATAAATAAATAACTTAAGAGAAAGAAAAAAGGGCGTAGTCTAGTCAGAAAGGGGAGGAACTACTGGAGAAGTGGGAAGGATCATTGCGGAGTGCTAAAGCTGCATGAGCTTTTATTATATATATTAGAGGTGGGGGTGCATTGGAGTTGGGGAGGTAAGTGTGGATTGGAGATTTGGGGCCTTGGGTGTCAGTGGGGAAAATGGTTGGGGATAGAGGTTGACATGGTTGTGGGTTGCTCCCACTTCTACAATCAATGTGCAGCTCCTCCCCTCCCCGACTATGCCCTTCTTTTCTTTTTTCTAATGCTTAATTCAACTTTTTATTAACTTCATTCAGCAGTATAGTTCTTCTAAAAATAAAATAAAAATATTATCATGTTCATTTAACGGCATAAAGAAAAAGAAATAATATAAAAGTATAAAGAAAAAGAAAATAGAATGCAAGTTGGAAAATTAAGTATAAAGAAAAAGAAATAATATAAAAGTGAAGTAAAAGGAAATTAATGTAGGATAGGGGTAGAATAGGAAAGAGAAAAAACAAATTAATTAAACAATATTAAAAATACAAAAGGAAATGTAAGTGAAGAAAAGGGGACTCCACTTAATCAATGTTCTTCTTTTATATATGTTTTGTTTTAGGCTTTTAGCTCCGTTGCCACCTTTATACTGTAAATATTATTTATTTATTTTTTAGTTCTCTGTTTTGAGTCAAAATGCAAATAATGCAAAAGCACAATTCGACAAACACAAAAAGCAGCCATTGTAATTTGTATTGTAACGCATTCTCAAGTTCCCGTAAACCTTTTTGTTGCAACTTGCGTGCAATTTCCGGCATAGAATGCAAAAGGTGCTACCTTGAATTTGCATGTTGTCGTCCACCATCGAAAAATTAGTCCTCCTTTCCCTTACTGCTATCTTAAATTTGTGATTCAGTTGCCCAAGTCTCTGGCTCATTGTTGATGTATGGATAGATTGATGGATTGATGGATTGATGTCTCTGTCTTTGTTTTCTGGTTCTATAATTCAGACTATACAATTAGTGCTGTACATATATATATAATTTAATTTTAATTACATAAAAAAACTCATATGCTAGATGATTCATTATCCAAACGTTTAAGTGTGGGCCAAAGATGGATGCTTATCAAGCTCGTGAGAAGAGAACATTCTGAATTGATTATTTTCTGGGTTAAGCTTCCAATATACATGGCATCTGAATCTATTCTTTCCGCCTGCACATGATGCATGCATGCATACTTCATATACTTTTCCTGATTCGCATCTAACTGTTGACGTAAGTTTTGCTCATCCAAGAAAGATTCAACCACACCTAAATGGGGCTGCTGCAGCCTCCAATCAAAGAAAGATTCAACCACACCTATATTCGAACCACAAATAATTCTAAGCGTAAGCATCTCTCTCCACAATCGTATCATATAATATTTGGTTGTACATATATTAAAGGAATTAAGGTTCAAGTTCAAGAATTATATATACATTTGACAAAACAAAGTGTTAGTGGTGCCTTCCCCACAGGCCACAGCAGATATATGGATTCTCCCAAATCCAATACTCCATGCTAGATGGGGATATGCCCAGAGCTCTGGAATTAGGGCAACTCTTGGTTCACCCAAGAGCTAACATTGACATTATGATATATGCATGCATGGCAACTCTTGGGAATTTTCACAGCGAATATTTTGTAGCCACCAAATCCAAAGATTTATCCGAATCGATCGAAGGCTCGATCAGATTCAATTTCCCCCCACCTGAAATGAAGGATGACGTATATATCCAACTTGAACTTCCTTGCTTACTTGTTTGCTCCTATGTATTGAATCAGAAGCTGATTCTTGGGAGTGATTTACTTTAATTATATATGAGAATAACGATGTTGACTTTAATTGCCTCATCATTATATCCGATTCCGATCCATATGTCATGTATGTGCATGCCTCGCCTTGCCTTATCTTGTCTTGTCTTCTCCTTTACCTCGCCCACTCACTACTCCTGTCATTTTACAATTTTGTTTTTTGTTGATTTCATTCTTTTCAGTGCGTCAGATTCGGACAGCAATATTTTCAGGCAAGAGGGATCCGTGAATCCCCACCCCACATGACGTCTACTACATCTAACAGCTAATTCTTTAATTAAGGCTTGAAAGGCAATTAATTTCATGAATTGAAAATGAAGGACCCATTAAGCTCTGTCTCTGGTTGCATAATGCTGCATGTAAAATTCAGAGGTTATATATTTCATTATTTGATGTCAAGAAGAAAAGATGGACCACTAATCCTCGACCGACATAATTAAATTGGACCTATATTCTACTAATTAATCATATAATTAATATGCTGATATATATATATATATATATATATATATATATATATATATAGTGAGTGAGTCAATGGTGTCCTTGTATCGGTATCTCCCTTGGAAGGCACTAATCCTCCATGACATTGATATAACCTATTATTTAGGTTAGAAAATGAAAATCACCACACATTTTGCACATAATTATATTATTTAATAATGATTTTCAACCCCATCTAACAATCTTCCATTTGGCATGTGGAAAATAACCTTATATGGGTAGAAATTGAAATTAGTGTGCCAAAGTAGTATGTCTTTTTTTCTTTTTGTCCAACGGTAGGAAGTGCCAAGTAGTATATATGTCCACGACTTATGAAAACTTGCATAGGCCAAAAAAACGAAGAAAAAAGGCATAAGGATGTACTGACGTTTGCACTGCAATTATACAAGTTCTCCCTAAGATAACTGTTTTGGTTGAACTTCCAATTGAAGGAAGAATGCCAATGATTTTGGTCACTGCTATGCATCACAAATTTAATCTGAACAAAATTGAGCAATTAATAACAAAAAAAATTGTACTCGTCATTTTGCACTAAAAATCAGACCTACTGTGCCTAAACTTAAAATCACTTAAAGTGGTTATATGGAGAAGTGATTCTCTGTAAAAGTTTATTGGTCTATCCAGAATCACTCTCAAACGAGTCCTAGTTCTCCATCCAAATTAAACCTAAGAATTAGAAGAGTTCAATTTCATTCAAAATTTCCAATTGTATTATATATATATTTGTTGCCCGGACGTGTACCACTGGCCGAATTACAGAAAAGTGAGTTAGTGGACCTCGTAGGAAAAATGCTTGGTTTTGTCACCAAAGTGGCATCACCATGGTCCATATATAATAAAATCCTAGTGGGCTTACGTACCAATATAATATAAATATATTTGGGTAACAAACGCAAGATATTTTTCCAATAATTACCACAAAAATAAAGAAAGTACACAATTCTTAATTGGCCAATATAGGAAGGTGGTGCGGACTGAGTCATGGGTGATTCCACGCATGCAGATCTTAAGACTTTGGGAGGTGAAGGCAAATGGTGCCTTTGGTTATACGCTAATTGTTTCTGTACCCCCTACTGCCAACAAACACAAGATTTGGTATGAAATTAATGGTGGGATATGTTTGCAAAGCAAATTGTGATGACAATTGGATCTCCAACTGGCCTACACCCACCAAACACACGAATTTCAAACTTGGCTCGTCCTTTCCCACGCTACACAAGCCAAATTAGATCAAATGGGGGTACTAGACTTCCACTACTAGTGTCATCCAAGAATCTCAAAATTCGAACCCAACAGCCTAAGCTAATAAGATTCTCATGCAACCCCATTTGTTTGGGATTCTTTTATTCTTATTCATTTTATCAAATTATGAACCAGCTACCAGAGGAATTCGTGGGTTAATATTTACTAATTTTTTATTTATTACAAAGCGATATTCTAGATTACTTTAATTTTCGGGGAGAAAAATAAAACTCGGATACAAATAAGGGCGAAACCATGAACTTTCATAAGCGTGGGCTATAAATTTTTATTTTTCCATTTAAGAAGCTACTAGCTAGGGTTGAGTGACTAATTTTTTGTGGAATGGGGAGGGCTAATTTTCACTAAATATGTCGAATTTTCTAAAAATAACACTAAATTCTTATTTATCTAATTATTTGGACCGGCCTAGAGTCTACCCTAGCTAGTCTAATTAAGGGTGGTTTCGTCTTGAATGCAAAGAGACGGGTATATTGCCTTGATTAATTGACCTAACTCATAAATGCGGTGAATATTTACTACTCGAGATTGAGATGATAAAAGTTGTATGGTAATTAATTTTGTTTACCCAACAAAAGTTGGTATGTAATTAAAACAATCTTGTAGAGATATATGTATTACCAAAACTAGCCTTTTCATCCCGATCTATCTATGCCGTTAATACAAGTTCTATGTTTCATAATCCACTACACGAATTGGGTGGCAAGCTGGGAGTCTGCGTGGTTAGACCAACTCCAACTATTAGGGTGGACACCCAAATTTTCAGTTTTGAGTCCAAAATACTTTTCCAACCCATGTATTTTGGGGAGTGGAAATTTGAGAAATATCAAATTTGGGGTGGAATTCTAGTCCAAGTTTTGCATAGACTGGTATTTTATGTGGAGCCCCAACTTTGCTTGGAAGTCCATGTGAAGAAGAAAAGTGGTTGGGCCCTGAGTGACAGCTTTGCTGTCTAGCCAGCAGATTTGTGTGACACAGCCGGTAGCTCTAGCAAAAGTGATTCCAACGGCTAAATTCAAAAGTTGTGTTGGTTATTTTATTTTATTTTTTATTTTTTATTCCAACAGCTATATTTTACACCAATGATCAGGATTAATTTTAAGCAATCTGAACAGTAAAATTTCACATACAATGGTCAAAATCATATTTATAATTAATCTAAATCAAATCCAACCCTAAAACTTATTCCAAACTCTATTATATTTTTTCATTCTAGTTTTATTCTTGTTGAGAATGGCCCCAAAACCCCAAAGAGGTGTGAATTGGAAACCATAAGAAGATGTGGCATTGTGCAAAGGGTGGGTTTCTATCTTTGAAGATGGGGTTATTGGCACCAATCAATCTAACGACTCATTTTGGTTGCGTGTGTACCAAAAGTGTTTGACAAATGATCCGAGCATGAGCTGAGCCAGAGTACGATCACCGCAAACCATTGCTTCTTGGTTCGTGGTGAGTACCCATTTTTTTCAATGCTTAAACTTATAATTAAAATTCTTTTTAATCATTAACTTGATTTTTATTTTATTTCATGGATAGGATATGAATGTAAAAACACTTCTCTTGAATGATAATAAACCTTCGAATATGCCTTTCAAGTTGTATCATGCTTGACAAATCTTAAAAGATTGCCCAAAATGGAACGACTTATGTGAATCTCCCACACAAACATTCAAAGATTCTTCTCATAGTAGCAATACAGTCAATTTGGAGGAAGAAGAAGATGATGTGGTCATGCCCACTCCAAGGCCGTTGGGAAGAGATAAACATAAGGATGGAAAAAAAAAAAAGGAAAAAAAAAAGGAAATGTGTTTAAGGTTATCTCAACCAAAGTGGAAAATTCTTGTCTGAATTGGTTTAACAAGGAAATGAGGCAAATGAGGATAAGAGGCAAAAGTAATGAGGCAAATGAGGATAAGAGGCAAAAGTTAAAGCTCCTACAATAGCAACATGCCTATCAAATCCAACAAGATAAGGAGGCCAATGAGGATAATGTCCATGGACTTATCCAAATTTACTCCAAGAAAGAAGAAGTATTGAGGGAATAAGAAAGACGAAATTATTGAGACCCAAATGAATATAAGTTCCCCTTACAATCCAGAAAACAACTCTGGAGAATATTATCCAAGCCCTCCACATAATGGTTATTAATTTATGTTTATTTATAATTGTTGTTTATCTTAGTTTATAATTGTCGTTTATCTTTATTTATAATTGTTGTTTATCTTTATTTATAATTGTCTTTTATCTTTATTTGTAATTGTTGTTTATCTTTATTTATAATTATCATTTATTTTTCTATGATTAGTCTTTTTTTAAATTCAATGATAAACCACATAATTCGCTAAAATCACACAACCGCTTTTATAATTTAAAAACAAAACATAATTTAAACACACTTACATAATTTAAACACATAAAGTAGCTCATTTCCCCTCTCATTGGCATATCCAAATATGGTTGATCAAATCATTTCTTAGATTGTGATGCACTTGCGAAGCACGAATTCTATTATGACGGACCACGTAGTCTGAGATAGTTTGTCTGTCTTGGTTTATATAGTACGTGATAGTTGGCTTAAGCTCATAAGCAAGTCTTGCTCTTGTTCTTCTAGATGTTCGTGGACAATTATCATCATAATCAGATTCTGCATCTAGATCCTCATATTTATCATTGACAATCATGTTGTGCAATATTATGCACGTCATCATGATTGAATGAAGTTGTTCTTTACGCCACATACGTGCAGGTCCCCTAACAATTGACCATTAAGCCTAAAGTATTCCGAAGACTCTTTCGACATCCTTCTTATAAGCCTCTTATTTTTGGGCAAATTTTTGTTGGAGTTGAGTCTAGTTGGGAAATCGTCTTAACCAATGTAGCCCAACGAGGGTAAATACCATAAGCCAAGTAATAACTCATATTGTATTCATTTTCATTGGCAACATATTGGATATAGGGAGACACTTCATTGACTACATCATTGAACAACAGGGAACGAGCTAGGACGTTGATATCGTTGTTTGATCCAGCGACTCCAAAAAATGCATTCCATATCCAAGTGTCATACGAGGCCATTGCCTCTAGAACAACTGTTGGCTTATGCTTATAGCCTGTAAACTGGCATGCCCAAGCAATGATGCAGTTTTTCCATTCCCAATGCATGTAGTAAAGACTGCTTAACATGCCTGAGAATCCTCTGGGACTAGCCTTGTGCAAGAGCATGTAAAGGGTTTAGCCTGTAAACTGGCATGCCCAAGCAATGAAGCAGTTCTTCCATTCCCAATGCATGCAGTAAAGACAGCTTAACATGCCTGGGAATCCTCTGGGACTAGCCTTGTGCAAGAGCATGTAAAGGTAGGCCGGATTTGGGGAACTGAGTTACCACTGGCTATACACGGCTTCAATAAGGGAACAAAACTTTCGCAAACATTCAAGGGCTGTAGATTCACCCAATCTACAGTACTCGTCGGTGTAGTGTGCTGAGCATCCATATGAGAGCATTCGAAAAACAACAATTAGCTTCTGCTTTGGGATAGACTTTGTCATCCACAAGCGTCTATCTTCTGGGTAGAGTATGGCTTGTGTGCAACAACATCATTCAATATGCGATAAAAAAGCTATATTCTCATGTCGAACCGCCTGCAAAGGTCAACTGGGAGATAAAGTGGTCTTTCACATAAGTAGTCCTCCATGAGACTCTTATGATGTTTTTCTCTCTTCTGATTATTGTATTTACGGCCTACAACAGAACCACCATGTTTGGATTGTTGAGCATATTGCTCCAACAAAAATATATGGTGTTGAACGGCCATTACAACCCTCTGTTGATGAAGGTCATCATCATCAAAATCCTTATTGAAGAAATTTTGTATAACATTCCCACATGAATTCATTGTAAGAAGGAGAATGAGATTGAAGCTGATTGTGTGGTCAATTCAGTATAATAACACTTCTTAAATAGACAAGAGAATGAGATGACCTACATGTTTGAAAATAATTGAATGACGATAGGAAAATATAGGTAACGATATGGGAATCTAATAAAGTGAGATGAACAAAGATGAGCAATGGTTCAGAACATGATTGAAACAAAACAATAAGATATGGGAGAAATAGTTCAGAAAATAATTAAATGAAGATAGGAAAAGATAGGGAAAGATAAAAGAATTCAATAAAGTGAGATGGATAAAGCTGAGCAATGGTTCAGAACATGATTGAAACAAGACAATTAGGGATGAGAAATGGTTCAGAAAATAATTAAAGAACACAAGTGGAGGTAGGCAAAAGTTTAGAATATTATTGAATGGGGATAAAGGAATCTAATGAAGTAAAAGTAAAAGTAAAAATGGAAGACAATTATGGCAATGGCTTCAATAAAGGGTTCAAATTATATCGGGCATACGCAAAAGTAGCAGCTCCAGGGATTTTTACCGCTTTTAAAAAAATCATGTGATTCTGTTGTTTTTAATATAAATCGTGTGCTACTTGTTTTTACTTTCAAAGTCCATGAAATAAAATGTTGTTGTACTGGTTTTTATTTTTAAGTGAAATTCTATTATGTTTTGAAATTTTAATTTTTTTTGGTAAAAATGTTTAAAAAAATAAATCACAAATGTTGAAACAAAAATAATGTCAATAAAAATTAATGAGAACAAAAATTTAGGGGTTAATTATTCTCAAACAATTTAATAAAATTGCGGACTCAAATTATGAGTTTGTAAGATTGGAGGGAAAAAAGAATTGAGTCCTAAGAATACATTGTATTTTGGATGATAGAAATTTGAATTTAGCCCCAACATAATTGGAGATGGCTTTAGGCTGTTGGCGATATTTTGATACGTGCATGCTGACCACGGAAAACCAGTTGAATTAGAAACCTAGTACTGATGATGTGACAAGGCTCACATAGCAGATCACTTGCGTTGCAGATAATAATTGAAGGCTTGTAGTTTATATCCAAAATATTTTGTTATGCGTAGAAATTTATCTAAAAGATATTTATAGACAAATATAAAAAAGGCATAACAACCGGATTATATAGAGAAAGAGTTTTTCCCAAAATTGTATTCGTAACTCAGTATACCCTAATTAAATCAATCATAATGTGGAAAGAAACCAACCCGTTTTTCCCTACACTGTTTCATGCCTCCTTAAGTTGTTGTCTCAGTCAGTCTCTATATGATCATGCACTGGGAACTTCTTATCATAATGTGGAAAGAACCACAAGTTGAATCTCTCTAATGAACAAATGGAAACAACGGCATCTTCTGAATGTAAATGCCAGGCAAAAGTTACTGATTAGGGCATGATAAACATAATTAATATGTAATTTGAAATTTGTTTTGCAAATTAATTAGCTCCTCTCTCCTGACCAAATTGAAATGAGCCATCAGCACCGAGACAGCAAACAGCTTGGAGCAGAAGAAGGAAGGCAAATGGCAGGCATGTGAGAAGGAGAAGAGCCACAAGGCTAACATGCAGCAGAGAAAGGCTCTGGAGAGTGACATGTATATGCGTGTCTGTGAAGCTCCGAGAGTTACGTTTACAAGCTTGACCTGAGTCTGACCACCGCTACTTTTGAAATTCGTGAATTAAACCTTTTGGGAATCTCCACGAGTGTCTGAAATTTATGAAAACAAATATCTCCATGAGGTCTTTTACCCTTTTTAAACAAATATGTCCCAAGTGTACTATTTTTCAAATATGTAAATATTATTTTTAAGTTAAAACAAATATAGAGTAGTACTACTTGCACGGTTCTCTTTATACTTTTTCAGTTGATCTAATAAACTATTATCGTTTGTTAAAAAAATAAATATAGAGTATCGTTGAAGTTATAAGAATGAGATAAATAAAGGATAAATATGTTGATTAATTGAAGATAACCAAACACTTTTTATCGCAAAAAATCTCCATTAATGTAGGAGTAGGAGTGGAGAAACAATCCACGGATTGTGGAAGCATGCAACAATGGATATGATGATTAATTGAAGATAACCAAACACATTTTACTGCAAAAAGTCTCCATAAATGTAGGAGAAACGATCCACAGATTGTGGAAGCATGTAACAATGGAAGTTTCAAACAACTTTAGAACCGGGTTGGTAATAATGTTTTACGAAATAAAATCGGGTTGGTAATAATTTTATAGGTTAAAAAAGTAATAAAGAAATGCTTTCCCAAAAAGAAAAAAAGAAAAAAAGAAAAAGGAAAAAAACTTTGCCATATGACGTCGGTTTTCTTTGTTGGTAATAAGAGTGGGTACCAGCACACGCAGTTAAAGTCGGGTGGTCGGCGATCGTTCTCGTCCATGTAATTACCCAAGGATTCTTTTGGCTACGTGCATTTAATTTAATTAACAACAGATTCTTCAACTCAAACCTCTTAAAAAACGAAAGTTATTACACCAAAAATTAAAACAAAAAAGAGAGGGAATAAAATTCCCAAACGTTATTCTCAATATTCCTTCAAGTTCCGCTTACGTCGGACCCTCAGCTTATGTATATATACCAACATCTCATCACCATTGCTCAATACTCAGAGCTCGCTCTTTCTCTCTGTGTGTGTCTCTCTCTCTACTCTATCACTTATCATGGCGCTCCGGAAGGCGCTTGCCAAACGCCAATCTCAAGCTATCAGAGTCACTCTAGCCCCGTCGTCGGTGGTTCTAGAGCACCAAACCATTGTGCCTCCAAATGCTGCCCAGGCAAATTTCCATCGCGAGTATCTCACCTCAACCGGTTCCGCCGATAAAGGCTTTTTCCGGCGTTTTCTTCACCGCCGAGCGCTAAACCAATCGGCGAAGCTCCCGGAGTTCCTCACCGTACCAGTCGGTGAAAAGCTCCGGGAAAAGCTCAGAGGCATCAACATTAGCAGCGATCGGCTCCGGCTAGCCGGTCTCAGCCCTCCGCTGCCCGATCTTGCCACTCCCGACGACGCTCTGTACGGAATCTCCGTCAGCGACGCGAAGAAGATTCTGAAGCTTTCTCAGGTGGAGAAGCTAAAAGCGAAGCTGAGGGAGATTCCGGAGGGCTCCATTTCGTACTCGGAGTTTGTTCGGATCTGTGTGGAAGGCTGCGAGGACGAAGAACAAGGTGCTGAGTTTTCGAAGATGCTGGACGAGTCCGGAAATGTCATCGTTTTGGGAAACGTAGTGTTTCTCCGACCGGAGCAGGTTGGTCAGCTTTTTTCCCGGCCATGTCATCTCTCATTTTTCTATAAATTCCTCTTTGTGTTTCTTTCCTTACGCTGTAAAATTACCGAAATAGCCTTGTCATAAACGGCAACTGGTAGGCAACTGAGGCATAGTTTGTTACTGTGAGACCGACGTTGGTGGTGCTCCAAAACTGTGGAGTTTTGGAGTTTAGTTGGTTTGGTTTAAATTTTCATCACCTCGAGTCGACCCTTGTCCTTAACCGTTTCCAGGGGATGGATTCCCTGCTGAGTTATCGACGATTTAAAACCCATGCAATTGCTGTGGTTTTTGGTGACGTCTGACCACGTTTTTTTTTCTTTTTTCCAGGTGGCAAAATCCATGGAGAGCATAATTTCACAATCCATGGCCATGCCGAACGATCCAAGGAGAAGAGAGCTCCAACAATTGGAGACGCAAAAGATGGTAATTGACCAAAAAGCCCGGGCCTTGGTCCGGGGCGAGCTCTACTGTGGGCTGGGCTTTTTGTTATTTCAAACAATCAGTGCCATCCGGCTGACTTTTTGGGAGCTGAGTTGGGATGTGATGGAGCCCATTTGCTTCTTTGTGACCTCCATGTACTTCGCTTTGGGGTATGGCTTCTTTCTTAGGACATCCATGGAGCCCACTTTCCAAGGCTTCTTCCAGCGTCGTTTCGAGGCCAAGCAACAGCGCCTTATGGAGGCTCATAAATTTGATGTCCAAAAGTACAAGCACCTCCGCAAAGTGTTTTATCCCAATTCGGATCATTCAGCGTCGTTTTCATCGTGATGTAGGAATGGCTCTTCTTTTGGTGGTGCTGTACATCGTTAAACAGAGTTGTGGGGTCCATACCCTAGGCTTGGGTTTTTTTTGTTTTTTTTGGGTCAAAATACCGTAGGCTTAAGTTAATACCAAAAAAAAATGAAACCAAATTTAACTGGGATCGTTTCACCAAACAAAGCCTGTTGGGTTTTAACCTTTTAAGGACGGTTGGGCTAGTTTCGGCCCGAGCCCATGATGGAGGAACTTTGATCGGTGGTGGTGATGAGAAAACTCGGAATCTTGTAAAGAGGTTCAGTTCTCATTGTTTGTGTAGAGTACAGTGAATTGCCAAGTAAAATATGAAACTTTTGTCAAGTTTTTCTCACTGGCAGGCAAATAGCAAATTAGCAATGGAGGAGGTTTCTTAACTCAAAAGACGAGCTGTTAATTATTCTGCTTTATAATTAATAATATGATATTATGATGTGTGCGTGTGAAGTTGGTTCTTATTGCCGTTGATATTTTTCATCAGGACCATAAAGATCATAACTTGACCAATAGGGTGCTCTCGAGCTAGTAGCTACACACCCCTTTGAAGAGTGAAAGAGAGCTTTGATTAAAACAAAAACAAAACAAAAAATCTGCAAATAAACTAATGTCAAGTGGTTAGAGAAGGGTATCTTGTCTTTGTTTTTTTAAGGCCAACTATATTTCGGGAGGGGATTTAAATACGAGAAATTCAGTTTAGAGGTGAATGTTTTTAACCAATTGAGCTACCCGATAAAAATCAAGTAGATGATAATGCTATGAGGTAAGCACGCCAGATCACCATTTTACAATCAATTATATTATTAACCATGAAAATCTATTATACTCGCCATAGACAACTCATGGCCCAAAACGGAAATATATGTCCTTGGGTATAAGCCCAATACTTATCTTATTGACCAGAAGAGCCCAAGGCTTTACAACAAGCTGCTTTCTCATTGGGTGCTACTAATTCGCTACTCACACCCATTAATCTAATCTAATCTAAGCATCACCCCCGATTTCTAATAATTTTCCAATTTTGCCCTTAAGTAGAAATATTCTACTTTAGCTTTCATCAAAACTTTAAAATAAAAATAAAAATAAATGTAGATGGCCTTCCACCATGTGTAAACTTTATGCTCGAATTGACTATTGAACCACAACTATTGGGGCTCGACCCAACAAAGCCAATTTGGATTAGTCTTTAAAGTTGGGCCGGTTTCAACTTCAAACAATGCCTATTTTATTTTTTCTTTTCTTTTTTAATGCAAGCAATAGTATTATTCTGCTGAGGAAGCTCCACTAGTTTGTAATGGAAAGGCCCATGTTTATAAATAAATAAATAAATAAAAAACCATTACGTCAACATTTTCCTTTAGACGGAACAAGAAGGTTTTGGTTTTTAGTTTTTGTGAGAGAGAGTGTTGCGTGTTCATTTTCACTGCACGTTTCGCTTTCACAAAAGATAGGGGTTGCACGAAGGAAAGCCCAGGACAGGAGGAGTTAAGGATTTCACATGCAGAACTACTCATTCTGTCTCTCCCAAGGAAAAGATGTTCCAACTCTTGTGGCCTTGGCCCTATCAATTGAGTGAAACTCCGAAACAAATGTCACTAAGGGTTTTGTTTGTTTGGTACCCATCACCTTTTCTTTTGTCCTCTCCTAACGTTAACGACATTGTGTTGAGTAGGATAGGAGCACACCACACGCACCTAACGCATAAACTTCTGAAATTTTTATACGAAATTCGTATATACATTTGATGTGTATATCCAGAACAAACAGTGAGTGGCCCACTGAATTATGATATTATTGTTATAGCAGATTTGTTAGATCAGGTCCCTCCCTGATCATCTCATGTCTCCATCACATGATTTATAGACTCTGCCATGCCATTGGCCCGTTGCCAATTTGCCATACCAGTTTCTAATTAGGGAAGCAACAGACTTTATGAATGCGGGCAAAGTATGGTCCCAATAATGTCTAACAACATAATGCGAGTTTAATGGAGGTCGCTCAAGTCTCAACATACTACTGTTGGAAAATCTCTACCAACCTGCTCTAATATTTTAACATATGTTTTGGTCAATTTTAACAATAACTTGTATGACAAATAACATTGGCAGTCAGTTTTACAAAGAAAATCATTTCTGTTATTTACATATATATCTTGAATAATTTCAAATGCGCAACCAACAAATATATATTTATATATATATATATGAGGTTTTGAGGTTTTGGAGGTTCTGGGGAAGCATGTGTGTGTATACATATATATATATATATATATATATATTCGGACTCCGGCTACAACCAACAATCCTTCCTTTTTGCATCGCTTAAATTATACTTCATCAAGCATCTTTTCCTAATTATTTTAAATACGGCAGTCGGCAGCAGCTAGCAGGCACATCTGCTTACTCAAATTAAAACTTGAAACCTTCTGGGCCCAATGGCAATGGTGGTATAACTAGCAACCATGTGGGCAACAATGAGGCCCCACCACAACCTGTTATTCTGGTTATTCTGGGCAGACGGAATTTATTATAACCCAAGTTGCAATAAGATTTGTGGGTTCTGTTCTGTGTGCTTGGCTAAGACTGAAAGACACAATTTGTATTGTGGGGAGGGGGGAGGAAGAGGGAAGCTTCCTCATCCTCTATGCCTAGCCCGGATTCTCAGCAAAACATTCTCCCTTCCCCAGTAATAGAAATAAATAATTTTGAAACTTGAAATTTGAAAGCTACGTACTTACTTCAGTTCATATACAAGAGGTTAAGCCAGCATTTACTGTAAATGTACATCATATAAAACGGAGCCTGTTTTAATGCAAGTATGAGATTAGGAAAGGAATTTGTTCAACTCAGATTCCGGCAACCCAAAACAGTGACCCGCTTGTCTTCTTGTACATTCTTGTTTACAAATACCAAACCAGAAAACATATACGAGTTTATAAAAAAAAACACAACAATTAGGGTTAAATATATGTAAATGGATTTGGTGCATCAAACATTTTCAGTACAGTTCCACTGAAGCAACTTGGACTGGCATTTAGGGCCCACGTATTGTTGTGTTTGCTTGCACTTTGCTTTTGCCTTTTTGGCTAAGAAAGATACATATGTATATATATATATACTAGCTAGCAAACACTGCCACACAGTCCATTTGGGTTACTGGGTACCTACCAAAATTATGAATTCCATATGAATAATGGGGTTGGGGGGTATCGCAACTTTGTTGAATTTCCTTTTTAGTTTTGGTACGTTCAGCTTTTTGCTTGCTGGTTTGGAATGATGTACAACCCATCGCCAGTGGTGAGATCCGCTATTCCCTCCGTGCATGTCTGTTTCTGTTTGTAATCTCTCTCAATGACATCTCTTGCTACTTATACAATTAATCCAATCTTATGTCCATTAATCAAGGTATTAGTATTACACCCTAACTTATTGTACCAATGGCAAGGAGCTTGCAACAAAAGTAATTAATAAGGGTTACCTTACATCTAAGATGTTACGTTTGAATCCCTCCTCAACATTATCTCGTACACTGATAGCGACTTTTTTCTATTGGGTTTGTGCCAAATTTTACTGTTGTAGAACTATGCCACGTACTTGACAGATGCAAAGGCCACATTGCCACAATAACGTGCATGGAGATAAAGAAGGCATTTGGCATACAAATAGACAAGGAGGTTATCAATTCAAGAGGGAAGCATTCCATCACAATCCTTAAAACTTCTGCTTAATTACGCATATGGGTACTTGTGTGCCCTTTTTTCAATATCTTTATCCAAAATATTTACAGAATTTCAGGCCAAAATTGAAATTCTTGGAGTATGCATTTGTTTTGATACTCTCAAACATGCCAAGCCCAAGGGTGTGCAATTGATTGAATTTAAAAAAATAATAACGCATGTGAATAGAATCTATTTTCTTCTTTGTTCCCTTCTTCAAATAATATTATTTCATCATTTTAATAATGAGATTTTCAACTAATTGCAAAATCAGGAGCTCAATCAAACATGTAATTAAATTAATTTGCTCGTTATCATCATATCCCTCATACGCGAATTGTATAATATAACAATTTGGCTTTATGAAGACAACCTTTGACTGCAATAAGAAAATATGGTACACTTTTTAGAAGGATGTTGATAATTAGTGAGCTTTTGCTGTTTGCTTCTTGTATATAACCCAAAAGAGGAAGAAACATGTAGAGATGGTTCTATAATTCGATGCACCACTTTTGATCAAAGCTTCTAACTCAACACCAAAAAAGTGAATCCAGGCTTTCTTTTGGACTTCACATAAAAACCCAATTGTGGTAGTTGGATAACAAGTTCTCCTAACTTACATGTGCAAATTTGAAAGCATTTAGCATTCGCGAGTACGAAAATCTTTAGGATTTAATTAAAAAAGGCGCTCTCGCACGTATCTAAATGACTTAAGCTAGCTAAATTTGTGCAAACTTGTGCAAAGAGGCTTCCTGTTGGACTTCTTGTTGTAGGTCATGCATCAAGTAGTGGTTTTTTGAGTTTTCTTCAGTTGGGTTTTATTTCATCAATTCCTAGAGAAAGAAAATAAAATCATTAATAGCATAGCTATTTAATTAGATAATGGTGAGACCTAAATAAGATTACGGCAGTGGACCTAACCGGTACCAATTGGTTAAACTATCCGTGCCGTTGGGGTAAACAGTATTGATCAACAAAAACAACACAAAATAATCGATAAAAAATTGAATTTAATATATATATTTTTTCCCATATGTGTTGATGAGCTGTATTCTAACTAATATCTGTAAATCAACCACTTTTTGGAGACAACGATGGATTAGTTTTTGCTTAAATATTATAAACAGACTGCAACACGACCTAATCGGATTAAACAACCGCGAAGGAAAGAAGGTCAAAGTATCAAGAAATTAATAAATACTTTAGCTGAGGATCGATGCAGGTCAGCAAAATACCAAACCTAACTGCCCTTCTCAGTTTTATGCGTTTGCTTGCACAAAGAAATTCCTGGGTTTTTGGTCTTTCCTGCTTTTGAGGTTTTAATTTGTATTTGCTTCACCCATCCCATTCAAGTAAGAATTGTTCCAAATAAACAGTACTCTGAAAAATATATACCTTGTTTCAAACTTCTGCAAACATAGATGACTATTATTGGTTAGAAAGTGCCTTTCCTGCCCTATTCCCTTGCCAATGTTCAAAGTAACCCTTAGGATTAGTATATATATTATATCTCGATCGTAATAAAGTGCTAACTTGATGTTTAGGCCACCATGTACAAGTTAAGAATGACAAAGAGAAAAATAACTTGTGGTTTGTAACTTCATATTTTGGTTTACATTGTTAATGTTTAAACATTTTTCGTAATTTTAACGGTACTTACATGCTTAATATTTAAGCATTTCTTGTAATCTTAGCGATGAGGGTTCGACTATCGTTTTCCCGTACATATTATATTTGCTGGGAACCTTGTAATCATAATAATTTAGTCCAATTTCAGTGTAGAGGTTTGAGGATAAGAATCCACGATTTCTGCATTTTATAGAGCAAAATGTCATGGGAGTCAACATTGTTCAAGTTGAGTGGGGCCCAAGGACCTTGTAATGTTGGCTCCCAAGAAACCTGTTGCTGGCTAAGCCTAGAACCGTAGGGCATGACATTCATAACGTTGGGTCACACCGCCACAGTTATATAAAGTTTTGACCAGAGTCCATTGGCTGATCAATCAATGAATAAAATTGAGATTTGTGGCCAATAATTTTGAATCTCGGATGAACAGTCGAGCAACAGTACACCCTACGTTTTTTTCGATGTGGTTTTGGTTTAATTAATTAATCCTGTTTTTAGTTATAAAGTAGAACGACAAACTAATCTTAACTTGCATGAAACTTCTCTCATACTTTGTTTCCGGCTCTTTCAGTGTGAAAAATGTGGCTTACAAAATTTAAACGTTTCAAAGCCAATACGTTCCACATTTTCCAAACAAATTATTATTTTTCCTTTTGTTTTTGTACGTTCAATTATGTTTTTGGTTATTTCGACCAAAAAAAAAAACCCCCTAATTTAAAAAACGGAAGCAATATCCTTTCAAACTTGAAAGCCAAGAAACAGAAACAAAATAAACCGGAATTTTTAAATAAATTTAAGAACATTATTAATATTACACCATTTTAGTATCTTATTATTATGAAACCAAGCTCATACGTGCGCAATTAATGGCATCAAACATAAAATAAATAAGAAAGTAATTACCACTTAAATATAATCCGGCTGAACGGCAATATATATTTTTAATTGAAATAATGGTGAACTACTCAGCCAGTAAATAATTATGTTTTTTTTTGTCTATATTTTATTGTGATTGTCGAGCATTTACTATTTTCTTCCCTGGAACTGTAATATGCTTCCTGTTTTGCAGAGAAATGTTAGAATGTTTTGCTTGAAACTCCCTTAAGGATCTCAGCTACATTATGTAATTTCCGTTTTCACTAATGAACAATATCCGGATAATTATGCTTATAAATCACAATTTATTTATTAAAAAAATTCAGTAGCCAATATAATCATAATTTTTTTTTTAAATAAGGGAAGAAAATACCAACTAACTATTTCTCTAGTAAATAAATGTAGTGTTATTTGTCTCTATTTGATCAAAATAAGTCTTAAATTCGATACATTAGTTTGCACCGATCATCATTTAAAAAAAATTAAAAAAAAGATAACAATCATCAGATAGGGTGTTGTATATCTACAATAGAACACATTGGCCATACACTTTAATACGTCAATGGCCCCTAAATTCAACGATTGTGACCATTAAGGTCGCGTGAATTAGGTTACCAATAAATTCAACATAAAAGGTCATATGCATAAGGTTTGAGGATAACCAAATATTAGCGAAAGCCATGACAAATTGCCATGTTTTTCTTCCTAATATTTTAACCTAACACTAGAAGGAATGGGTTTGAATAATTTACAACAATTTTTTAATTTTTTTTTGTTGATTATACAACATTAGAATAGAGTCACAGGTCAAAGAAGAAAAAGTCTTATCGTACCGTCGCTTACAGATAATAAATTCTCAAATGTGATATGTAATGCGTACGGTCAAAATAACAATAAATGATGCATCACCTATAAAAAAAATTAAATAAAATAAAATTGAAGCATATGAATTTTTGTTTTTGCTAATTAAAAACTTGGTTAATCCACATGTTGCGGAGGTGAACCGCCAATGACCTGATCCACTGACATTATAGAAAACGAATAATCGATGAATTTCCTTAGATTATACTTTAGACATAAATTAAAAGACCCTTTGAGACATTAAAAAAAAGAAAGAAAAAGAGATTAGCAACGTTGAATGGGGCTTATCGTAATTCTGCTCAACATGAAGGTCGGTTTCCCATTCCGAATTTTCTAATTATAAATACGAATAATAAAAAAACTAAAGAAAGAAAAGAAAAAAAATTCCTAAACCAAAAGATTAATAAAATCATCAGCTGTACCCACCCCACCCAATCCATATGATTTTGAAGGACCTATTGTTCCCCTTCTTCTTCTTCTTCTTCTTCATCGTCTTCACTGTCACTGATTCCGTGTTTCGCCTTTCGCCTTTCTGAAAGAACAAAGCTTTCAGTGGCCGTACGAGACATTTAAAGCTCCTTGTTTGATTCAGTCTACGAAAGTAGCATTCTTTTTTATTTTATGTTCTCAGATACCGAAGACCCACACTCTTCTCTCTCTGTTTGGTGCTTTCAAATCGAAGCACAAGGGGTCTCTCTCATATTTATTTATCTTCTATAAGAGAAATATATTTTTTCTAGATTAAATTATTGAGGCGATTTGAAATGCAGAAGAGCCAGCGATTTTTCTGGGTTTTAAAGCCGATCGGAAAATCGCCGGCGATTTGATGGAATCGATGCCCTTAGTATTAGAGTTTCCTACATTTCATGGAGGTAATGATACGGTGCCGTCCATGTACCTTTCTCAGATTCGGTTCTAAGCTACGAGTCGCCGTCGCTATCCTCAAGGTGAGCTCTCTCAGGTTTTCATTTGTCACTTATTTTCTGGTTAGAAGAATTTGGGGTTTAAGTTTTGTTTTCTCTTGCAAATTTCAGTTAAAAATTTCTTGTTATGCTTGGTTTCTGAGAAATTTCCGGAAGAGATGGAAAAATTTGGGATTTTGGCACTGCACTGACCCTAAATTAGTTGTTTGTTATCTGGTTTCTCATTCTTTTTTTTCTTTTTTTTCCTGGGGAACCTAACGGCAGATTTGGGCTTCAGGTTAAGGGAAGCAACTGTCTTTAGTACGTGATGGATTTATTGCTTTTGATGTTTCCACTTTCTAAGCTATTTCCTCTTGCTTGTTTCTGCTTCCAATTAGTTTTTTTATTTCCTTTTCTGGAAACTGTTTATTAGTGCTTGAGGGGGAACATTTTTGTTCCTTTTTTTGGAATAAATTTCAGCTGATCTGTGGGTTGGGTTTGGCCAATAGTTAGTATTAATGTTTTTTTTTGAGGTTGAAGCAGATTTGGGTTGCTGGACCAAACTGTGCCATCTCCGTTGATGTGCTATTAGGATTGAGACACTTTGTATTTGATTTTCCATATTATTATGAGACTAAGTTTGTTAGATCTGCTCTAGAATGGTTGATTTTTTTTCCTGTCCACCTTGTGCGTGAACAGTAAGTTTGTTGAAAACCAAGGTCTTAAGCTTGCACATTTTCATCACATTAATGGTTTTTGTTTTGTTGTGCTTTAGGTTATATTGCTAGTGATATGGTTGGAAACTAGTAATGCACAATCCCAAGAAAACACACTTCAAGGGCAGGATCCAGAATGGTTGTCCGAGAGTGTTGCTTCACATTCCTGCATCCATGACCAGATACTTAAACAACGGAGGCGACCTGGTCGCAAAGTGTACACTGTTACCCCCCAGGTGTACGAGGGGTCTGGTATATCACAAGCCCTTCACCAAAAAGGTAGGGCATTACTTGGAATTTCCAAGTGCTCGGTACAGCAGAAGGATGTAAAACAGCCTATTAGAATATATTTAAATTATGATGCTGTTGGTCACTCGCCTGATAGGGACTGTCGAAATGTTGGTGATATTGTTAAGGTGGGTTTAACATCAAATTGGTAAATTCTGAATGTGTACTTTGTTGACAACTATACATAACTGATGTTGGAATTGATTTCTTCGTTTTTCTTGCAATTCCCCTCCCTATCAGCTTGGGGAGCCTCCTGTGACGTATTCTGTTATTGGTTCTCCTTCTTGCAATCCTCATGGTGATCCTCCAATTTCTGGTGACTGCTGGTATAACTGCACTTTGGATGATATAGCTGGGAAGGACAAACGGCAGCGCCTTCGCAAGGTTAGATTGTACTTTGTTATTCTTCTGTCATATTTTTCCCACTCTGTACATCATGTAAACTTTGTATATCGTTCACTGCTTCATGTCTCTGGGTTTTGCTTAATCAAACTTCGTCTATGTCAATGTGCGTAGGTGGATGACTTTATTGTCAGTAATACATATTGATGTTACTCATGCTGGGTAAGTATGCATGAAACTTATTTTTGGAGGTATTTAAATGCAGGCTCTAGGGCAGACAGCAGACTGGTTCAAGAGAGCCTTAGCTGTTGAACCTGTGAGGGGGAATTTGCGGTTGAGTGGGTATTCAGCATGTGGCCAAGATGGAGGTGTGCAGCTGCCACGTCAATATGTTGAAGGTATCTTTTATTGCAAATTGGGTGTTATTTTCCAATGTCACTGTGTGACTTGTTTCTGGTTTTTAGTAGCAATTCTCGACATGTCCACATACGCAAGTATCTAAGTAACCATAATGTTGATCTTTTTCCAGAGGGCGTTGCTGAAGCAGACCTGGTTCTTCTCGTGACAACAAGACCTACCACTGGAAACACTCTTGCATGGGCAGTGGCTTGTGAACGTGATCAATGGGGTCGTGCAATTGCAGGTAATTCATTCATTGAGCACTGTTTCCTATTGGAATAGTCGTGCCTTGCTTGCAATAGAAATCAGAATTGATTGTATCTTTTTCTTTTTTTGGGATGCAGGACATGTAAATGTTGCTCCTCGTCATTTGACAGCAGAAGCAGAAACTCTACTTTCTGCTACTCTCATACATGAGGTCAGTTGTCTTGTAATGAAATTAAGAAAACATGGGATGTAATTTCTTACTGATAAGAATGTGTGATCTTTTCCAGGTTATGCATGTTCTCGGTTTTGATCCCCATGCCTTTGCTCATTTTAGGGATGAGAGGAAAAGAAGGCGTAGTCAGGTAAAGGCTACTACTAATGCTTCAAAATGCTCCTTCACAACAACGAGAAATCTATGTCCAAACTATCTACTATCTGCTGCTTCATTGTTGTTTGGGTATGGAAAGTTCATTGGCACCAAAATGTTACTTGTTATCAATTTTCAGGTTACAGAACAAATCATGGATGAAAAGCTTGGGCGTATGGTGACCCGTGTGGTGCTTCCACGTGTTGTCATGCATTCACGATATCATTATGCGGTAAATTTCAACTCTCTTTGTTATGCATGGAATTGTGTGCTGCTTGAAAACTATTTTGAGACACAGTGTTGCTTTAATTTTTAATATTCTAAAACCAGAGCAGCAAAAAAATGGTTGAAGAATTTCATAGAAAATAATGGTCCAAGACTAATCTTCTGGCAGGCATTCTCTGAGAATTTCACTGGTTTAGAGCTTGAAGATGGGGGAGGACGCGGCACATCAGGTTTTTTACTTTAAATGTTTCTGTGTGTAATCGTGCATAAATGCATACAATCATTTGCTATGCTGTGCTTGGCATGATTTTATGGAAGACTTATTATATAACATGAGGAACAATATTCAGGGTAGTGTAAAATGCCAAAACAAAAAATAACAGTTGATATATAGTAAGAACTGTACCAGATGTGTTTTTCCCCAGTGATACCAACAGAGTTGTCATAGTATTTAGAAGTGTAATAATGATTGGACATCTAATTACTTTCAGGGTCACACTGGGAAAAAAGACTTCTAATGAATGAAATTATGACGGGTTCAGTGGACACAAGATCCGTGGTTTCAAAAATGACACTGGCGTTATTAGAAGATAGTGGATGGTACCAGGCTAATTATAGTATGGCAGACCATCTTGATTGGGGCCGCAACCAAGGAACTCAGTTTGTTACCTCCCCTTGCAATCTCTGGAAGGGGGCATATCATTGCAACACAACACAATTGTCAGGATGTACATACAACAGAGAAGCAGAGGGTTACTGTCCAATCGTAAGTTACAGTGGAGACCTACCCCAGTGGGCACGCTATTTCCCACAGGCTAACAAAGGTGTGGTGTTTTTGCATTTGTAATCTATTGCATTATATTTGAAGTTGTTAATCTGCATCCCATTGTTTTGGGTATTAAAATATCTATAAACCCTAATAGTTGGTTTGAGACTTGATGTGAATTATGTTATCTTATGACCATTGCAGGTGGGCAGTCCTCACTGGCTGATTATTGCACTTATTTCGTTGCTTACTCTGATGGATCATGTACTGACACTAACAGTGCACGACCACCTGACAGAATGTTGGGTGAAGTACGAGGAAGTAACTCTAGGTGAGATTTACACTAGGAACGTCTCTTTCACGTGGACATGTTGGTTGCAGTTAAAAATAGCCACATCTTGCTAATGATTATTCTTCTTTGTCACTCGTAGGTGTATGGCTTCATCCTTGGTACGTACTGGGTTTGTACGGGGTTCTATGACCCAAGGAAATGGATGCTATCAGCACCGATGTGTTAATAATTCATTAGAGGTATGCTATTTCAGTGGTTGCGTTGTTTTTCATCTGCTGTAGTTTATCAGGTGCGCATGGGTGTCATGGTGAACTTATCAACCATAAATTGATGAGCAGCATCTTTATATTTGAACATGCATCATCTTTTCTTTTATCACTTTTTTAATTGTTTATTTATTTTCAGGTTGCTGTGGATGGTATGTGGAAAGTATGTCCTGAAGCTGGTGGACCACTTCAGTTCCCAGGATTTAATGGTAATCATGCTGTTCCATCGATTGTTTTTTCTTCTTAATCTTGTTATGTGTATTTCAACATTGATTAAAATTTGAAAAATGTTCCTTCTTTTAGGTGAATTGCTATGCCCGGCATACCATGAACTCTGTAGTACAAGCCTAGTTCCTGGGACTGGGCAATGTCCAAAATCATGTAATTTCAATGGAGATTGTGTTGAAGGAAGGTGCCACTGTTTTCTAGGGTTTCATGGTTCCGATTGTAGTAAACGTGAGCTCCTAATTTCCTCTTTGCCCTTCTTTATAATCAGCACACGAGATGCAACATTATACGAAGTTAGGTTTTGGATTTATGATCTTTGCAGGCACCTGCCCAAGCAACTGTAGTGGACGTGGAAATTGCCTTTCTAATGGGCTCTGTGAATGTGGAAATGGATACACAGGCATTGACTGCTCCACTGGTAATGCCTTTTGTTTTTTCCTCTCTTTTTTTCCCTGTTTAATACTGCACACCATGTCAAGGCTTGTGTACAATGGCTGCTAATATTCTGCAATTTGCTGTTCTCTGATAACGTTGCTCTTGCATATATATGTCATGCAGCTGTTTGTGATGAGCAATGCAGCCTTCATGGAGGTGTCTGTGATGATGGAGTCTGTGAATTCCGATGCTCTGACTATGCAGGCTACTCTTGCCAGAACAGCACCATACTGCAATCTAGTCTTAAAGTTTGTAAAGATGTGCTGGAGAATGTCAACTCTGGTGCTGGTCAGCATTGTGCACCCAGTGAACCAAGTATATTACAGCAGCTAGAGGATGTAGTGGTCATGCCCAACTACCATCGTTTGTTTCCTGGGGGTGCTAGGAAACTTTTTAGCATCTTTGGCACCAGCTACTGTGATATGACTGCGAAGCAGCTGGCTTGCTGGGTAAGTTTCCTCTCACTCCACAATACAACCTTTTCTTCTCCCTTTGTCAAGAAACATTTGTTATGTTTATCTGCTTTGACTAAGAATATGACCATGTAATGCCAGATCTCAATTCAAAAGTGTGACAAGGACGGGGACAACAGGCTCCGCGTATGCTATTCGGCTTGTCAGTCGTATAATTCGGCATGTGGAGCTTCACTGGATTGCTCGGACCAAACCCTGTTCAGTAGTAAGGATGAAGCAGAAGGTCAATGCACAGGGTCTAGTGAGATGAAAACATCATGGATTAGCAGCATATATAGTTTGTTTTCAAGTAATAGTTCCTCAAAAGGGACGTCTGTAAAAAATAGGCAGCTTTAGCATTTACTTTTGATTTTTTGTTTTTTTTTCTTGTAATTTTTTAGGGTTTCATTTTAGGAAAAGGTGGCATTTAATGCTGTGTCTTAGATGTAGGTTTTCCGTCTGCAGGGCCCAATAATCATTAAAAAAAAGTTGGGCCAGAAGGCGAGAGTAGTGGCTTTCAAAGATGAAAGCCGCTTGTAGAGAAAATTGGAAATGCAAGGTGAGTAGAAAAAGAAAAGAAAAAAAAGAAGAGGAAGAGTCTTGTTAAGTTGCTTGCACAGTTGTTTTGTTTGTTAGGCCGAAGGCCTTGAAATTTGAAAGAGAAAAAAAAAGCCTTGTATTTCTTGGTTTATTGTGTTCTTATCTTTAGAGTTGTTTTTAGTTAGTTTCAAAGAAAAGTTAGTCAATCTGCTGTCGTTTTAATTACTTGAATAACAATTATACTGCGTGGTATAGTTGGAGAAGAAAGTGAGAAACAAGATATGCTAAGATTTCAAACCCTCACGTTTGCGTAGGCTTTGCAATTAAGAATTTAAAATAAGCAAATCAAGGATTAGGATATGCAAATAAAATTTACAGGTTATGGTTATCAATCAACATCATTACCATTGCTTGTTTAGTTGGTGGAGGACTGGAGGTGCCAAGATTCTTCCAAATTAACTAGGAATTGCCTTCCCATCTCATGCATGCGATGCGACCACCACAATTAGCCAACTTATTATTCTCATATTAAATTAACCATTTGTTAATTAATTCACTCACCAATCCCATCCAGCCAGAACCTATTAAACTAATTACAAGTTACAACAACAACGATCTGTTATTTCAAATCCAACTGCTAATTAACAAAACCTTAATAATAATAATCTTAAACCAATAAATCATATCAATTAATTAATATAACCAACAAGGACCTTCCATTCCATGCGCTATCTAAGAATTTATACCAATGTAATGGATAATTACTACTCTACTCAACTAGCTTATGATGACCCGGTTGGGCAAAACGTAATCAAGTAGTCCGACCCGGCACAGGTACAAGTGCTGGAAGCGTCATCATAAGCGTAACTATACGCTGTGGGGCATGCAGTCTTGAACATCACCGAGTACTGAGTTGGGGAACAGGTCTGAGGCGTCGCGTGGTCCCCGGTGCAGCAAAACTCCGGCGCGTTAAATGCTGCGCACGCGCTCCTGCACGCCACCACCTTACCCGAATCCGTCACCCGAAGCTCCGGTGGGCAGTTGCCATTCAAGTCGGCCACGCATCCTGCGTACTGGCAGTCGCCGGTTCCTCCGTTTGCCCTCAGCCCCATGGCCACATTGTAACCGTCCACCAAGCTGACGTCATAGAAATCCTTGTCACCCGGGGTCGAACCTATCGTGAACTCCGCCAAGGTAACTGGGGGTGCGCCGCCCCCGACGCATTTTAGAGAGCCGCAGTCGCCGGTGAGGCATTTGCCGTTTCCCGAGTCGTCGAAGTTGCAGCCGGTTCGGGCCCAGAACCTGCCGGACCATCCCCGAGGGGCCGTGAGCTGGACGGACGAATCCGGCGCCAAGGCGAAACCGCCGTCTCCGAGAACTGCGGCGCCGTTTCCGGAGAGTGTGCCGGGCCAGACTGTGTAGGTGCAACGGTTCTGGAGCGTGAAAACGGTTGCGTAGACCACATTGCCTGCAGCTGGATTAACAAGAAGAGTAATAACATTAACCCAAAAACAAACAAAACAAGTTTAGATTACGTTAATCAATATAATTAGTGTAAGTAGTTGATTAAGAGGCAATTAGGAACGTGCGGTACCTAATGAAAAGAGAAAAGAAGAAGAGAGAGCTTAAGCTTGGAGGTGAACATGGCCATAACTGGAAAACAAGCCAAGACTGGGTGCGGAAGTTATAAACTTAATTTGATTTTTGATGCTTAAAGCTTTTGCTTGGCAATTGGTATTTATATTTGCCAGAGCTGAAATTTTGGCATTATAATTTCGTTCCTCTCTTTCCGTGACCGGTATAAGATAGTGGGGGTGTTTTCCGGTGCGCGCAAGCATTTTCTGTATTTGCGGAATGCAGCAATGGGTGGCCGCCACGTCACCAAGTTAAAGACGGGCCATCTTTCGCACCACTTTCTTTCCAGTCTTATGAGGGAGAGAGTTTTGTGGTTGGATTTGGTTGATCGAGGGTGTAGATTTATTTCTGAGCTGAGTGTGCAACTTTACCTCATCTTACTATGTGTAATCGTATCATCGATTAATTACTGTGGGGAAAGCATTGCGTAATTTACTTTTGGGTTAATGACTTAAATAGTTCCTCAACTATCGCGAAATTATCATTTTGGTCCACCAACTAAAATTTTCAATTCAAACGTCCTTAAACTTTTTATAACGTACCAAAATCGTCATTCCGTCAAAATCTGTGTATTATTCCGTTAAATATACTCACCGAAAAATACGATTTTGTCCCTCGATTTAACGGAATAATACACAGACTTTGACGGAAGGACAATTTTGGTACGTTATAAAAAGTTTAAGGACGTTTGAATTGAAAATTTTAGTTTGTGGACCAAAATGATAATCGCGCGATTGTTGGGGGACTATTTAAGTCATTAACCCTTTACTTTTTCTTGTTAATTTGGGTATGGGATGATAAAATATTGGTGTGGCACGTGATGTGGCAGGTAGGTTGGAGTATCGAGTCACGTGACAAGGACGGTCCCTCGACAAGATCACATCACATAAAACAGCAACGTGGCAAACATCATCAATCGCACGACCTCCCACTCCCACTCTCAGTCCCTCAGTTGACTCTCTCACGTTCTTAGGCTTGTTAGTTTCATAATAAAATGCCACAATCTTTTTACACATTTTGGCGTGGTGATTTGCTTAAATAAACACAATCTTTCACTTGTAATTAATTTTCCTTTGAATGAATGTTTGTAGTGTTTCATGTCCTTTCTTTTCCAAGCCAATGTTTCTTAAGTAAGGATTTGCTAATACAAAGTTAATCAAACCATGTTAACAGTAACTTATTTCTTGTTTCTCTCACATATCTTATTCGGCAGCACAAAAGGAATGGTTGGTTGGCCTTTCGGATTGGATCTTTTTTTTTCCCTTTCCCTTTTGAATAATGCTAATGAGATCATGTGCGTAAAAAAGGAAAGAGAGGTAAGAAGGACTCAAACGGTTGGCCAATTAAACCAGCTTTTCCTACAGCGTTAAGCTACCTATCAGCAATCTTGACAAACTAACAACGATCAAGCAGGCCCCGTTACATGTCTAAACTTCAAATAGATATGTTGCTTTTGAAAATGAAATATGGAAAGTAGCTCCGTCGCTTTAATTTTGTACTTATTTATGTTTGGTGCCTAGGAATGGATTGGATAGTGTGACATTTCGAGGACTAGCATGCTCCACCCAATACCAATTAAAGTCTTGGCTTCACATGTCTGGTTGTTAAAGTCAGGATGGTTCCAATTTGCATCCCTATTTACTTCTTGACATAATTTGTGTTCTGTATGTATATGTATACAAGTACAAATCCACCAAAAAGTTAGAAAGACAAAGAAAGCTGCTTCCACAAAAAGGTTGACAAGATTCCTACCCATTGCTTCACTCAATTAATCTCTACGACTACTAGTTGACACCTGCATTGTCTTTTGCATAAAGTTGATCAGAACCAACCCCCAACCTCTCATTTGTTTGATTTTCTGTTGATATGATCTCCTTGTTTACAGTTTGTCTCATGACAGATCACACTTTGAACCTCATTACAGCAACATAAGATTCAAGGCTGACATGTTTGAAAATTTGTCACTGAAGACTAGTTATTACAAGTCTTCTTTTGTAAAGTGAAACTGTGATGCTGCTGCTAGGGTTAATTATGGGCTGCAAATGAAGCTTCAAGCCATAACCATTGACGGCTAAAAGAGCTCAATCTGTTTCAATGTGGTGGCAAACACACAGGTGCAACAAAAATAGGAATAATGAAACATTCGCAAAACACTTCAAAAATGTGCTGTTTTTCTATTCACTTCTTGGTCTATTGCAAACACAAGTTGCTTTAACAAAGTCTAAAATTGGCATCGGTTGGATTTCAAAATATGTAGCTGTAGCAAGGTATGCACAAGATAAACCGATGTATATTTTAAACCAGACGGTTGAAAAAATGGTAAGGTAAATGAGCACGACAGTCAAAACAACTACCAACATAAAATTTACCAAGCACTTCAATGTGGACAGTTCCTCTTCGCCTCCTCCTCCTCCTCCTCCTTCACTAGGGAAATGGCCTCGAGTATTGAAATCAGAGAGTAAGTTGTCCTTGAGCTGGAATGTGTCCGTTAACCAAGAAGCTGCATCCGCGATAGACTCAGGGATGTCTTCAATAGGGATACGGCGAACATGAATGTGAACTTCTGAAGGATCCACGCCAAACGCATTGTCCATAAATGAAGGGCATTGATTCTTGTATGCGATTGTCAAGTCATAAACTGCACCACAATTTGGAATATGAAGAAACATATAAATATAACAGGAATGGAATGTTAAGACAAGATAAATTGGAGAGAGAGAGAGAGAACGGGGTTACAAACACATAATTTCCAGAATACCAATAAGAGAGTGGAAGTCTTGTGTAAATAACCTGCATCCAAAGAACTTCTTAGAGCTTCCAAGCAAGCACAAAAACCTTTCGTTCTTGGAAGCAGGACATGTGACAGTACAGGAAGTCCAGTTTCAGCAGCAAATATCTGACTCTTTTTGCATTTTTCTTCACTGTATACAAAACAAGGGGGTAAAAAACAGAACAACTAAATATCTACATACATTAATCTCTTAAAATGAATAACGAAGAATATTTTGAATGCACCATAAAAATTTGCAAGTTGGAAATATGCCTTATGACAGTATGAGATGAAACCAATGTCAGAAAGGTGACTGATGAATGTAGAAATGGGGTCCAATGGTAACTCAGTGCAGAGAAGTGCAGCAAAATTAGGCAATACTGTGGGTTTCAGAGAATAGGATTCTAAAAAAATCTCATTGCAGAAGATAAACATGAGAAAGGATTCTCAAACTCATTGTCAACTGTCGAAATTGTGAAACTAACAGTCTAAGTTCAAACAATATGGATTTTCTTTTGCTGAAGTTATAAATAGAAGCAATGGTGGTCAAATAATCTTGAATATGATAAATTCAATATAATAATCTGAAAATACATGCACATAGATTGATAAGAAAGGCAGAGGGGAGGGGGGTAATAAGCAGTACTTATAATCAGTTCCTTCAGGAAAAATGGCGAGCCACAGAGGGTCTGCAGGATCAGCAAAGGACGAAAGCAATTTGCGCATAACCGGTTCATCAACTTCCCACTTCCTCTTCAAAGGGATAAACTCCAAAACATGAAAGCCCCAACCGAAGACAGGCAGCTTCATGAGGCTGCTCTTGAGGACATATTTGATGTGGCCGAGGGACCCTTTTCGCAATGCAAGATCCCACAAGTACATCCAATCAACCTCAGTTTTATGATTGGCAATGAGCAGAGTGCGTTCTTTCGGGGGCACAGTGTCACCAGTAAAAACCACTTTGGTCCCATTGATCTTTTCAAATAGGAAGGGCCACAAGGCCAGCCAAATACCAAAGAGGAGGGATATTGCTTTTCTGCTGCAATGTATGCTCAACAGGCGCAAAATTACAGCAATGATAGGCGCAAAGCACACAAGAATCATGAAAGCAGTAGAGAGAAACACTACTAAACATATCACACCCCTCACAACTCTAAGTGGAGTTAAGGGCCTGTGCTTCAGTTTACTATCAGGTTTCAAGGGACTGCAAACATCCATCTCGTTCCAGGAAAAACCTCCCTCAATGCAGCTGCAATATTACCAAAATATGTCTTTAAGAAAAAGAATTTACTTCCCATTTCCCTTAAATAAACATGAAAAAAGAAACACAATAATAAACATGTACATGAACGAATTATGAGATATTCTAAACTAGTCGTGCAGAGGTTTCGAACTCGGGTGCAATAAGAAGGGCACACTGCTTCCGCGAATTGGCCTAACCCCACATTTGCACATGAACGAATTATGATTGACGTGATCAAGAATGTTGGTTTTCCTTTTGAGACATCGATGCCATTCTGGTTATCCAGGGAGGTAGATCAGATGCCTCCCTGAGATTTTGATGTTTCAATTTCAATCATATAATCACGAAGGAAAAAAAGAAAAAGAAAAAAGGGACAAACGTAAAGACGATTTCCAGAGACGCAATTGCCACAAGAACGACAACAACCATAACCTTAAATCTGCAGACAACAAAACAATGTTGTTACCTCATGCCAATGTAGATTTAGAGAGAAGTTTTTGCTCCGAGAACGAAGAGTACGTTTGTGTTGTTGTCGTTGGGTAGAAGGCAATAAAAGATCAGCGTTTCGAATAAATGCCAAAAATAATAATAATAAGGGATTTATATACAAGAGATTGGTGCCTTCATGAACACAAAAAAATGATTGCCAAAAATAATAAAAAGCCATTTATAAATATTGGATTGCATTCCTTCATATATAGCATAGCCAATGCAAAAATTATCATAAATAGGCAACGCTGAGCAAAAGTGCAAATATGGAAGTATTATCACACGGCAAACACATAATTCATTCATTCACTATTTGTTCTAGAGAACGAGTCAAACCTAATAAAAGCTAGCTGTTGTTGCCAAAACAAAAAGGCTAAGCACTCTTAAAATTTGTTGGATATAATTAGGTTGGGTTACACCTCTAATCATTATATTATTAAAACTAATAAGAATTAAACCAATCTTAGTTTGCACTACTTCTACTCCAATTCTGGAGTGTTGATGTTGGTGAACGGAGTGTGACGGAAGATTGACGGGTAAGTGGGCCGCATCGCTGAGTTGAACAGCCTGGTGGATAAAATTGTAAAGCCCATCGTGGCCTAAACTACACTTGGAAGTTGGATTGGCTTAAGATGGTTGAGGCAATTACCAAAGAAACTTATCTTCAAATGAATTTTATATTACAATTACAGTATTAAATAATATGTAATTTTTTTAATCAATGGCGAGATGGTTCAAATTTGAGACCAAACAAAGAATTAATAATGTCCAAGCCATTAAAATATCTAGGAAAAACATATAGTAAGCTCCTAAATACAAGTTTGTATATTTTTATACAATGCTAGTTATTAAAGTTTATCTACCAAGAATGAGAGAAGCTATGAATCGAAAAATTTATATAGCATAATCAACTACTTCCCCTAGTTAATTAGGATTTGAAGGTGGAACTATGTAATTTTTTAATCCCTATATATTAGTAAACACATCAGAAATCAGAACATAAGGTGGCACTAGAACTATAGTGGAAAAGCAGGTCAAACTCTCACATCCCCCAAAGTGCATTCGGGTTCAATTTACGTATGAGACAATCTTGAAGCAACCTAATATAATACTCTCCTCTCCCCCTCCCTAACGAATGACGAAACACATCGGAAATCAAGAATTAGAATCATTCAATACTCATTCCTTATAAGTAAACATGCTACATTTATACAAATACATGCCACTTAAAATGGGAAAAAAATAGGGAGATTCACTAATATACCCAATATAGGAGCCCAAATTATAAAAAAACCATATATGAAATGGAATTTATAAACATACCCAAAGCCCATTTATAACATAACAAAAAGGCTTTTAACTTCTTTTAAATTACAAAATTGCCATTGATTTCTTAAAACAAACTCAACCCAAAATTTCATAAAAAAACCCAAAACACTCAATAGGATATCAAAGTAATTTAATAATTAAAATTAAATTTAATAGTACCATTTGTCATTTTTTGGGTATGTTTATAAAAATGAAATGATGTAGGGTTTATTTATAGTTTTAGTGCTAAGAATGGGTATATTACTAAATATCTCAAAAATATAATCATGGCAATGAAGGAGAACATCAAGTAGCCAATGGAGGCAATAAATGCATGACGATGTTGATGAAGATTGATAGAGGTAATCAAGGCACGAGTTAACGAGATCTCCTTTACATTTGGCCAAAAGTTTGGTGGATTAAGCGCGGGGGAGTTGTGTATCTGGGGATTTTCTATTCTACTATTAATCTGGGTTTCTTCTCTCTCTTCTCGTCCTCTTTGTGTTGGGCCGTTGTTATTGAAGTTGGTGGACCTAGAACACTTTTGTTTTGGGACAGGTGTGTTTCTGTTTGTCCTCCATTGTTTTGGCCCCAATTATTTCACCAAAATTGTGCCTGATATTATGATAACATTATTTTTGCATCCTTTCCCTTTCTCTTAACAGAATGTCACGTTTTGGTTTACCATATTAGTTTTAATGACCAGAATATCATATCAGTGACGGCATGTCGTCGGTCATTGGTCAGTCCAAAACTCAATAGTATACCTTTTCTTGCAGAATGGACAAAGTACCAAACTCGTATAATCTAAGTTTGGTTCTCAAGCGGCACCTTCCTCCTCCCTCGTTTCATTCCATTGACTATTCAAATGGAACTTACAAGAATCCAAGAATAGAGTCTTCTTCTTTGAACATTTACTTTTATTGAGGGAAAAAGATATATATAATATACACATGTACATATATATCATATTCACAATGAATCTCATTTCCACCTAATATATTTTGTTTGATAAAATACAAACAAAATATGTAAATAAAATCTCGAAGGCAGGACGTCCTAACCAGAACCCAAATGCGTTCATGCTTAGGGTTTGACTAACAAATCTCAAAGGACTGACTAACAAATTAACGACGTTTTTCCTTAACAATGACAACCTCCCGTTCATGCTTAGGGTTTGACTCCGAACCAGAACCCAAATGCGTGCCCAAACTCTCCATTTTCCCCACATTTGAATTTGTCAAATACATCTTCATGTAGAACTTCAAGAAGAGCAAAAGAATGGCGCCGTTGAGCACCGAATTGCAGACCCAAGCTCCCATCCCATTGCACCCGCCTTTCAAAATGTGCAGCGAAAGCACCCCAACATGGCAAACCAAGTTGCAGCCGAGCAACACCACCTGGCAATTCACCACGAACGGGAAACAGGCGCCGGGTAACCCGATTGCGGTCCAGAACCGGTACCCGTAGACCACTGAGTAAAGCAGAGTGGTGGAGAGTATGGCCAGGACCTGAAACGACTGAGAGAACTCGAGCCAGAGGAACGACATGAAGATGAGGATCGACTGGTTGAAGAGGTGGAAGAAGGTCAGCCTACGGCGGCCGAGGACGGTGAAGAACGTGCGGAACAGATGGAGGAACCGAGAGAGGTAGAAGACGTAGGACCAGAAGAAGACGCGACCCGAAGGGCGGGTCCCGAGCGGGAAGCAGAGGAACCACTGGAATGGGGTGGTCTTGGTGCGCCGCCATAACCAGCGGGTGTCGCGAATCTCGGCAGAGGCGGAGACCAGGATGCCCGCGAAGATGGCGGCGGAGATTAGGGCCATGCCGAGGCTATGGATGGCTGGGATTATGCCGAGTGGGACGGGGCGTCGGCGGCGGAAGACGGTGAGGATGAGGTGGAGGGTGGTGGCGACGGCGATGTAGGCGGGGATGGCGGTGAAGAGGAAGGACCACGTGGAGCCCCATGATTGGGTGGTGCTCCATCGGAAGTTTACGATTGTTGGATGCTCCGATAGCCAGTACTTGATGCTGTGCGTCATGGGTTGCTTCTCATGTGTTGGATGAAATGCGAGAATGAATATAGAACTGGAGATGATGTTGAACAAAAATCTGGAGCCTAAGAAATGTTTTATGAATACGGGCGGATGGCGTTGGAAATAAAAGGCAATTTGATATAGATGGGATTTTGCTGAATGAATTGAGAAGTCAGCTCAGCGGATTATAAAAGGAGAGAGAAAAAATGGTGTGGACTGCGGAAGTTTCTTTCTTGGAGTGCTTTTGTTTTTTGTTCCGTTTTTATGCCAACCATTATTATCAACGCAACGCACCGCCAATGATTAAATCCCGAAGCCATTTTTGTTATTTTTTATTTCTCTAGAGAAGGATTTGGGACCCTGTCTCCTGTAGAGCATGAGTTGCACGACTATTTTGAAACTTTCTGGAGGTGAAAAAAATATGCTTGTTTGGACTTTAGAAATGCGCCTCTCTTTTTTTTATATATAATTCAAAAAGATGAAATATGAATCACGAGGACAATAAAATTCCATTTGCGACAGAAGATATTTTGCACATAAATTTGACCAAAGTGATTGTGTATAGATATTTATGATAAGGCTTAGGCACAAAAGCACATGTGGCCAATTTCAAATCACATTTCTGCATCGTCCACTAGATTCATTGTTTACTCCAGATAATAAGATCCACTAGAAGCCCACCATTGCATTGGTATGGTAGTTGAAATCGTGAGCTGTCCACCCGATTTTCATGTTGTGTGGAGAAGGAGAACTATGGAGCCTGAGCGCAGGGTTTGGGCAACATGTCAAATCAATACCTGAGATTATGAAAGTAGTAATTGCTCCAAATCATTACACTAGTAAATTATTTGCTTTTCTTTTACTTCTTTTACGTGGCAATTTTGTTACAATTCATTACGAATTTTGGAAAACCAAAAAAATTGAGAAAGGAAGGGATTCGAATTTAGTATATTTCAACATTAGAAAGAGAAGTAACGTTGAACTACAAGTTAATTCATAAGTTTACTATGAACTTTAAATCTTGACATGATGAAACCAAAAATTCTTCACATTACTTACAATAGTTAACAAATAAAGTCAAATTGAAATAATATGTTTCTTATTTTTTTGTCAGAATCAAATTTTATTAGATGAAAGGCAAAAGCCGGTTACAACAAAGTGAGCTTCACAAAGGAATTCGATGAACAACAACACAAGAAGGCATAAAACCTACGACATCATAAAACTTGAAGAGGACATAAAGCCCAGAAAAGCAAAGGGCACACAAAAGGCAGTGAATACAGAACAAGGAAATGCCACACCACCCATAACTAAACAACAGCATAATCAACACAAGCCCACACCCATCGGAGAAGAACTAGTAACCAATGCTCAAGACAGAAAATGGTGGTGGACAAGCCACCAAAGCTACAAAGAGCGATACCATAATCCAAGCAATAAGTGACATAAGCACTTTAAAAGCAACCCCAACTCCATAAGAGTCACCAAGGAGAGGAGACCCTCGTGTGGTCGAGGTGCTGATGATGATGGTGAAGGGAAGGTGCCGAGAAATAGCCGCCAGTGGTAGAAGGAGAAAATGCATATCAAGCACTAAAGGCTCTTACAAGTAAAAACTATAAGAGTATTGATCAACACCACAAAACGAGTTGAAAGCAAAAGCAGCACAAAAGATTGAAGAGAATCGCACAGCACGCTTGGTAACCCCATTTGCCACCAAATCACAGATAAAGGTGAATCACATATTTGAAGTTCCCAACATGAATCAAATCTCAAATCTGCAAAAGAAACAAACAGAGCAAAACTCGCCGACAACACAACAATGGAAACAATAAACCAATTGGCCACAAGGGAAACCACTCAAGCCATCAAAACACAGAGGCAATCCTCGGACAAAGTAGATCCAGAATAAGAGCAAATCAACGAAGCCACCCACACCCAACCACACACTCCCTGCAAAATAAAAGAAATCCCAAAGTCACAGCAAAAGAAAAGGGTTAGGAAGAAAACTCAAGGAGGGAGGGAAAGAAAGGACGGAAAACAAAGGAAGGAAATGAGAAAGGGGCGAGAGGAGAGGGGATGGGCAAGACAGAGGCAAGGGAGAGGGGGAGGGAGGGGGAGAGCAAAAGGAGGTCACCCACCCCCAAAAGAGAGAGTGGCGGCTAAGAGCATATCCAACCGATGTGTCAAAAGTGTCACATAGACATTTAACAGCTAGAAATAAGATCTCACATCACTCTAACCGATGTATCAAAACTGATGTATAATGAAGGCTAGAGGTTGAGATGTTATTTTTGACATCCCAAAAGTAAGATGTGCAAATGAATATTTTATTATTTTTTTCTTTTCTTTTCTTTTTAATTAAAAATAAATCAACACTAAAATTTAATAAAATAATAATTTAATTTGACATATCGGATGGAGTGTAAAGCTGTGTAAGATGTCAAATTGCCACATCATCCATCAAATTTAAATTTGATGTTTAGTATTTGACATCTCCCTTGGAGATGCTCTAAGTCTCCAAGCCTTGGGTTTTCTTTCCTAGGGGGAGAGAGCAGCTAGGTGAAGAAGAGTGCTCCACATTTTGTTTTTATTTCTTTATAATATGTTTATTTGGAGGCTTTCTTCTCTTGGTCAAAGTTAAAATAATATGTTTCTCTTGCATATGATTAGTTGGTGCAAAGTCACTTGAAACCATGTTATATATATACTTTAGAAAACGATATTCTAACAACTTTAACTTACGGGAAGGGAGATCGAACTCGGATGCAAGGGGTTGAGCACAATACATTGAACAACTGGCCTAACCCATATGCGAGAGAACCAAATTTGTTTTAGGGTCCAAATCACCAAGACTATTTCACCTTTGTTTTTAAAACCATGATTTATTCAAATATGATGGGCTGAGTCAGGCCCAAATGCCCCTGAAACATAAGAAAAAGTCCATAGTCATCAAGGAAAATACAACCCAAGTCCAGAGAAAGCCCACGGTTATCAACCCTTATGCAACCAACTGGCCCAGAACAACATCGTTGATTTATGAATCCATAATCTATCCGACGGCTAGAAATCGAGGAGTCACAATCCACCATCGGAAAGCTGCCAGCTGGGCAAGGAAAACAATCTCCTGTCCGGAGATCTCCAAGCGCGTCAATACTGCATCTCCCACCAAACACAAAATTCTTTGCTCTTGCTTCCCGTCAACGGATTTCTCTCGCCAATACTCGTATTGACTTGGCTTCGATTCCTCTACTTCTTCTATGTGAAGGTCAGTGTCAATCTCTGTCCTAAATTTTGTTCATATATTTGATCGGATTATTGAATTGATTTATTTTTCTTTTGTCTCTGCATTTTGTTGCTAATTGTAATTAGCAGATTCTGAGAATCGATTGTGAAATTTTCAAATTCATGTTTAAAACTGTGCCTTTGGCTTATTCTATTAAGGTTTTAAGAGATCCAGGGGTTTTGAATCGTTTTGTATGAAACACGAAATGTTGAGACTAAATTTATTACTCTCATGATCAAGAAGGGCCAAATAATGAAGTTTTATAGAAATTTGTTATGAATTAGAAATTATTCACGCATTTATTTACAATTTTGGTTGGGTTTTTAATCATTGTTATACTTTGGCTGGAATTATGAATAGACTTTATCTTTTAATTTTTTAAATAAAAAAAAAAAAAAAAAAAAAATGCTAAACCAGTGTAATTTGGGCTTTCCTGTATATAACGATGCTTATGAGTTGTGGTTTAAGGTAATTGAGATGTTGCAGTGGCTGGTTTGGATTTAATGTATGACCTAATTTATCTTCCAGGGATGGCAAGTGGGTTCGGGGAATCAACGAGCAGGCCATCCCAAGGGCCTTCTTTCTCCAGCAGCAACAATAACAACAGCGATGCTGGTAATTTTGAATGCAATATCTGCTTCGACTTGGCCCAAGACCCCATTGTCACCCTATGTGGCCATCTCTTCTGCTGGCCTTGCCTTTACAAATGGCTCCACATTCACTCCCACTCTCAGGAATGCCCTGTTTGCAAAGCCCTCATAAAGGAGGAGAATTTGGTGCCCTTATATGGTAGGGGAAAGACATCAACTGACCCAAGATCGAAGGCAATACCTGGTATTAATATCCCAAACCGTCCAGCAGGACAAAGACCTGAAACAGCTCCTCCACCAGAACCAAACCATTTTCCCCCACGTGGGTTTGGATTCATGGGAGGCTTGGGGGGCTTGGGAGGTTTTGCACCCATTGCAACCACAAGGTTTGGGAATTTCACCTTTTCGGCGGCTTTTGGTGGCCTTATCCCATCTCTCTTAAATTTTCAGCTACATGGGTTTCCTGATGCTGCAATGTATGGTGCAACTGCTGGATTTCCTCATGGGTTCTCAAATTCATTTCCTGGCGGCCATCCACATAGATACCATCTTCACAGGGCTACAGGTCAAGGACAACAAGATTATTTCCTGAAGATGTTGTTTTTATTTGTTGTAGTTTGTGTACTTGTGGCTCTTATGTGGCAATAGATTGAATATGCTATCAATTTCAATTTGCTAAGTTGCTAACTGATGTTTAGGGCGTGGTCAACCTCGTGGTTTTGTATATCTGCTAGTTTATCTTTGTTTTTCTGATAAGGGGAAGTGTTGATAATTTACTATTACCAGTCATGTTGTAGAGGTTTTTACGTGTCACTGTCATCAGAATGGCAATTGTGGTTTACTTGACATGATAGCTATGGTTTGTTTGACATGATAATTGTGGTTTGTTGGATTATTCGCGAACTTCACATGCAATGTATGACATTACTTTGTATTCTTGAATGGTATGAAGTTCTCCTAAATCTCATGATACTTTTATCTGCGGAATCCGATGTATACTGTCTGAATTTGACACTTTTATGTGTGCATGCCCTGCATGAGTGGTAGATCTGATTGTCATGGAATCGTACCATTTTTTACATGTTTTCTACAAGTTCACACAAGTATACAAGAATGCAAAGCAATTATTATTTTTTGGTCTGAAGAATACAAAGCAGTTAGATGTGCATCAATCTTGTCTAAAGATACATTGTTTATTTGCAACAACACAAGTGTTCAAACGGTTTTCTGTCGAGCTTTTTGTTAGTCTTCTGATTGATCTGATCCACCAATTTAATGGATGCATACTGCCTGCATGTGGCCCCTTTTTCTAGCTCTGGATTTGCTTCGTTCAATTATTTATCGACATTACTTTTTCTAGCTCTTGTAATTTAGCTTAGGCCGTCTCTAATCCTCCTCTAAACAGTTTCCCAAGTTCAAATTGGTTGTTTGGGGCTCCTCTCCTCAAGTTTGATTGATCAAAATTTGGCTTTTACCTCTACCATATGCTTTTGTTAGAAAAGAGAAAAAGGAAACAGTTATGCAGTCCCGATTAACATCCTTTTTTGAGTATTTAGATTTATTTCCATCATCCATCCAAACTTGCCTTTAAAAATAAACGATTTTTTCTACTTTAATGTGATGGAGGCTGGCTGGGCATATATACTGGCTTGCAGTGTGACAGAATGCCTTTGGAAAACGCCAATACAATACCACCTCAAAGGAGAGGCAAAAGTGGCACCGGCTTGGCCTAATTTGCCTCAACGAATTGACTTGTAAATTGTCGCTTAGTGCTATAAACATATCTTCTCTTCTTCATTAAAATAAAATGAAAAAACTGTAATTTTGACAAACGAAACTAGTTTGCATAGAGCTTCTCTTTTAAATTTATAAATAAAAAGAAAAGAAAAAAGAAAGTAGTGCCGAGTTCGTAAGGTTGTATAGGGTTAGGTTTCCAGAAAGTAGAGAAAATTATTAGGAGGCATGAAAGTCACCTCTCAATATTAAAAAGTTTGACTTTGAATCTTTGAACGTACCCACCACCATGCTCTCCTCTGCTGCACGCGAAACACGACCGTAATATACTACTAGGGGGTATGTACGCATCAGCCACCGACAAATACAAATTGTATGCACTTTGATGATCCATGGATGCGGAGGAGAGGAGATGACTTTCGAGCATGTACTACTATATTCAAAACTAATTAATACTAATAATAATGGCGCAAATTTCATAAGGATTCGAAATTGTAAAATTAATTTATGCAATAATTATGTAGTTGGTTAATTAATTCTGTGCACGCAATTAATATGCAATATTATGCAAATCCCAATCCCTAGCGTCTATCTTTAGAATTAGATAGAGGAGAAGCTTTAGCATGTGCATGGTGAAGTTCATTTATGTTTCCTTTTATGACGATCATGGCCCACGCGCGTTTTGGCTTGTTGGTGACTGTGTGACCACTCTTTACATAACTCAATTAAAATTAATTAATTAATGTCATCTCCATTCATTCCGTGCTCCATTTTTTTAGTGCAGCTTAACTAATTTCGTGCGGTGTTGTTGAAAATAGAGATCAGTAAGAAAGATGAAGAAAACCTTCGTGATATGAAATTGAAGAACATGGATAAGACTTGTTTATGACATCATCATTTATGGTTAATCTTAATTAATTTCCTCCAAATAGCAAAACCATGACATAAGAATAATGATAACGATGCTTTGGATATTGACTTTTGGGTACATGATAATGATGGCGTCGTGTGTGACGGTGATGTTCACCATAGTAAATAAATTGTTTAATTCTTCGGGTTTGTTGCTCTTATTTGAATAATAAAAACAAATAAAGTATACCAAGCGTGTTCTAACGAATCTGGAGAATGAATTTTGAACGTTTCTTCCTAATTTTTGCTCACAAATGCCTTACTAATTCTGATCTAACCTGCAAAATGAGGGGAACATTTGTTTACCATGATTTAGCTGCGAAGAAGAACAAAAGAACAAGGAAAATCAATGATTGAGTATCTGTTAAGGAAAGTCGGAGTAGAAATTTACTTAATGACACGTATAATCCACAAAATTAAACAATAATAATATATGTTGCTAACGACGGTCCAACAATTAAGTAGGTTTATAATTGAAAAAGTTGGCATCTCCGACCACATCACATAATTAGTTTAATACATTTGAGGTTTTAGCACATGATATGATTGTGACATAAAATATTTTTATCCTCGTCTCCTCTGGTCTGGAATGGAGTATGTGTATGTTAGGAGAAAACTTGGTAACAAAACCAAGTATATGAACTTGTCTTGTTCGTTTGCTTTGAATTTTTATGTGGCTCTCTCTCATTTGGTTGCTCAAAAATAGTTTTCCCGACTGCGATACATTAACACTATGAGACAAAGAGAGACATCGTCCTATTATTATTGTATTGACCATAAAATAAAAGTGAGAAAAATGAGAAAAATATTTATGACGAGAAAGATTAATTGTTACGAATCCATGAGTCTACTAGTCGAGGAAGCATCCACGACCATGCGATTTGACAGACAGAAAGCTTCAATTCAAGACATGTACAAAGCTGTGGGGCCCAATCGACGTTGTCATGAAGAAAAACCAAGGGTGAGATGATCTATCTAATCGATTCAATTCAATCATTCCCAGCCTTTGCATCTCTCTACTACGCCGCCCTTTTCTATTCATTTGGGTTTGGCACCCTTTTACTTTTTCTTATGTGCATAATTTAATTATTTTGGTTCCTTAAAACTGAGTAATGATTTATTTGCATTCCTGATTATAATTTATTTTCTTATTATTAATCTGTTTATAGAGATTTCTTCTTTTGTTTTTCAAGACATGTTGGATAATGATATCTTACGACTTAATTTGTTTATGGCCAAATAAGTCGGACATTTTCTAGGTCCTACTTACTTATATAACGAGTTAGTTTTTGGTGAACTGTCCGTAGTCAGTCGGTAATAGTATAATAATAAATAAATAAATAAAGAGAGGCAGTCAGTCTTTATAAAATCCCTAAAAAGCTACTAAATCAATTCTAATTCTAATTTGGTATGAACAAAGAATAACCAACTTGGCAATTTCAAAATAGAAAATTTACCTACTCGTACAAATTTGAATCCACTTACCTACTACTAAGGCATAACTAATGTAATTCTTTCGATGAATCCACAACAAACTAGAGAATAATATTGGCTAACGAAAAAAGGATATTAATTTACAAATTAGTGATTTTAAGTTCAAACACCTTGGTAATATGTGTATGAAAAACTCCGTCCTTCTTATAGTTTAGAATATTACTTGTGTTTTTTTAATAAAAAAAACAAGGACATTGAACTAGAAAGAAAGAGATGCATTGCATCATCATTCATCATAGCTATAGCCTAAATGTGAACTCAACAACTCCCTCTTCCCATAATATTCTTCACTAAAGAGCCTAAGCCCCTCCTTTCCCATGCCCTGCACACACCGTACCCCATCCAGCTATTCATTCCAATTCTCCTCTCTTTATTTATCTTTATATTTCAAAAAAGAAAAACAACTTACAAAGAATACAAAAGCGTGTTGTTTAAAGTTTAAACCCCCTGCCCATATATAAAGCTAAAGCTTTCCCAATATATACAGATCTCACTCTCTCCCTCACTTCCATTTTCAAACTATGCCCATGCCTCCCCCTCAGCCACCACCACTCCTCCCCCTCCTCCTCCTCCTCTTTGCCTTCCTCATCCTCCTACTTCCCGCTCCCTCAGTCTCTGCTACCACCACAAGCACATCCAATGCCACCACCACCCAACAATTTAGGGAAGCCCCTCAATTCTACAACTCCCCAGACTGCCCTTCCATCACCCCCCTCCACCACGACGACGTGGACCCCGACGAATCAGACCATGACCACATGATGATCTGCTCCTATCAAGCCGTCCATGTGGCAATGACACTCGACACCGCCTACATCCGCGGTTCCATGGCCGCCATCCTCTCCGTCCTCCAACACTCATCCTGCCCCCAGAACGCCGTCTTCCACTTCGTTGCTTCCGCCACCGCCAACGCCTCCCTACTCCACGACACAATCTCCTCCTCCTTCCCCTACCTGAAATTCCGAATCTACCCCTTCGACGACTCCCACGTCTCCGGCCTCATCTCCATCTCCATCCGCTCCGCCCTCGACTGCCCCCTCAACTACGCCCGCAGCTACCTCGCCGACCTCCTCCCCCTCTGCGTACGACGCGTCGTCTACCTCGACTCCGACCTCATCCTAGTAGACGACATTGCCAAGCTCGCCGCCACCCCCCTCGGCCCCTCCTCCGTCCTCGCAGCCCCAGAGTACTGCAACGCCAACTTCACTGCCTATTTTACCCCTGCCTTCTGGTCCAACCCCTCCCTCTCCCTCACATTCGCCGACCGCAAGGCCTGCTACTTCAACACCGGCGTTATGGTCATCGACCTCGACCGCTGGAGAGGCGGCGAATACACCACGAAGATCGAGGAGTGGATGGAGCTGCAGAAGCGGATGAGAATCTACGAGCTCGGCTCGCTACCGCCGTTTCTGCTGGTGTTCGCCGGGAACATAGCGCCGGTGGAGCATAGGTGGAACCAGCACGGGCTCGGAGGTGACAACTTCAGAGGACTTTGCAGAGATCTGCATCCTGGTTCGGTGAGTTTGTTGCATTGGAGCGGGAAGGGGAAGCCATGGGCGAGGCTCGAGGCCAACAGGCCTTGCCCTCTGGATGCTCTCTGGGCTCCTTACGATCTCTTGGAAACGCCATTTGTTTTGGATTCATAAAAGTGTGGAACAAAACGGTGCGTTCTGGGTTTGAGATGTGAAGCTGCCGCAGACTGTGAATTGTGCGTCGTCGTCGGATGATGAGCTCGCTCGCTCGTGACGATCAGTCTTCGCTTGGAAATGCGATTGAAGAAGGTCGGTGGAAGGAAACATAATTGAATTGTATGTAGATGATGATACGGGTACATCTGGAAAATATGTATAAAAAAAAGACTGACGATGTATACTCAAAAAGTAATAAAAATGGAATAAGTCATGAATTTTTGTCACCAATAAAAGTGTGATATATAATGCGTAATTGTGTCATATTCGTCTGTAATTCATGTATCGCAAAAGAGCTGTTCTAATTTGGTGGCTTAATTCATGATACTTTGATTTCAATTAGTAAATCAATATTGTTATTTATTAATACAGTTTTTGTTCAATATGCATCTCTTTACACGTGTGTTGGAGAAAGTAAGATATCAATTTTCCCGCTAGGCTAAACTATATGTGATTATAACTATAACGGAGTATTTGATTTAGTGACATTTATCTCCACTTAGTTAAACTTAAAAAAGATTTAAAGTTCAACTCATATGAGACAAAGACGGTGTATATTTATAGTGTTGTGGTTGATTGAATTACATTTGGTTAGTAGGTTAATTATCTCTATTACCATCAAAAGTAGCTAGTAGAAGGGTCCATTAACCCTTCATCTGATTTGGAAAGACTCTGTAGTTTGGACTTGGCAATCAGTCATATAGCGACTGGAGACTCAAGATTAAAGTCTTATTACGGAATGATTTTCAAACTTCATTAAATGCAGTCTTCGAAGTTGTTTGTTATTAAGTTTATATTCAAAGGATGTAAATATTCTCAATTTTTTAATTGGGTGGGGTTTGCTTCGAATGAACGTATCAGCTGGAAAGACATTTGCCAGCTTATTTGTCTCTTTAACCAAGTAACAAAAAAGGTAGGTTGAGTATGGTACGTAGAAACGTACTCTGAGTGTATCTAGAGGCATTGAGTCAGTGTTAATGAAATAATGAGTAAACAAGTTTCTTTCTATTCTAGATTCTACCAACAAACTTATGCATTCCCATTCCCTTCACTTGCGATTTGGACAAAGTTTGACTTGATAAAAAGGCCAACCTATGGCTATGAGGTTCTTCATTCGAAGCCTTCCCTTCCATTGGCAGAGGGAAAGAAAAAAGTTGCATGGAACCAAAACTTACCCAACTGCTTGTCAATATGCAGTGCAGGCAGCCACAATCGAAATGACTCAATTAATAATAGTGTCTTTGAATAAAAAAAACAAATGAATAAATGACATATTGAAAAAAGTAATTGTCATCCATCGTGGCTTCAACTATTTTATATATGGTTTCTAGTCGAATAGATCGTTCAAATGCGAATGCCTGCCAACCTGTTAGTTTTCTATTTTAAATTCTATAAATATATATTTATTTATTTATTTATTTGAGACAAATGATATGGAGTGTCGGTAGAAGGGGCAAAACGACAAGGAAAAAGGTCGCAACGCAAGCCGTAGCTAAGAGTAAGACCAAGAAAAGGAACACGCGGCAGCGTACTTTTATATTCAAGAGGTTAAAAATTTGTACGGTACTTTCCCATGCGAGCCGGATGAAGAAGAAGAAGAAGAAGAAAATCGTACGCATGTGGGTCCCACGTACTTTTAGGTCCTGTTTTACAATTAACGACTCCTCCTCTCTGCCCCGGTCAAAACTTATATAAAATGAGGATAATATTATTTTATTATTTTCAGTCAATTATATTATGTCAAGTAAAAAAGTTATTACTCGTAATAAATACTGTTATTCCCGTCGCACACAAGTGTTTTTCCTGTCAAAAAGCTATCATGCCGATCCTCTTTGGATCTTGTACGCGTTCTATTTCCTTCCATTTACCCATCTGTTTTTATTTATTTATTTTTAAATACTAATTTGTTTTTAGTAAATAATTTTCTTTTAATACGCGTTTTCAATTATAGGAATAATTAAGGGATGTCCTCAATCTAAATATTCTGTAGTAGGTGTTTACTAAATCTGCAACCAAATAAGGCTGATTTCTTCCAACCAAAGATACAAGATGCGAGGCATGATTATAACTTAAAAAATAAAATACAAGATAAGTATACATATATTCCTCTGTTTATTATTAATTGATCATATGTCCGCGATAGATAGATTAATCTACCTACCATGATCATCACAACAACCCTGGACTTGGAGAATACTCCTGCTCTACTCCTTCTTTAAGAAGTGTATATATATATATATATATATATATATATATAAATGAGTTATCATTGACTTTGATATTTCTTCTTAAGTACTTGTTTCAATTATTTTTAGAAGGAATTAGTTAACAAAATCCAGCATTACTGATAAGATGGAGAACATGAATGAAGTATCCATCTCACAGGCTCAAAGCTTTGCGTTTTTGGACCACCAGTTTTCTCTTATGACAACAACTTGGGCAATTAAAAATTGATGCTTGATTTGAAGTCTGCGATGAAAGTATGGTGAAGTGGTCTTCATCCATGGTGGTACCTAATAAGTTTATAATAGACGTTTCATAAATAGCTATGTAGCGACATTTCATATAAAGCTTGGATGCCATTATTAATCCCACTAATGAACGCCCCTCCACGAATGTCACTTGTATTAAAACACAAAATTTGAAAACAACTAGGGCTTCGGTGCTGCTAAGTGGGATGACCTGAAAATGCATTGCTTCCCTGGTTGATGGTTAACTTTATATCTTTCTTCACATGTAGGTGTTTCCATGTTTCTACGCAGAGCTCAGCTGAACGCTGATATTGGACATGCACATGGCATATTCTTTGTGCCTGCCTGCCTGTCAATTATGGTGGTGCCTCTAAGTCTACGTTTTTATTAACATGACGCATACCTCCCACCCATTAATAAATAAAAAGATGTGACATGACTTTCTCTTCTTTTTTCTTTTTTTTGAGAGGGAAAGCTTGTTGTTGCTATTAGGTGTCTGTCCTGGATTTGATGTCAATACTTTTCTATAATCTTAATTTAATCAACAAAATTAAAGTAAGGAGGGACAATGATGTCATGTTAAATTCATGAAGTCAGTGGAAACTCTCAACGAAAAAAATAATTGAGTTTTTAAAGTCCACATGAAGGCCCAGTTTAGTAAAAATTGAATTGGTTGATTTGAAGTCTGCGGTGAGTCGACTAAACATGTAGATCTGCAGAAAGAATGTGAACATGAGAAAAAGATATCAATGTACTTCCACATTTAACTCAGATGTGTTTTTGAGAACGCACTCATAGCTTCAGACATGTAATGTGTTTCAGGGAGGTCCTTCAATATTTGAAGACTAGAATTCCCGTGAGAAAAAAACAAGAGAAGAGAAGAGAGCCAACCCCTTCCGGTAAAGTTTACGGAAAAGTCTCTGTGCTCGATTCTAATTTTCTCAGTTGGACGAACCATTTTCAAGAGCATTTGGTTCGACGGAAAAGAGAGAGCTTTCGCAATCGTTCAATATGTGATGTGATAGTAACTGTAACATTAGTAAGAGCCAACGGTCTTGGACTGCACTTCACAAGTTTTTGTAAAGTGACTGTATGTTAACCAATGGTCTCTGTGAAATTAGTAGGACCCAAATGAGTCATATTTTGCGTTTGCGACTTTTGTCCCACATCGGAGACATCCAGAAGTAGCGAAGCAGCTGGGCGTATAAAAATGAATGAGGTGATAGGTTTCACCTCATACCTTTCTCGGCCTTTTGGCTAAGATCAAGTGTAGTATCTGTTCTTATCAGTTTAATATCTGATACGTGGGCCAATGGCCCACACGATATTAAATTAATTTCTTTAAGGGGAGAGCCCACCACAGTAGCTTGCTATTGGGGTTCTCGAGCGTCGCCCAAGCGTTGCACTATAGCATGGGCCTGGCGCACCCCACCAAATATAGTTTAGAGTTTTATTTGGGCCTGCAATCTCCAAACGAAGTAAAATTCGAACAAGAAACCAAGTCAGCATAAAGCCCTTTTTTATGTTTTTTGGGTCAACCAGTCAGTATAAGCCCTAACAAGCTCATGAGCATCGCCAACTGAATAATTTTTCTTGCGAAGACAGACAATTCATTCAAGTACGGTTTGGGTTGGTCAAACATTTGAGCTCTAGACTATATAATATATATGAACAAATTATACAATTAAGACTTGAGGTTCGGCCTAAACTTTTGGTGCTTTGAAGCCAGTTTGAAAAAGCCTAAGTAGGGTTTAGCTTCAGTTTTCGGAGAATGGTGTTAAGGAGTTGGTCCGAGAACTCGAAGGACAGCTTTTTTAAGGGCATCGTACAGTTGGAACTAAACTTGTCTTCTTACTATTGTAACGAAAAATAATAATAACTTTAACCAGCCAATGCACTGTGTGGTGTTTCTATGCAGACCATAAACTTGTGAAATTGATGGAAAAGAGAATAATGATCGTGGGGAAAAGAGAATGCATCACATCTTGCGTTTTTTTGTCCCATATCGCCAGCATCATAAAACAGGGAAGCTTGCATGCCATATAAAAACGAAAACGTGTTGCTGAACAACGCATACCTTTCTCGGCCTTTTGGCTAAGATCAAGTGTAGTATCTGTTCTTATCAGTTTAATATCTGATACGTGGGCCATCGGCCCACACGATATTAAATTAATTTCTTTAAGGGGAGGACCCATCACAGTAGCTTGCTACTGGGGTCTTCGCGCGTCGCCTCTGCGTTGCACTACAGCACTGGCCCGGCGCACCCTCCAACTCCAGTTCAAACTTGTGTCAATGTTAAAATTTCGTCAATTAAGATTCCTAAATATTATTCATTTGGACTGGAAAAGAGCTTTCAAAATGCTCTTACACTTGTTAATATTCAACGTGATTATTGGTGAGAGAAATCAGTCATGTTCCCCACAGGCCAATTTCATGGCAACTCTTTAGATGTTGGAAGGGTCACGTATATCAAATGTTGACGCAAGTGGGTGAGAGAGTGGCAAGTCACAAGTGATTTCGTAAACGTTATTTATTCTAACAAGAATTTCGAGGTTGCTTCACCGCGTTTAAACAAAACTTGTATATAAATCAGCTTGGTCAATAGCTTACTCACGAGTCACAAGGTTAAAAGTTATGGTGGTAATCACAAAAAGATAAGCCCTATAAAACCCATTGCAAAGTAAGTCAATGCCGCAAGTGTCACCCAATTGCTACGCTGATGACTCCTGAGAAACTACACTGAAGTTTCATGTAACCCAACTTTCCAACCTACATTTACTAGGCAACTTCTTTCAAGCCTCAAGTTTTCCACTAGACATAGACAACTTGTTGCAGAATATATATATATGTCCTACTAGGCTCTAGCAGGCTATAGCTATAGCTGTAGCGATTTATTTATCAACCCTTTGTTTCTCCTGTACAATTTGTAAAAAATGAAAATCATGCACAGGGAATCCAAGCTCTCCAAATGGATATCTAATAGCAAGAATTTCAAACTAACCATCCCTTTCCTTCGTTCAAAACCCAAAAGCCAGAGCCCTTGTCCTACTCAAAATCAAAACAGTAGCATCGCAAAAGATGACGAGCTTGCAAAGGTTTTTGATCATTTTGACACCAACAGAGACGGAAAGATCTCGTGTGACGAACTTCAGGCTTACTTCATGTCGATAGGGGAATCCATGTCCAATGCAGAGGCTCAGAGTGTGATCAACGAATTTGATAACGATGGTGACAACTTATTGGAGTTTGAAGACTTTGTGAAATTGATGGGGAGGGAGGGTGATGCCAATGATGATCTTAAAGGGGCTTTTGAGATGTTTGAAGTTGATAAAGGTTGTGGGTGCATAACACCAAAAGGGTTGCAAAATATGTTCGATCGACTAGGTGAAGCCAGATCCTATGATGAGTGTGTGTCCATGATTGGAGTCTTTGATCTTGACGGAAATGGAGTCCTTGATTTTAATGAATTTCTCAAGATGATGATTTCAACTTAAAATAAATTTCTCAAGATATAGCCGTTTGTGTGTCCTGTGAGTGTGTGGTGAGGGATTAATACTTTCTTGAGTTGAAGTTGTTTGACTTTCATGTGTTTTGTCGTGGAATTAAAGCCATGTTAAGCTTCTCGTGCAAAACTATACTTCTTATCAACATAATGAAATACTATGATATTACTGGCGAATACCATTTCCATGAGTAATGTTCTCTTTTCAGGCATGCTTAGGGCCCGTTTGGTTAAGTTTTAAAGGGCTTTTTTAATTTTCGGAGAATAATAATGAGGCAAGAACACGTTCGGTGGCCCAAAAGCAGAAAACACTCAGAAAGTTTTCATAAAATGAAAATAAGTTCACATGTACTTGTAGAAAACAGAAAAAAGATGTTTTCATTCTCACGGGAAATGCTCAAAACAGGAGGGAGAGGGAGAGAGAGAGAGGGTTTTGGCCTGAGCTCAGGCCGGCAGCTATGGCCGTCAATTGTAGAGAATGAAAGTTCTGTATAGACATTGTGAGACAGGAAAAAAATTATAAATCAAATCATTAAATTGATTCATGGCATTACAGCCACAAACATAAAAATCAGCTAATACTATGTAGTCAATACCTATGCACTTTGGCCTTGGGTTCTAATATGAAAGGCCAAGTTGTAATTATGTGAAAAGAGAAGTGCCTCCAAAAAAAATTCAAGGATTTAGTCCTCAATAAGGAAATGTCCCTGTCATTCTAATATGGTCTAAGGTACTTCGAAGCCCATATTTCTGCACTGCCTGTTGACCAGCTCGGAATCCATCTCCATATACTGGGGACATGTCTGATTCGACCTGGTGTTTAAAGAACCCACCGAGCTTCTTCTCGAACTGAGATCTTGTACCCTTCTTCGATGCCGAGGAAGACGAGGTTGATGCCACATTGCTGCCTGAGCCAGATATAAGCTCGGCCTCTAGCCACATGTAAGCTAGAACCTGACAGATACCCTCTTCAACATCTTGACTAAGAGGTCGGTAACCTTCAACAAGTGTTAATAATTTAGTCATTAATTTGCACCTTGATGTCACGTTTCATCTGCAATTCCTTTGAGAAGGAGAAAAGAAAAGGAACTAAACAAACATATAAATGGATCCATCTAAATAGCACCTTTAAGCCGCAGCCATGCATGCATCATCTCATGTGCCAGAATAGACCCAGTCAGCAACCTGTAAGCAGAGGTTTCCAGTCATGCAACGGATTCAGCCATGAATTACAATTGTAGAACCAAGACAGCCACGAAGGTCTTGGTCAATATCCTTTTCTCATTTTATACATTAAAAAAGTTGGCAAAATTTCATCATACATGAGGTGTAGATATCTGTCTCGGCCATACCACACAAAAGGAAAACTATGGATAGATATCATACCTTGGAAGCCCATACAAGATTAGAATTGCGGTCACCTCACAGCGACGAGTTAGCTTGTATGGCTCTGTTACCATTTCCATGGCGTGGTTTCCTCCCCCAAACCGTGGCCGCTTTGAAATCTGGTGGTTCTCAGATCAATATTTAGATAAGTTGCTAACCAACGAAAAAGTACCTTATCAAAACTCAACCATTGTAGAAAGCGAAAAGAATATATTCGCAAAACTCTTACCGTGCTAATAGTCTGTTCTTCAGAAAGGCAAAGGCCTCTGGTCTCAGGCATGTGATAATGGCCCTGAAAATGACAAAAAGTTTGAGTCAGTCGTAATTTGTAAAGCTTAAGAGTAAAAACTACAACAACAGCAGATGGGTAGTTTTGTATGGGTCCAAATAACAATTTGTGATCCACTTCTGCACATACTCCTCTGAAATTTGTAAATCAAATCAGATTCTTTAAAGAGACGTAAAAAGGTATCAGAGACAAGTGAAAAAAGGTCACTAATTAACATCTGACTTCCCAATTATAACTGTGGAAAACTGTCCTACTTATCATACTAAGTAGATATGGTTTTAACTAATTGCCCTTACATTTCTTTCTCCTTCTCTTGCTTCATTTAACGCTTGTCTTTCAACCAAGAGTAACGGAACTTGCTGCTCCAATTTCATATTTAAACCTTCATAAAATTCCTGTATATCAAGATATAGGGGTTGGCATGCACTGGTATCCATGATTGCAGAGTCCAGACACTCTAGACAGAGCTTCCGACCATCATTAAGGGGCACATATTTTGTGTCCTGTGGCTGCATTTAATGAACATAGACATCTTGTTACCTTTCGACCCAAAAAAAGAAGAAAAAAAAAGACATCTTGTGACCAACTCTTTTGCTTTGCTAGTCCTTTTTTCTTTTAAAACAATCTGGTCAGTCTTATTTCATTGCAGAATTGCAGTAAAGTAATTTATTCTGACTGACCTCCATTCGCTCACAGCTGCAGCACCGAGGAGTAGTATCGTGTTCATGAGAAGGGCAGTATTTCTGGACCCAAAATGGATGTGCCCTATATTCAATAAGACCAGCAGTGTTGGTTGGAATCTGTCAAAAGATATATATTACAAAAACGAAGACCAACCTAACAATGAACCATATAATCGAAGAAAAAAGATATTAGATTATAATCAATGGAATATTGTCTTGATATTGCGATACTTACAAAGTGCTTGCAAACATCACATTTTGGATGGTAGCTTTCCTTATAGCAAGATTTATGGTAAGGGTAATGCCCAGATGTAGAAAACTGCATAAGATGAAATATATGTAAAGCTAATATGGACGACCAAAAGTTAACTTGCAAAATACCATTGCTGAAATAATTTAAATCATGACGATGATGGATGCAAGAAGAAAACTATATTTATTCAAGCCATAACCCCCCTTCTTCTAATTTGTCCAAATTCACATCCACAAACCAGACCAAATAAAAAGAAGTAATTTTTGCACCTCATAATCAGAAATTGGTAGGTTGCATGCACGACAACGGAAACATTCTGGATGCCAAACTGCATTCAGGCAATTCAAATATCGTCCAAAACCAATCTCAGCATTGCAACCAGCACAAATCCTACCACAAAGAATGAATATGGTAAATCAACAAAAGTCAAATATGGAAAATAATGTGAAGTTGCAGATTATTGATGCATCAACAGGTAGCTTGGTATTCAGTGTGGTTGATGAAGAGAAAAACAACTAGATTTCCAAAACTTACATCCTTTAACACTGAATAAATTGCTAAGATTTCAAATATCATAAACTAACATCACATCAACTCAAGTTTCTGACATAAAAAAAAGAAAAGGTTTCTTTATCTGTCATTCTCAAACACAGTGATTTGAAAATGCCATCAGCGTACGCAATCAGGTCAAGCAAAAGAAATAAAAAAACTTCAATGTAATGGAAGCATAAAAGAATGATTCAGGGTACAAAACAGAGAGGGTAAGGACTGAGAATACTAAGGAGCATGAAAATCTGAGAAATGAGATTGCGTCATACAATTACAAGTTATAGTTTCAAAGACCATTTTATACATCCATGGGGTAATCAAGCACTAAGCAACAAGAAGGAATAATGAAATGAACTAGCACCAAAGTTGACAATATAGTTTTCCATCATATAATCATATACCTGGACCCCATTGGGTAGTACATGGGGATAGGTTGATATGTATTTCCATTTCCATATCTGGGAGGAGGGATAGGTTGATATGTATTTCCATTTCCATATTGGGGAGGAGTGATAGGTTGATATGTATTTCCATTTCCATATTGGGGAGGAGTGCTAGGTTGATATGTATTTCCATTTCCATGTTGGGGAGGAGTGATAGGTTGATATGTATTTCCATTTCCATATGGGGAGGAGTGCTAGGTTGATATGTATTTCCATTTCCATGTTGGGGAGGAGACTCCACATTCAGACTTTCTTGTAGGGCTCTGGCAAGTTGTTCATCTTCTTCCAACTGAGAATCAAAACCTATCCACGAATATGAAATTCTTATTAATTCATATTGTATCATTTGACATTACAAGGACAGACATAATGCATCAATAGCTCTGCCACGACATGGAAGCCAAAGCCACCATCATGCAATGTATAATTCAAAATGCCACTGCACAAATTTTGGTATGTTTTCTAGACTCCGAACGGTAAGAATAATTTCATTTTATCGGCAATTGTATGCAACCAAAATACCATGACAAAATAAAAACAGTGACTAAAGATGTAATGCCTAAAAGAGCACACAAGAAGGAATATACAACATGAAAACATTTACAATAGCATCTGTATGAAAAATCACTCACCAACCACAATTTTTCCTTTTTGATTTTCTTCTAAAAGAGATAGTGCAATAGCACGGTCTATATCTTCATTCTCGTTTTCTGACCAGACCTCCTACATTGAAGTTTCCCACAACAATATATTAAGGGAGTTCAAGCATACCAATGAAGATTAAAAAAGGCTGAGATTTCCAAACTAAGGCTATCAATACACTTTTATATGCATACATATACATACATACAAGAATGTTAGTTGTGTTACAAACACTAAGAAGTGGTAGAAGTTATTACCCCGGAACAAGAAGGTCCACAGTTATTTGGATCCTCTCCATAATTCTCACGACAATGCTCTTCCGATAACTTGTGGCTGGAGCCTTTAAAAATCTTGCTAAGCCAACCCATAACGTTTAGTGTTATCTGCTCATAGTCAATTAAGTTTTTTACTGCACATGAAGCAACCATCTAAGTCAATGCATTATCAACAACGAAAACAACAGATGCAGTACAAGTTCAACATATTTCTGATTAGTCTGAGTAAACTCCATAACCTTCAAACGTAGTATGGGAAAAAAAACACAGAAGAAAATTCATGCTGAACATTTACATCTGGAAAAGAAAATTATGTGTGAGAATTAATACAAATGAAAACAGCACGCCTGGGTTAACACGCCTGTGTTTTACAAATGTTGCATGGACAACCCAATTCAAATAACAGGGTAATCAATGCCATTGCATTTATTTTCAATAAACATATAAAAACAAATTAAAACTGGCAAGGCAATTCACCCACCAGGCATTATGACACCCCCTAGAATGTTCCAGCTACAACTTCGACATTCGAAATTTAAGGTTTGTAAAGTCAATTATGACTAAACATCCACATATACAGAGAAGAGAGAGACACAGAGAGAGAGGAAAAGAGAGGAGAGGGAGAGATTCTTCCAGTTCAACATGCCCACTAATTTGATCACATATAAACGTTTAATCTCAGGTAAAAGGAAAAGGCAGAGAATCAAATAGTGGAGAAGTGACTCACCTCTAAAAAATCAAGGGACTCCAAGAATGGTGAACGCTAGCAGAGCAGACCCAGATCAGATAAGATCCCAACTCGATCAAAAGCAACATTCTTTTACAGGTCATCAGAAAAATTTACACATATAAACTCCATTCACGCCCTTTTTCCTTCTCTCTTTCTTTCTTGGGCAAATAAATAATCAATTCGAGATCCTTTACTCTTTAAATTCGGAGCAGAATATGGCAGAGGCAGGAAAAGATCTCAAGGAAAATAGGAAGAAGAAAATTCAATATCACTTAGATACAGGATTATTCACGTGTTAAAAGGAAATTCCGAACCAAATATAAACAGGAGAAGAAATAAACAAAGAATGGAGGAGGACATGAACTGTACGCAATTTCAAAGTCAAAAGATTGAAAAACCCAAGTGTAAAAACTCCAACTTTATTTGACTTTTGTCTTAACCCAAAAGGGATTGACGAACGTTCATCAAGCCCAGTTGGGCAAAGCTCATAATTTGCTTATTTTTTCCGAAGGCTCTTTTAACTCTTCCACCTGAAGGCCCCAAAAGAAAGGTTTTTGAGGAATCGTAAAGAAAAAAAACAGTATTTTAAAAAATGAGGAAAACAAAAACACAGAAAGGAAAAAAGAAACAGTAAAAATAAAAGTTGGGCAATGGCTTGTTTGCTTTTGGCTGGCTGGCTGGCGTCGTGTGGAGGAAGCGAGCGGACGTGGGTTTAAAGTTTAAACTAAACTACGTAATAAAACAGATGAAAAGCTGGATTTTCTGAAGATATTTTTGAGAACGAAAATGTGTCAAAGCGGAAAAAGTGGAAGGAATCCGAAAAAAGGAGGTGAATTGTTTGCTTGGATAAAAGATTCCATACCTCACCTAACCATTAAGGCAGTACTAGCAGGAAAAATGAAAAATAAAATCAATTACTTTTTTTTTGGGTAAATACTATGAGGTGTCTCCACACTCGAAGAGTGGGATTAATTCCAGCTCGGAGTTCAGCTTGCCCCTCGCCACAAAGTGCTTCCAACGGGTTTCAAACCCATGCTATTGAGGCACCAAGTAGCTTACCAACTGAAAAATCAATTACTTTTTTGCAAAGGGAAAATATAAAAATTAGTAAACAGTGTCGTGGTGTCACAAATTGATTATTTGCTAAAAATATATGTAGTCTTATTTTTTATCTAACGTTAGTGTGAATCAAACGGGGTGCTGTATTAAAAGCTCAATGACAAGGATATTCATTGCTCGTGATTTCTTTTGTACGTTTGAGCAATTAATTGAAGCCCAAGCCATGTATGTTATCCGCATGTCTCGTCATTATTTAAATATAATATCAATAATTCAGTGAATGTGTTTTTTTAATTTTTCTTTTTATTAACCTAATCTACAATATTATTCAGTGAACGCATCATCGACTATGTGTTCGTTATTTTAATTTGTTTATGTAAATTAATATAATTAAGTGTGAGCACACACAAAAAATGTCAATTTCACATGTGTCGTTAATTATTTTTTATTTTATTTTGTTGATAAAAGGGTGTGACAATATCAATATGTTTCCTCCTCGTGCCATTTACTATTTTTTTTCCCGGACTTGGTTTCTTCGAGAAGAAAAATGGGAAGGATGGAATGGTCAAGTGATTTAATTTTTGAAATCTTGCTTTATTTAAGCAATTGAAATGATGACGGGTCAATGTCATTATGTCAACAAGGATGGCCTTAATAAATTAGGTGAAACAGACGAGTGAAAATATAGCTAAACAGAGGGAACTCTTCAAAGTCAAACAACTTCATATTCTAATTAAGATTTTATCATTAAAAGCAATGCACCAGACCAGAGGCCCATGTCAATGTACATACCACAAAATCTTTCTTCTTTTTGGGGGCCTGGTTATGTTTGGGCTTGAAAATTGCCTTCTTCCGACTAAAACAAAGAAGAAAAAGAGGCCCGAATAAGATTTTTCTTTCCTTTTGTATATACACATGAATCAAATGAAGCAACACAAAAAGATGAATGTTATGATGGTTTGCTGAGCTCTAAACATATATGAGCTTTGACAGGCTTGTGATCAGAACTGTGAATGTCGTCCATGGCTTCATACGAATGCAACGTTGCATGGATTTCCTCCGTGTCTTGTGTTTTGAACAAAATTCGATCCGTCCACGATGGCATTCTCACCTGTACGTAGGTTAGGTACGTCGAGATTAAACTGATAATTAATTACAATTGCAAATGAGAAAAGTGAGAGATGAAATATTGGTGTATACCTTGTAACTTGTATCATAATTGCTGCTTCCAATGTTATATTTATATGTGGGCTTAAACGTTAATGTGCCCTCGCTATAACCTTCGAAGATCTGTCCTCTCTCGGCCTCTTGTAAGAGCTGGTCATTGTTAGTGAGTAGCTGTATTTAATCAGAAATAAGTAAGCTATATTTTGGTGGACAACATGTATATCGATAGTTTGAGGTAAATATGAAACAAAAATCTTGATGAAGAAATGTTGAATGAACCATAAAAAAATGAGGAAACGGACCCCTATGATGAAACGAGCTAAGCATGAAGTGAAGGAAATTAAATAATTTTGTTATGAACACAACTTACTCTCTGAAGATCATTGTGTATGAGATCTCTTGCGGGATAGTTGCCGATCCCTTGTATCCTGTAGTTGAGATCTCCCAACCAGACAGTAATTTGAGCAGGTCTTGCATAAGGGTTCAGTTTCTGAGAGAAAAGAGATTCAGATACGTTTCTGAATTCAGAATTCCTCTTCTCCACGTTCTGAGCATGAGCTACACATATTATACACACCAAAACACGCACGCAAATTAGGAAAAAAAGACCACAAAATCTCATGGGCTCAAGTGTAGTGGGGGACTTGGTAGTGGTAGGCCCATATGTATGGCCCAATTATCAGATACTGGGATGAAGGGAAGGGATTATTAATTACCAGAGAGATGGCAAGAGATGAACACCATTGTAATGCCTTTGTAGTTAAGGCGGATTGCCACGGCGCCTTTCTTTCTCCTAATTAGTCCTCCCAAGCCCCCTACTGGACTCTTATCAATCTTCACTTCTGTATATCAGTAAGTATATCAGGAAAAAAAAGAAAAAGAAAATTTTCAATCGAACCAGTAAGTATACCCTTTACCTTTGGTGAACAAATCTGAGTCCTTTAGCCCAAACACATAGAGGTGTATAGATTGCATGATGGATTTTCCCAACAAGCTTCATGCACAAGGAGAAATGGAAGGTCAAGCTCGATATAAAGTTATTAGTTAGGGTTAAGTGCATAAAAACATTTTAAATAAATTAATAAAACTTGAAACAAAAAGAAAAGATTTTATATGTCTGTCTCACATGTGAGAGTCAAGCAGCGCTGCCTGTAGAAGTCGTGAAATATTTTTGCGGGGCACCTCCTGCAGACCTACAACCAGAAGATCAAACTTCCGATTGTTCCCAACCAGCTCTGCCAAATCTTCGTAGGTGACCTATTATCTCCAGACAAACAAAGAATAAGAAAAACTGTTTAATATTTAATAATCACCATGATTCATGAAGCTAAAATTAATATGTTTGTAATTAAGCAAGCATGAAGTTGAGGTACCTGGCCATTCATGTTCCAGGTCACGACGCAAATACAGAGATCTGAATAGCTTGAGAAATCACAACGGTTGTCTACTCTTACTGTCTTTATTCCTTCATGCGACATCGTTGCACCATGGCTGTCCAGGGAACCCAGCTGTATTTTTTTTCGCCTTATCATGAATCTTCTTCTACGGAGTTTTACAAAACCCATAATAATTATAAGTTGTTTTCCAAGAGTGAAGAAGGATCAAGGATGAATCAATCTTTCTAAAATAAAAGAGGATAAAATCCAACAGAACAACCCTACTAACTTAACTTAAACTGATATAATTAAGTAAGAAAATGCTCAATACCCTTTGGCAGCGTGAATGGAGCTGAAATTTCCCATGGTCTTGCTTCTTCACCAAAGCCTACAGGTACGTTGTACCGTATTGATTTCTTTCCTTTTCTGTAAAATTCAATCGCAAAATTCAAAACGGACAGAACCTTGAATGCTAGAGTGTGAAGGGCACACATTGACTTGGACTTATATAATTAATAGCAAAATGCACCACATATATATATATATATACAAGCTACAAGCAGAGAAAAAAACCTAGTGCCACAATTATTTTCCAATTGGCGGTGCGTATGAGAAAGGAAAGTCAAACTCGTAAATTATTCGCATATTGCCTTTTAACACATTATTTCTTATTTGTCCACAAGTTAGGTTAGGATGTGGAAAATGCAGACAAGTTAAAATAACACTTGAAAAGGACCTTTCATGATCGATCGATCCCCTCGTAAGTTCTCATGCGTCATAATAAAGATAACGTGAAGTCATGCATGGAAATTTCAATGGGATCAGCTTGATAGAATCTGTACGTAGTGGCTCTCGACGTAGGGCTCAAGCACACGAGACAAGACCATCTGATTTCGGAAGTACCTTGCCGGCCTGGGTTTTAGCTTGTTCAAAAATGAGCAAGGGCAAACGCAAAGGACAAGTAGAAGCTTGCAAGTTACTGCGGCCATTTTTCCTTGACAATTTGAACACAAATTCACACATCTGCATAATAATGAAAGTAAGTGAACCAAGTTTTGACAAATATGATACCAATCCCTCCGACCAATGTTTACCAGAAATCATATGTATCCAAGTTCATTTAGAATTTTGGTTCATCACGATATATTTAGTACTAAATATGCGTATGGGGGTCTCTTTGTTCAACATATATAGTAAGCATATTAAACCTAAAAACAAATAAATAAAATGTTGCTATTAGAAAGTTAATTGCTATTTTTTTTTCAAACTCAAATTTGAAATATGAATGTACGTGGTGGTTATTCAAAAATACATATAAAAAATATTTTCTAATACTCCAATTTTGAAAAATGAACCATTTTAACTGTGTTTATACCATATCTGACCAAGCAACTAGAAGCAAATCTAAGTAAAGTAAAGAGTTTTACATTGAAATATTACAAGAAGTGAGGACTCTCCCTCACCTATATAAGGAGACCACTCTCCACATACAAAGGGATCTCTAGGCTAGATTTGATCTTTAGTCATGAGCTTCTACTTTCTTCCTTTTACATATGGGCCCAATCCCATGTACAAATGTAATTAAACATTATTATAATAATGAGAATATATTTTTCTGTGGACGTAGCCCATTAATTAAAGGTGAACCACGTATATCTTGTCTTGTGTATATTTATTGATTGCCCAAATTTTCACACACATACTGAAAGTTATCACCTTCACCTATATCATCAATCATACCTCATTACTAAATTGGGGCCAAAAATGCTGAACCATTTTTTAGTATCAACAAACTGTGAGTCTGTGAGAATTATAAAACTTTGGAAAAATATTTAATTTGTGGACAAAGCCAAAAGTTGGAAGTCGTGGATTTCTCGCGCGTAAAAGACTGGTTATATAATGATAAAGCTGTGGAAGGACAAAAATCCATTGTCGTCTAGTCCGGTTTAGGATACCTGGCTTTCACCCAGGCGACCCGGGTTCAAATCCCGGCAATGGAAATAAACCTTATCTATTTTTGCTTTTTTGTTTTTAACAAGGTGTCTAGGCTTCTGATTTCACCGGGTTCGTCTAGTCTATATCAGCACTCTGTAAGCTGAGCTTTTTTCCTTCAAATCTACTGAAGACCCATTTCGAATTTTCGATTTGCAAGATTTCTTTTATTCCACAAAGCCCCTAGTCTGATCCCGCACTCTCACTTCCTAAATAATTTGTATGTGATAATATGTTTTTTTTTCTCCTTTTTTTTGGGTTCAACTTCTTGCTTGTCGAATTTGATTCTTAAAATGTCTGAAATTCTTAATTTTAGTTCGGTGGATCCGCTGCCAGATAACATCATCGGCTAACTGGTACTCGTCTTGGGAATCGGAACTTGCCTGGATTACTATCTCCATATTTTTGGGACAAATCGAAGGCGATATGGTAAGCCGCCGTTTGTTTTGATTTTGTGTAATTTTAATAATTTCATTCGATTGGTTATATATTATGGGTGCTTTGCTTGTGAGTCCTTAATTCTCTTTCTTTGATAATCTACCCTGTGCCCTAACTTAAAGCTTGGTAAATTTATTTGTTGTTGGTTATGGAAAGTATAAATTTCTCCCCTGTTAATCTTCCTTTCTGGTTGGCATTTCAGTGGTCAGAACAGGATGAAACATGCTTCTTTTGTATTTATGACCATATCAAATCTGGCTATTGGTTGTGAGAGTAAGAATATGAACTTTGTTTGCTTACTAATCTATGTCTCAAGCACACCAGTTGCAGTCTAAATGATCTAGAAACTACTGGTCTTTGTATTAAACTGATGATTATTTTTTTCAATTCCTTGAATATCTTAGATGCAAAGACAACCACTGAAGTCCCCTTGCAAACCGCAGATGGAGTTGGATAGGATTAGCAACTTACCGTGTCATGTTGCAGAACGAATTCTGTCGTGTTTGCCGATTAGGGAGGCAGTGAGGACAAGTGTTTTGTCAAGCAAGTGGAGGTACAAATGGGCTATGGTTGCGCATCTCGTGTTCGATAATCACTGTCTCTCGGCTCAAAACCGAACAACTTTTGTCAACATTGTTGATCATGTACTCTTACTTCACATTGGCCCCATACACAAGTTCAAGCTTTCAAATCGAGATTTTCTAGCCACTAGTGATATTGATCGATGGATTCTTCATCTGTCAAGAAGCTCTATCAAAGAGTTCATACTTGAAATTTGGAAAGGGAATCGCTACAAGATGCACTCATCTGTATTTTCTTGCCAAGATATGACTCATTTGGAGTTATTTAATTGTTTGTTAAGACCTCCGCCAACATTCAAAGGCTTCAGCAGATTGAAGAGCCTTGATCTTCAGCATGTTACCTTGGCCCAAGACGTCTTTGATAATATGGTTGTTCGCTGTCCTCTGCTTGAGAAATTGACTGTGATGAACTTTGACGGTTTCACCCTTCTCAACATTGATGCACCAAATCTCCAATTCTTTGACGTTGGAGGTGTTTTTGAAGATGTTAATTTTAAGAATACCTTAAATCTTGCTGTAGTCTCCATTGGTTTGTACGAGCATGTTTGCAACTACCAAAGACGAGGGCCTCCTGGCAGTTCTAGCCATTTGCTCAAGTTTTTTGCTCACCTGCCTCGTATTCAAAGACTGGAAATTCAGAGTTACTTTTTAAAGGTAATTGAGGGTTGTGTAGTTTTACTTTCATTTAGTGAGCATTCACATGGCCATGAGAATTTGAGTATATTGATTGAGTTCGCTTTTTTCTATATCCTTTCATCTCCAGTTTTTGGCTATTGGTACCTTGCCAGGAAAGCTGCCTAAACCATGTCTAGTTCTGAATTATCTTTCTATTCGCATAAGCTTCACTGATTCAGATGAGATCTCAACTGCTGTATGCCTTTTGAGAAGCTCCCCTGCTCTACAAGAATTAGAAATTTTGGTGAGTTTTATTCTACTGATGCATGCAGTATTTTTCTGTTGAGTTAAAAATTTCAAACCAACTGGTCCAACTCTACTCTAGAAAATTGGTTCAGGGAGCTGTTTTATCATAAATTCCAGAATATAATACCATAGACCTTGTCCTTATGCAGGTCCGGCCAGAGGATACAACTTGTGCAGGAACGGTTAACTTTCAGTTAGATGACAACTGGAATGGTCCAATTGCCCGACTCCGCCGTGTGAAAATAAACGGCATCGCTGGTACCAAACCCGAACTAGAATTCATCAGACTTCTACTTTTAGGTTCACCTGCGCTTGAGAAGATGACTGTTAAGCCCGCTTCTGTCACCTGTGGTTGGGAGATTGTAAAGAAGTTGCTTCAGTATAGGCGCGCCTCAGTATGTGCAGAGATAATCTACATGGACCCATGACATGACTCATCAATGAGTTTTGGCAGCTACGAGGACTTTCCTGCTGAAAGGAATGTTGGTTTTGTATGAAGTATTAATGATGTATGTTTAGTTTTCTGAACAATGTCTCATGTTGGCAATGCCCTTGCATTTGTGGAATCTGGTATCCGTAAGCTCTGAGATCTGGATTAACTTGGCATGAATATTGCATAATGCATGCGATTAATAATAGCCCTTGCCTCCCTTGTCTTTTGCCATGGCAAATGGCAAGGGGAGGCAATGGCTATTACTATTCATGTGAATGGTGGCAGTCATTGCAAAAGACTGGTGTTTCCAATCATTGCCATGACAACTTCTATTCACATGAAATATGATGAGAGGAATTTGTATTAGATTTTTAGTGTGGGAAGTGAAAAATATGACTAAATATATATATATTTTTTAATCTGAAATTGTTAGTATTTTTTTAAAAAAAATTTAGATTTTAAAAAAATCTTTTTTGGTTGCTGATGTTATCGCTGATGTCAGCAAATCCGGACTAGTTTTGCCTGAGGGCTAGTCTAGACTTGTGGAGCCCACTAACAGCCCTGGCAGCATTTGTCTGCTGGAAGCCCTTTTTGGGCCTAGTTCCCCCCCTCCCCCCCCCCACCTGTCCGGGCCCGCCGGAAGTGCTCTTTTTGTTTCTATTTTTTTGGGGTCAAGCCGGAAGTGCTCTTAGGAGATGATATTTTGTAACTGTGAAGCAGCTAATTTACATCTACCAACCAACCAGCGTCCTTCTACGCCGCCGGTTGTATTCGTGTACCATGTACTATTATTACATGTTCTTTCATGTCACATCAAAAGATTTGTTGATTCCATATATTGAGAGTTTCTGTACATGGTGTTCGCTGAAGAGATTTGAAAGTCACAGGCTCAACCTACCCTTCTACACTTATAGTCAAACTTGAGCCAATAATTTAGTTAGCCACCGAACTTTTTGAGGGATATTCATTGCATGAAAAGTATAAATAATCTATTCTTTTTTTTGGGTATTTACAGTTTAGGAAGTCAGGTCTTGCTTGCACTGAAGAAATCAGAACGTGGTACAGGCACAGAAAGCATGTATAACTCATGTGAATAAGGCCTGAAAATAATTCATGTCGCGCAAAAAGCATGTGAACAGTAGGATTTATTTGTTTATTTATTGAATGGTTATGAACTTATAATAAAATGGACATGTGCGAGGGAGGGGGGAACTCTGAACTCTGTCTCTAATCCATTGGGCGGGGCCCACGTTACATTCAGAGCTGTGAGTCTGATTGGATTTCGAGACCCACAACCACAGAATTGGTGAGACGTGTGTAAAATCGGACGGCTCTAGGGCCTGTGTGGAGTGTGTCCTGCCCCGTCTGGACGTCGTATATAAGTTATAACGACCAGTCAAACTATTATCACGCATACCTTACCAACCTGCAAAATGGTAAGACAAAACGGACACGGCTCACTCACTGTGTCCGTAGCCAGCCAGTCCACCCGCAACAACCAAGAACCCCCCACAATCTCACGTCCTATTCTAAATTCTAAAAGGGTTGGGTTGGGTTGATATAACACACACACACGAAAACAAACCAATAAACCATATTTGGCTTTCTTCAGACTCTGCTCTGCAGCACACAACACAGAGTCATGGACAATAATACCCCGCTCCTCGTTTCGAACCACAGCGGCCATGAACAAGAAGAGAAAGTGGGCATTGTTAAGGAGTTCGGGATCGAGTCTAAGAAGCTATGGAAGATTGCGGGCCCGGCTATCTTCACCGCCATATGCCAGTACTCCTTGGGTGCTCTCACTCAGGTCTATTCCGGGTTCGTCGGGGATGTCGAGCTAGCCGCCGTCTCCGTCGAGAACTCCGTCGTCGCCGGCCTCGCTTTCGGTGTCATGGTAATTAATTTTCATATATGAAATTGTTTTAGCATTAATAATATCTGTAAATATTGGGAGCTAATTGATTGGTTAATTAATAACTTGGCAGCTGGGAATGGGGAGTGCACTGGAGACGCTGTGTGGGCAAGCATACGGTGCGGGGCAGATCAGGATGTTGGGGATATACATGCAGAGATCGTGGATCATTTTGCTGGTAACAGCTTGTGTTTTGGTGCCGGTCTATGTTTGGTCGCCTCCCATTCTTGAGCTGGTTGGAGAGACCGATGAGATCTCAGAGGCCGCCGGTTCGTGTTTTTTTTAATTTCCCTTTTCTTTCCTGTTTAATATATATATATATATATATATATATATATAAATTTACTTAAGATTATATGCGAAATTAAGAAAATTCTTATCACATACGTCACGTGCAAGAAAAATATGTTGGTTTTTGTCCGTATCCGTTAAAGAAGGCTAACTATTAATTAATAATTAATAGAAGCTGGCCAACACATGGCAATTCGTTATGAAAACAAGCCCACTGAAAAAGAAAGTAATCTTTTTTTATTTAAAGACTTGTATTTGTGGTATTAATTAATCATATCATTCACTAGTTTGGCCAAATCTTTCTTTCCTTCTTTCTTTGTTTCTAGAATTGTTCATTAATTTGCTGAAAATGGGCTTGTCTCAAGGCCATCGACGCCTATAAGTCTTCCCAGCCCCAAAGCCAACTTGTTTGCCCAAAAATGGAAGTCACTTTTGCTTTGCCTTTAAATTCTCCTTGTCGGAAGATTGCCATTTAGTTTTTTTCTTCTCTGTTTTCGTAACTTCCCATTTGTGAGTTGGTACTTCTGTAAAAGTTTGACAAGTATTGGGTTCTTTATGGTGCAGGAAAGTTTGCTCTGTATATGCTTCCACAATTGTTTGCCTACGCACTCAATTTTCCCATACAAAAGTTTTTGCAAGCACAGAGGAAGGTCTTTGTCATGGCCTGGATATCAGCTGCAGTGCTAGTAATACATGCATTATTCAGCTGGTTGTTCATGTTGAAGTTTGGGTGGGGCTTAATTGGGGCAGCAGTCATGCTCAACACATCATGGTGGCTAATTGTTATTGCCCAATTGTTGTACATCTTCATCACCAAGTCAGATGGTGCTTGGAGTGGATTCTCTTGGCTTGCATTTGCAGACTTATTTGGCTTTGTTAAGCTCTCCTTAGCTTCTGCTGTCATGTTATGGTATTTTTCTACTCCTTTAAGTCCTATGGTCTATGTGAAGTACAATACTTTGGTACCATATGCTGATTAAAGTTTGCTTGCTGTGCAAAATGCAGCTTGGAATTCTGGTACTTGATGGTGCTAGTGGTTATAACAGGCCGTTTGAAGAACCCTTTGATCCCAGTTGATGCCATCTCTATTTGGTAATGTGCTTTAGTTATCTAGAAAGTTTGATAGAAAATAGTGATTTCATGGGTTTTTTCACAGAACCATGAACTTTTAGTGCTTTGACCTTACCCTCGCAACAATTTATGCAGCATGAACATAAATGGATGGGATGCAATGATTGCGATTGGGTTTAATGCTGCAATAAGGTATCTTCATCTTCTTTTTTCCCTTGTTTATTTCTTCCATCCCAATTTGTTCTGTTTTTAAACTTTTTATAAAAATAACATTCCATGTTTCATGAAAAACTAATTTACCTTGTGATGTATGTTGCAACAGTGTGAGAGTATCAAATGAACTTGGAGCTGGAAATGCCAAGATAGCGAAATTTGCTGTGGTAGTGGTTTCCGTCACTTCAGTGGCTATAGGAGTGGTTTGCTTGGCTGTAGTTTTAACAACAAGAGATTATTTCCCGTACCTTTTCACCGACAGTGAAGCCGTTGCTAAGGAAACTACTAAACTTGCACTCTTGCTTGGAGTCACAGTCCTTCTCAACAGCCTTCAACCAGTCTTATCTGGTAAATACTAAACACAAACACACAATATATGTAAAAGTAAATTTTCTTCTTCTTAACTGTTTATTGTCTTTAAATTGTTTCTGCAGGTGTCGCTGTTGGAGCAGGATGGCAAGCTCTTGTTGCATACATCAACATTGGGTGTTACTATATCGTCGGATTGCCAGCTGGAATACTTCTTGGATTCACATTTGATTTTGGAGTGGAGGTGATACAAAGTTCCTTCCTCTTTTTCTTTTTCACTTGGAAACGATATCTTATATGGGCTAATTAATTGTGTTTAGTTTCCCCCCAAATTCAATTTTTTGAACTTGCGTGTTCTGTAGGGTATTTGGTCAGGGATGATTGGTGGCATTGCCTTGCAAACCCTAATCTTGATCGTGGTCGTTTCCTTAACTAACTGGAACAGAGAAGTCAGTATTTCTTACTCAACTCTCTCTTTCCCTCTCCATCCATATCCACTCTTAGCCTCAAATCACGTTCTTTTGCTTAAAACAGATAAATATTTATTTATGTTTTATGAAATGTGCAGGCTGATGAAGCAGAGAGCCGTGTCCAGAAGTGGGGAGGAGGAGTAGCTGCACAGGATTAAATCAAAGACTAAACATAAAAATTGAAAGAGTGCCACAGCAGCCACACAGGCTTTTCTTGTCTTTGTTGCTTTTGCAGGCAACCATTGCCAATGCAGTGCAATGCATCATTGTGCTAAATCAAGATTTTGATGCTGAAACTTAAATTGATTGGTAAGAACTTGAGTGAGCAACGGTGACACACATCGCTTTTTTTGTTGTAAAAAAATTTCCATGCTAAAATGGTGCAGCATGGGCAGTGTAGTCAATTTTCAACTTTTTCACGTGACATAGATATAGCTGTACCGCTCTGGACCTGTAGTACAATTCAGGCATTTCTTGTCTTTGTTAATTTTTAGGGGAGTTTTGTTTTTGTACTTTTATTTGTTTAGCAATAAAAACCACCGCTTGTCCTAAAAGAAAAAAAAGAAGAAAAAAAAGAAAAAAGACTTAACTATTGTTTCAAATAACCGGGGCCGTCTTGAGAAAAAGGCTGCCACCATGTATAGCAAAGCCACATTTAAAAATAATATATATATATATATATATATATATATATATTACAAGCCTCTAAATTACAACAAATAAGCTAGTGACAAGATAACACTCATGGTTGATTGGACATAGTCAAGATTTTGTGAGACATAACACGACAATGAGATTGGCACCATTGATAAAACTTTTTACGGGTTATGATTTTCCTTATCTCATTATTTATTTATGGTGATTTTTTCATTTTCTTTTTGTCCACTTACACTCCTTTTTGTTTTTTTTAATACTTTTTACTCTAAAAAAAAAAAAGTGTGTAAGTGGACAAAAAATGAGTTAGAAAATAAGTTCCTTTTTTGTGTGTGAACATAATAGATTCGTAGATATGAAGGCAGATACAAGATTACACAGGAAGAACACTACCCCAGAGGAGGGTTCTTGCAGACAAGAAAGTAGAAATAAAACAATAAAAACAAAAAGTGCAAGAACAATGAGCAAAGTCCATATGTAATTAAACCCCAACTCACTCAGAGTTGAAGATGACAAGATCCATAAGAACTTAAGAACCAGTGCTGAACAGAGATCGTGTGGAAAACCAACTCTAAAGGATCCTTGGGATTGGAAACACCAAAAAGTGGAAGAGCAATTACCACTACCAAGATCAAGCAAGATCAACCCAAAAGGTTGACAACACAACCCCTAAAAGCCTTGAGGGAGGGGGGGGGGGGACAACATGATGAGGGAGAGAGAAGCCTAATTTATTAGCCGAAAGGAAATGAATCCAGGGGAAACCCCTTGGGTTCAAAAGAGTTTGCAAGATCAACCCAAAAGGTTGACAAACAACCCCTATAAGCGAGGTGGGTGGGGGGGGGGGGGGAGGGGGGGGGTCTCTACAACATGATGAGGGAGAGAGAAGCCTAATTTATTAGCCGAAAGGAAATGAATCCAGGGGAAACCCCTTGGGTTCAAAAGAGTTTGCAATAGCTTTAGGAAGGTTTTTGGGTTGAAGGAAAAGAAGAAGAAGTTATTGGTTCCTTATTTATTTCTCCTACTTCACACTTTTCTTTAAAGTCAAAAGAGTCTTTGCTATAAGGTGTTCACAATCTTGTCTTGCCATACTTCTTATGAGCTCAACTTTCAAATCATCATTTTGGGTATACAAAACAAACTTTAGATGTAAGAAAAATAGGGTAAGAAAATAGCGTATATATGGCAAGAACAATGGCGTATATATGGTAAGAAAATAGGATTTAGAAAATCTTGACATTCGTATAAGATCAGAATTATATATTAAATGGGTACATTGACATTTGGTGGTAATAAGATGCAAAATGTTAATTTTGAAGTAAGGGCATCTCCATTGCAAAGGTGTAAAGGGTGATGTAAATGACATTTACACTCATAGTTGTTGGAAGTTGCTCAAATGATAGTAAATGAATGCAAATATAGCATTTGGCCGGAAAATGTATATATAAAAAAAAGAAAAAAAAAGCGTAAATAGTTTGTATCCAATTTATTTTAAGCAAAGACTTTTCTCCACCGCGGGAAGAGGAGAGCTAAAGAAGTAGAGGTTTTAATTGACGTGATCGCATACATTCCCTTTTCAGAGTCATTTGAATTTTGCCCCTTCTCTTTTCACACTCTCTATTTTCTTATCCTTCACGGAGGAAGAGAAGAGAGGAAAGGGCAAAAGGCTCTATCTTTCTAGGGGTTTTACTTCCCCTAGAAGATTTCTCTTTTTTTCCAGGAAAATTCTTCTCTTTCTCGAGTGCTTGATCGGAGGACCGCTTCATCTTTGTTTATCTGCAAAATATTTACATCTTTTTTATACCTTTGTCGGTATTTTTGGTAGATAAACAATGGAGGATGACTATTATGTGAGCAGCGATGATGACTATTACGACGAGGACGATGATCGCAACTAGAGGTGGCATTTTAAATCGAAAAACCGCAAAAACCAACCGATAATTTACCACAATGAAACCGCAATTGCGGTAAACCGAACCGCATTTGCGGTATTAAGAACCGAACCGCATTTGCGGTTGCGGTTGCGGTATTTGATTTTCAAAACTTGCGGTTACCGCAAACCGCAAAGTATAGCCGCACGGATGATGATGTTTAATTCTACAAGGAAATGAAACATATGACAATTTATAAGTAATTAGTTTATTTATGCTTCTTCTTATAATAAAATGTACTAAACTATGTTGTTTTATTTGTAGATAACATTGGTGTTCAAACAACACAATGAAGTTCTTCAAATCCACTCACCACCAACACTTAAGTTTGTAACATTGGTGCATTGCATTTTCCTTTTAATTTGTAACTTTAATTAACTTTGAATTGGATTTTTCTTTTTGGTTGTAACTTTAATTCATTTTGCTTTGCATTTTCCTTTTGATTTGTAACTTTAAAGGATTTGGAATTGGAATGCTTGAGAATTTTAACTTTAATTGGAATTGTAACTTTAATTTTCTTAGGTTGTGAATGCTTGAGAAGTTGAGGAGATTGTGAATTTATATGTGCTTGAGAAATTAAGGTTGTGTATTTATTTATTTAGGTTATGAATTTATACCCCTAATCGCAACAACATGGAGCTGTTGGAATACGTTGAGAATTATGAGAGTCTCAAGCTTGAGGCTCCGACGAGTAAGGTAGCGATAATTTGTAGCTTCGTTGTAAATTGATCGACTAAATTTGACTGTGTCATTGTATATTCTATCACAATTTTCTACAGTTTTTCGTTTCTTCAAGTTGATTTTTTTGTTTTAAAATTTCAAGATTTTTCGAAGTAAAATTCATTTCTTTTTTTCCGCCAACCAAAAGGGAAGCCTGGTTCCTGGTTGATGAGAATGTGATTGTCGTGAAGTTTCGAAAAAGAAAAATGTGTCTTTTTAGCCAAACTGAGGCAAAGAATTTTAATGCAATTCCTCCAGATGTCACTTGTGGAGTAACCATAGTATACACTCAAAAATTTCGATGCCACATCAATTATATGGAACCTTTTATTTTCGGTAAGAAAATTATTCCCTATCCGATATCTACTTCACATATAACCTGAATATAACACAATCAAACTATCCAGTAAAAGGTTATTGCTTACACCACAATGCGTGGCTAACATCTGAATCGAATAAGAAGTTTTTCTTTTGGCCGTAGTAACTAACTATTCATATTGATTCAATTCGACATTTTCAAATCGATTTTTCATCGGAAGCTATAATATTTGGTAACTCAAAAATTAAACATTCTTAGCCTTTGCAATTGCAACATACTTTGAGCTACAAACTTAAAACCAGAAAATCAAATCCCAAGCTTTTAATAAGTACCCTCACAGTTTTATATCCAAGGCTAAATCCAAATAAAACTATGCATAATCGGACTTAGCTAAGCTAAACCAATGAGTCAAACAAATCAACTAAACAAACCAAACAAAGAAAACAATCATTTCCATATATTTCTTCAAGTTACCATATAGATTGTACTGAGCGATCTCCTCCACTATGTCATCCGATAACTGACTCGGCGAGTCAGATCGGAGCGAAACAGACTGGTAGCTTTGGAGTTTCAATGCCAATTTTGAGATACGAATTTGAATTTCGAGCTGGAGAAGACGATAATAGAAAGAGAACAAAGCAGATGATGAAATTTTTTGGCCCTTTTCCGAAGCTTTTTCGAATTTTATTTCTCTCTCTACGAAATTGGAGGTATGGAAGCTTATATTCAAAAAAGGGAGAAGGGCAATACCGTCATTTTACTGTGGTGCTGAATAGGACAAAAAGAACAAAGAACATAAGTAGGGGGCAAAACCGTCACTTCACTATTCCTAAGCTACAGCCTATGAACAGTGAATTCCCGAACTCAGTTTTAGTATATACTAGCAAAGGCACCCGCGCCATGCTGCGGGTTTTGAAACCAAATTGCATTCTAAAAGACGTTTGAGAAAAATCATATTTTAAAAGAAGAGTTGATAAATTTTCTTTAAAATTGAATCATAATTGAAGACAATTATGAGAAAGGAAACTTTGCCCAAATTCAATGCAATCAACTACCACTTAATATAGAGAAATTGAGTGGGGAAACAAGTTGCGAACAGTGAAATATTATGTATATAATGTGCACATTAATGAGATGAATGAATTGAAAAGGAAAGAGCATAAACTTTGATGTGGAAGTAGGAGAGGCAATTTTGGAACTGCCTTGGGCTTTTTTCTTCTTCAAACCGATAATTAGCAAATTGTCAGAATCTCACACATTTTCTTCTCTGGTTTTATGTTTATCATCGGCAAGACAAACACTTTCATAAGAGATTTCTATACCATTTGAAATGGCAAAACTATGAGCTTCTTGCATCATCTGATTTTGTTTGCTATCCCTAGTCCTTTTACGCATTATGCACAGAAATTTAAAACCCCAAGCAACAGATTGATAACTGGAAAGGAGAAAAAACATGCATTTATAAAATTTTAAATTATCAATCACACCTAAACTGTAATTACGCAAAGCAAATGCACCGTGATATTGACAGAACCACAGAAATTAGAATTTTCAAATGTCATAATATTTGGCAATCAATAAGCTACAGCCACCATGCATGCAGTCTTTTTGAAAAATGGATGAAACACTAACCTGTAGTCAAAGAAGCTATCAAGCACTTCGAAAAACAACGACACAACAGCTATCTAAAATACAAAGACAGAAAAACAAAATTAGGCTAATAAATATAATTTTGGTTTTGCTTGTGAGATAAGATAGTCTCAATTAATGAATCTGTTTCAATACTGATTTTCGTATTGAAGAATATCAAGAACCAACAGAAACTATTTGTTACATTTCCTTTTCTTACACAAACAAATAAAAACATGAAAATATGACAATACGAATCGAAAACTGGTTTCTTTTCAAATTCCTTGAGAGGAAAATCACATGTTAATTGGTTGAAAAGTAACCAACACCATAAAGAGAAAACCAAATAAACACATCACAACTCATTTCAAAATCCATATGCATGCAAGACAGTGTAGACCAATACCAAATGTTCTGTAAAAAATAAATTCGATAAAACCAAACATTGACCAAACCCTATATAATTAGTTAAGCCAATGTGATCAATTTGTTTCTGGAAATTAGTTCAATGGCCCATAATTGTGACTTGAAACCAACCATTTGCAGAGAAGCAACTTGAAATAAAATTAAGCAACAATCAAAAGAGCAAAAAATAAAGACATAGGGCTCTGAACAACCTGGTGATCCCCAATTGGAGCATTAGTGCCACATATGCTACATCTTTGACAGTGTTTTGATATATAGCCAACCTTTTTTAAGAATAAAATATCATTCTCATTGTTAAAAATTGATGATCTTTTCCCACTTTAAAGTTATTTCCACTATGATTGAAAACAAAAAAAAACATTTATTAAGAAAAAGTTCTTTCACTAATTGTATTGCAATGGAGATGCTACACTGTCTATTAAAAAACTATTAGATGTTGCATTTGAAATAAAGAGTATACATTGCTGATTATAATGTCATGCTTTTTAATAATGTGTTCTTTAATTTGAATAACTTTGATGCATAATAATCAAACACCGTGTAGCTGATTTACATAGGTTCTTATTAAAAAGTTAATGTATATATTCACAGGGGATGCTTTGATATCAAACTTGCATACCAAAAATTCATCATTAAAAAATTAAGAACAGTACATATGCCTAAATGATCAACACAAATGGGAAATTGATGCCATTGGCTAAAGCAAAATGGAAAACAATTAATTTCTGCCAATTAATTTCAACCAAGAAATTTGCTTCTTGCTTAACAGAATCAAAAGCAGGAACCTAAACGCTCTATCCAAACCAGTAAAATAAGCCAACACTTTGAGAGCACTGCATAGTTTACAACATCTAAGTTTTCTTTTTGGTCATTGGTGGAAATTTCACTATTCATTGTAATTTAGCTATTTTTGGTTAATAAATATTTTGATGCCATTTAGTGAAGAATTTAGAACAGATGCTAAATGTAGATGCATCAAGTATCAAACCGGTGGAAGATTTTGAGTAACTTGTTACAACTCAACAACATTTTCCTTGGCACTAATGCATTCAATATCGATGGACTTTAATTTAACTCAGGCTTTTTCAGGTTTTTGTAATTCTTTTAGGCATCATATTCAAAAATTACAACTTCCAACCAACACATGGATGGCTGGAAAGGAAAAAATAAACATGGATGAGTTAAATTACAATATTTTTATTACATCTATATCCTAATCAAGCAAAATGGACGCACACCAACAGTATTGTAGCTATATAAATAAAAAATTTCAAAACAAACATATGAAAACGGATTAAATACAATTTCTATAGCCTAATCAAACAAGCCATATAAGCAATAACATCACAATGATAGAAATAACAATTTTCAAAGACACAATATCCAAAAACCAATTAGCCACAGTTGATATGCAAGACTTCTTCAAAAGACGAATAGAAAACTGACCTGTTGTCTAGCAGCAATGGGAAGAGCTACCAAACAGTCTAAAAAACAGTTATACAGCACCTGTAAAAAACGCAAAAACCGAAAATTCAGTTTCTTCTTCTCATAAGGCATATAATCCTTTTTTTGCGTTTGAAAATTGTTGAAGTCTATTTTTGTACGGTTGCCATCTTTCTTTAGGACTTGAAGAAAAAATAAGAAGCACACACTTATCCCATCCAATTGTCAATTGACACTTATCCCAACCAATTATACATGCACAATTTTTTCATAAAACCAAAACTTTAGCATGAGCAAAATCTGCAAGGCAAGAAATCACTAAAGATTACCCAAATTAATGTGTTTTGGGCAAAGAAAAACACTGTAAAAGCACGGGAAAATGTCTGTTTAAATGATCTAAATGTATATGAAACAAAGAATATAAGGTCCAAAGTTACTGGTCTAAACAATCAAAAGTTACCCTAAACAATCAAGATTTTTTTATATATTTTTCAATTCCATTTTTCTGTTTTCCCTTTTCCCCCTTTAAACAGATATCAAAATCTCATACTCTAATTCAACAATTGAGTCATCTCAAAGTCTTTTCTAACAATCTAAAGATCAAGCTCCAATTTGTACTAAACATATATGCCTAAAAATCAACCCAAAACATCAATCAAATGAAACCAGAGGAAGCTACATCTCATTTTTCATGTTTGAAAAGCTCCCTTAAAAAAACAAAAAAAATTCAAAATATGTTTTTCTAGTCCCAAAACTGTCCAAATATGTTTTTCTTTGCAGTGTTTTTATATGAGATGCCTAAATTTTGTTACCTGCTGGCAATATAGGCGAGCTAACAATTGTACTTGGAGCAGTCAACATTGGCATCTTAATGATAAAATCACCTGAAAACACGACCCTTTACACATTAAAACACACAGATATATACCTAAATAAAAACACATGCTTATTAATTAAGATTCAATTAAACGCAATTGAAGAAAACTATGAGCAAAATTTATCCAGTGAAAACTCAATAAACAGGGAGATATTGGTTTTAAGGGGCCTTATCACATCATAGTTTGAGATATGCAACAGATTTCTTAGGTTCCGACTTCTGATCTCTTTGCACAATGTGATTGTTAGTTAACCAAAAACAGCCTTTTAGTTATTGAGTTTTGCTTCAAGCCATCAATTCTCAACATATCAATTCATACTCATCATCATCATCATCATCATCATCATCATCATCATTTCTTGTCATCTCATTTCATCATCATAAAACAAATTTGATTATATACTCAATTCAACATTATCATATATCAAATTGAAAAAAGCAACATAGATTCACAAACACACATGCACATAGAACTATAAATTCACCTGCAGTGTGGCTGTTCCTAGGAGTATTAATGAGAAACAAAAGACGACTGCACCAGCAATACCATATGAAAGCACCCGATTCTAAAGTTCAAAGTTCAAACAGAGCGAACTTTTCATAACCATGAATTACCAGAGAGCTTTGGTTGTTAAAAACATCTTTTAAGTAAAGATTTGAGAGAACATATGGGCCACAGAATTTGAATGCTAAAGAGGTTTTGTAAAATACCTGATACATGATTGGCACTTTGAAGTACTTGAAAATCATAACAAAGACAAACAGATTGTCCACTGATAAGCTTTGCTCCAGCAAATACCTGAAAAGTCCTAACATTCAGCACACAGCACACAGCACAACAGGCAAAAGGCCAGATTCATAGAAGAGTAGAATTGCATAAGTACAAAAGGCGAAACTCCTAGGCATTGCCTTGCCACGTTGTTCAGATTACAAATTGAGGCAGATTTTAAAAGAAATTTACCTCAACCCAGAACGGAAAACAGCCAAAGCAAACAAACTGAGGCAGAGCACTGCAAAACCCACAAGAAATTGATGAGGTTTCGAATTCTATTTTACTCCAAATATCCAGGAAAAAAAAACCCCAATCAAATTTATCAAATAACAACCAAGAATAGAACAGAGAAATAAGAATTTCAAAAACACTACCTGTGGGTGTTTGAGAGAGAAAAATCGAGAGCGCGAGCAAGGGAGAGAGAGAAAGGAGGAGGAGTGGTCGCCGTAGCCGGTGGTTGGTGGTTGGAGGAAGATGGAACCGGAGCAGCTGTAGAGGGGGATGAAGGAAGCGAAGCAATGGTTAGGTGAAGAATGGAAGCCAAAACTGAAGTCGGTGAACTATGGCTGTGTAAAACAGTCGAAGCCTCCAGTGTAGACATCGAAGAACCAACAGCTATCCCATTTTACCCCTAAAGCTCTCCAACCAGCTAGTTCAAATCCAACCAGACACCTCTCAATCCTAAACAGCCCCTAGTTACATCCCAAAGAAAGAGAGGGCATCCAAGGGCAAAACCGAGATTTTACTGTGCAAAGGGAGAGAAAAAGCTGGCTGAACAGTTTAAAATGAAGGCATTTTTGTAAATGCACTGTGCTTAGCTACAGTGTTTAGTTGCATTGGGTTTTAGTATATATAAATATATATAATATAATGTGCTGTGAACATAGAGGATCTTATTAAACTAAGTGATGTGATGGTGGAGCACGGTCTTGGTCCAAGCTGATAACAGCAACTTTTCTGCATGCACAAAATGATAAAGTTGTCATTACTGACGATCCAAACAGATTCATATGGATAATATTGACGCCATAGGAAGGAAAACTTAAAACCCAGAAGAAGAGAGAATGGCCTCTTGAGGCATAGATTTGTTTCTGTGTAGTCTCTTTGGTTTGGGCTTTACCCCCTATGTTGCCAAAGAAAAAAACCAGAAGCGGAGGTGAAAATTTACCTTCCAATGAGTTGGAGAAACTGAGACATGCCATTGCAGTAGGTGGTCTTCCCTGACCCAAGTGGACCAATCACCACTTGGCCAAAAACCATTTTCACTTCATCTTCGTTTTTTTTTCTGTTAAAACTTCGTCTTCTTCGTTTATGTTGTCGAGTGGGTTCCAAATTGAGGAGGCTAGGGCTTGAAATTTGGGGGCGGGTAACTGTAGGAGCTTGAGGTGGCCAAAAAAGTACATAACAATTAGGGCGCATTTGTTGCTCAAAACTTTGATTTTTCTTAGAAACAGGAAGCTTTAAGATTCAAAAACTTGTTTAGCATGCAACTTGAAAATCTTTATATATATAAAGCAAATTTACATAAAATAAAAGGGGGCATTCCGAGAATCGTTTTCTTAGAAACATAAAGCTTTAAGATTCAAAAACTTATTTAGTATGCAACTTGAAAACCTTTATATATATAAAGCAAATTTACATAAAATAAAAGGGGGCATTCCGAGTTCATATATATAAAGCAAATTTACATAAAATAAAAGGGGGCATTCCGAGAATCGTTTTCTTAGAAACATAAAGCTTTAAGATTCAAAAACTTGTTTAGTATGCAACTTGAAAACCTTTATATATATAAAGCAAATTTACATAAAATAAAAGGGGGCATTCCGAGAATCGAACTCGGGACCTCTCGCACCCAAAGCGAGAATCATACCACTAGACCAAATGCCCTCTTTGTTAATTATCTACATAAAAGTATGTTTATACCACTTTAGTGTGAAAGAATCTCTAATTAAGCCCATGGACCATCTTGGTCCATTCAGCATATCCCGGGGCCCATTGCTCTGTGTTGGGGAGGACTATGATTACAGTTTTGGAGACGCTTTATGTCACCACACTTTCATTCACATGGGATGGGATGAGTCCTCCTAATAGACAGCACAAGCTTTTGCAGATAATTATGACTTTGCATGTAAATAATTTAAATGTTGAGCTGCTAATAACTGGAGGAGGGGCCCATATTGGCAAAATATAGCTCACATTACGGCAACGCAAAAGTCAATGTGGGGCACCCATGGAAGCGTGGAACATGGAACGGAGCTGTCTGTTATTAAAAATTGTGGTTTTTCCTTCTTTTGTAAAACTTTTGTAATTAAAAGAAAATATATTTTCCTTTTATAAATAATATATAAAATAAAGATTAAATAGTAAAGTAAAATAAAGAGACAAATAAATAAATAAATAAAAGACAAGATTAAGAAAGCAAGCTTAGTATAGTGAAAGCACGTCAAAGACGCTGTCTTAAAGCCTTTGTAGCTTCCCTACGTGCAAGTAATGACGGTCTACAAGACTCCAAGATACGACCCCAATACACAGGCTTAAGGTCCGCTATGAGCACGTTCACAGTCGGATAGAAATTTCCAAGCCACAGAACCGTTGCCCAAAAATAATATAGAAAATATGGAATATATGAAAGTATGAGAATAGAGAAATCTGATTGTAGTGTATTGAAATGTGAAGGAGGAGAGGCATTTTATAGGCATCCAAAACTCGTAACCTCCAGACACATTTAACCAGAAAAGTTGGTGGCAATGAATAGAAAATAAAAACTGAAAATTAAACAATTTGTAACTCCTATAATAAATAAAAGAAACAGCCAAAAATTAAAACAGAAAATAAAACGTTTTCAAATTTAAAATCCTTTCAAATAATAACACTGTCATCATAATAGAGTGCGGTGGAAGAAGGTAAAAGAATTAGGTTAAACAACTGATGCCTCATCATTTCAGACTCGTGCAATGTTACTTTGCCCATGATTTTTCTCATACATGTTTAGGTGAATTAGTCAAAATAAGCTAGGGAATTCACCATAATGGATATGTTGTTAGATCGTCAATCAAGTAAATTCGTGTTCGATGTAAAACAGTGTAATCATGGAGGAGCAAAGATATGTTTGAGAACTGAAGCAAGCAAGCCAGCTAGGCAATGGGTTGATGAAGTGATGGCATTTGATGGCATGGAGCATCAAACTTATGATAATTCAAGTCATTTGATGCTTCAAGTTCATTTTTTTTATAAAGGGTTTTCAGGTGTTACCCATCCAAACATGTATCCCACTTATTAGTGTCCCACTCCTAATTTAGCTTGAAACTTAATTAAAGCAAACGAACTTTATTTATAGTGACTTTCTAAATACCCCAACTGATCAACTAATAGATTGGGCCATCCATGTTGGCCAGGCCAGCTATTAATTTTGTAATGAAGTCAGCAAATTTGGTTTATATCCCTTTTGAATTTCCAGCTACCATCTCATAATGCTGAAATCAATTAGGAAAAAAAGAAAGAAAGAAAAAGCAAATGCATGGTTTATATGAAATGTAACGTATGCCTTTGTTTTCATTTGGAGGACAGGGGAAGCTAATTAAGAAAAAAATATCTAACAGACAGTGAGTGGTAGGTGGGTGCTTGGAAATGGGACAACATGATTGCTAATTGCAGCTAACTTTAATCATATTCATCCGCAGTTGTGCTTTTGGTCTCTGCAATCCCCTGCAACCCACATATTTTGATCTCTCTTATTCATTTTTCTGATCTCCTTCAGTTTTTCTTAGAGAGAGAAGAAGGAGAGAATAGTGTGAACAGGAAGAAGTCATGGCATTTGCAGGAACAACCCAGAAGTGCATGGCTTGTGACAAGACTGTGTATCTGGTTGATAAGCTAACAGCTGACAACCGTATCTACCACAAAGCCTGCTTTCGATGCCACCACTGCAAGGGAACCCTCAAGGTAGTACATATATCTTACATTGTTTCACTAACTTAAAGACTTAAAATAAGACTATGTTTCTTCAGAATTCCCATCTGTATGATCAAGCTACTTTCTTTCTTGTTTAGAGTAGATACCCTTTCTCCTTTGGCCTAAAAGAAAAAACCTTTTAGCTATTGACAACGACCTGGTAGATGTTCTTTCTTGTCCAGTTACAATGGAAGTCTTTTGCTTATCAAATCTCACCTGCATCTTGATATTACAGAATCATAGATCAGACACCCAAAACTTGATATGTATATGTATAGTTCAAACCCAAGAACAGAACTAGATCAGTTTCCACATTGGCAACCTTATCATCTACTAGTTACTCTGGCATTGCTCTATCCAAGAATTATTCTTTATAGATATATGATTTAATCTTCATCTGTTGGCTGTTGCCCATATGATGATTCATCTCTCACAACAACATACATGTTCTTGAAGTACGTTTTAAAATTAAAATTTAATTCTAGCTTCCACATTTTTGGTTTTCATATACAACTCCATTGACCAAAATATCATTTTGCAGCTCAGCAACTACAATTCATTTGAGGGAGTGCTGTACTGCAGGCCACATTTTGATCAGCTCTTTAAAAGAACTGGCAGTCTTGACAAAAGTTTTGAAGGTAAAACTAAAAATTCACCAAATTCTCTCTCTCTCTCTCTCTCTCTCTCTCTCTCTCTCTCTCTCTCTGTGGGCTAAAGGGCAAATTCTGTTTCATTTTCCTTTTCAGGGACACCAAAAATTGTAAAACCAGAGAGACCTGTTGATAATGAGGTATATATTCCCCAGAAATTTAATTGCTTTAATATGGATTATACAAGTCCTTAATATCTGCTCATCATCTTGATGATAATCTGTTTTAACAGAAACCTGCAGTAGCCAAAGCTTCAAGTATGTTTGGTGGAACCAGAGATAAATGCTTTGGCTGCAAGAATACTGTTTATCCAACAGAAAAGGTAAGACCAACTTCTGAAATTATCATTTCTCCCCACATGCTGTTATCAACAAAGAAACCTAACACTTAAATATTTTGAGATTGATCAATAGGTTACTGTGAATGGAACTCCTTACCACAAGATGTGTTTCAAATGCTCACATGGAGGTTGTACGATCAGCCCATCAAACTATATTGCGCACGAGGGCCGACTCTATTGCAAACACCACCACACCCAACTCATCAAGGAGAAAGGAAACTTAAGCCAGCTTGAGGGTGACTATGAGAAGAACACCGTCGATGAGAATGCCAGTGCCAGAGAAGTTGCTGCCGATATATGATACAAAGAATAAATAACTTTTTTTCCCCTTAGCATCCCTTCTTTTTGTGGTGTTGCTGTCCCTGATACAGATGGAGTCCTATGTATAATTGACGTGTGTGGGTTCATTCATTTGCTGTTTTTTAGTTTTGCTGTGAGGTTGTGAATGCTACAATGAGATGCCGAAACCTATTTTCAACTAGCCCCTTTCCTAAAGACCCAAATGAGGCTTTTTTTTCCTCCTCTTATTGTGTTCTTGTTGGCTTTGAATAAATGTTGAGAAGTCTCATTGTTCTCTCTGTCTTACTATGCAAGCTCTCTAACACCAAAAGAACAGTTCTTATTCAAGCTGAGTGGTCTTAAATTGAAAGTGAGAATGAGGATCTTGAATCTTTCTACACTTACTGATAAGCTCTGCGAAAAATTGTAAGTTTGTCTTTAGGACTTGAATTCTCCTATTGAGTAGTCATCAAAAGTCTTGGTGGAAATGGATAGTGCAGTCCTATCTAATGCCTTACACTGTACTCTAAGATCCGATCTCAATGTATTTTCTTATAAAGTGACACATGTGTATTGCAGGTATGATTGCATTGAGAATGATTTGCTGGGTTCCCTCCAGCGGACAAGACACAGTATTGCTCCTTACAATTCCAATGGCGTGGAGAAAGCTTCAGAACTTACGGTTTCTAGGGACACCACCACCTCCAACTCTGAATTTGATTTGGCCACCAATGGTATGGATATTTCTTACATTAAGTAGGAGCTTTCCAGTCTTATGTAACATACGTCCTTGTTCATGTTCTTATTTACTTTTTATCATAGTTGACTAGAAGAGAACTTGGAGATAAATAACAACAGGTCTCTCAGAAGCTGCTGAAGCATGCATAGAGGAGTAACAGAACAGAATGCCTGAAAATGTGATCTATAAGAGGTGGTTTCGCAGTGGTGCTCATAATGTATATGTATCCTTGCATTAGGGTGGTCTGTTCTCGTTACCAACTTAATTTTGCCATTTAACCCCATACTTAGGAACTAAGCTATCTTTGATCAGATTTTTTGAACTTCATAACCTCGCATCTTTTCTCAGTTGTTTTCCATGAAAGTTGCTGTACATAGCCTATCTAGAGGTACGTGTGCTGATGCTACAGATTGTATTCATTTTTCCGAAATGAAATAATGACTTTATACATCACACAAACAGAGATGTCTTCTCTCTTTTCCCGCTTCTCTTTCTGAATTTGATCTATGAATGATGAAGTAGCCGCAGTGAAAAAAATGGCCGACTTTAGACCCCTGCTGTAATGTTTCTGTGCCTCGCGCTACTTTTTACGCATACATGTGTGCATTTTTTTTTTTTTTTTTTTTTTAATGCATACATGATGATTCTTATTCAATATTTTTAAATTTTAAAAAAATCCGACTTTATTTAATGATCTGTGTAGCTTTCTTAGTGGATCAAGGATTTCACCAGTACATCACCCTTCCGAGAAAGAATTCCAGGACTTTACATTTGTCCTGATTAATTTGTATTTTTTTTTTCATTTTTTCTAAATATAAAGAGACAACTTTAAATAAATAAATAAAAAACAATTGGGCTCTCAGATGTCATGAGTGGCCCAATCTTTGATTTATAAATAAATATTTAGTTTACACATAGTGTAGGGCAAGTCCCTTGATGTTTCTTCCTTTTTATGTTTTCATTTTTGTTTTTCAGTAGTAAAAGTAAAAGAAGAAAGGCGCAATTCATTTTTATTTGTAGTAAAATGCTCCACCGCCAAATTTTGATGTGGAACAATTCATTTTCCATTTACTTATAATTGTCGGTACCGCTCTATATCTCATGGGAAAACTGAATTTACTTTCTTTATTTTCAGGGTTACATGAGAGGCCTAAGCTGAAAACAGAAATTACATTTTTTCTTTTATTCCCTTTAGTAAGTGACTTTTGCATCTTTCGTAAACAGATTGACGAAATGCTTGATTAGATTAACTCAACATAATTATGAAATAAAATCAGGAAGAAGAAATTGAACTTGAGCTAAACTACAAGATCAAAAATGTGCAACATGTCCAACTGTTAACTACTTAATTTCTGGATCAATGTTACACCAACGTTCAAATCTCAATTCAAAATAATGAAGTCGATTATTTTTGTAATTATTAAGAGATAATGAAGTAGTTGTGATTGTAAATGTGAGTTGGCTCACAACAATGAGTCTGCACTTATGTTCGAATTTTTCTTTGTAAATTATATTAGTTTAGAGTAGTTTATACACCATCATTTATATTATATATAAAAAGTCACCCTTTGATGGGCTTCCTTCTTTGTGTCCGGATATACTCTTGGAATCTGGGCTTGATGAAACTAGAGATCTTAGGCTAGTCACAGGGTGTTGACCAGTGCCAAGAATATTAAACGGTCCACTCCTTCTGTTCCTTTTAGCCCAGGCCAGTATTGTCACACTACCACTTGCTTCGAGAATTTTCAAAATAAGACGTGGCAGCTTTTCTTTTATTTTATTTGTTTTTATTTTTTTCATGCACACTTTTATAGGAATCCTGGTCCAACAAGGTCTGGACACGTGTCAGTTTCCTTTTATTTTTCTCTATGCGACTGTGTATAGGAATCCTGGTGCAACACGGATTGCGAGTCTTCGCACAAAAACCACGTGGCAGATTTTATTTTTTCCATCCAAAAGGAATCCAGTTCCGACAAGGCGTGCGCGTCCTCACCACCACAAATATAGAAAGTAATAAAATAAAAAAAGAGAAAGTAGCGTTGATTTCAAGTCATTACAACCGACCAAGAAAAACCGCGTCGACAGCTCATCACTATCCGTTACAACTTACACATCCACCGTCTATTATTTCCATCACCGGCTTAATCTTGGCCGTTCATTCCGACCCCATCTCCTCATAAATACCCTTCAGACGTTCTCACAAATCATTCTGCTGGTCCCCGAACGAAAGGGCGATGGCGATCAGGTTTCGTTTTGTGTAGATTATCGGATTTTGTTGATTCGCTTCTTCTGTTTGGGTTTGATTCTTGATTTAGATATGGATGGATGGGTTTGATTCTATGATTTAGATATGGATGGATTAAGTTTTGTTTATCGCTATGCTTTAGGGTTTGGTGATGGATTTTGCTACCGATTAAAAGTGGAATCTAATGACCGTTGAAGGTTGTGACGATATAAAGAACCAGAGGTTGTGTATATTTGCAGGCTTGTTTTATTGGTTCAGATGAGACCCAAACAAGATTGGCCTGATGGTGAAGTAGGTGTTTGGTATGAAACTGCTTTGAATTCGATTTGGATCTTCTAGTTGTTTTGTATAGATAGAATTTGTTGATTTGAGGCCGAAATTCATCTTTATTGATATGCTTATGTGTTTTGATTGGCCCGATGGTGATGACTGCCAGGGCATCTAGTTCTGCTTGCGATTTGATTTGGACGGAAAACCGCATGATTTTGTTCTGAAGTTTAGAATATAATGATTTGGAAATTTCCCTCGTTTTTTATCAGTCAAATAAGCGGAGCTTTGCTGTTATTTTTCAGGCCTCGTTTGCGGTGTTTGACACACGAGGGTTAGATGTTGTGGTTAGCTGATAACTCCATCGGTTCTTATGGGATCTGATTGGATGGCTATGAGGTTGGATTTTATACTTATTTGCGGATGCAATGGAATGTTGAATATCAAAATTGTCTATCTGGATCTATTGATTTGCAGGAGATAGTAATCGTGTTCCGGATTTGAGCTTATGTCTGCACCTTTTCAGTCTTTGGAGTCCATTTGTAAAGGTTTTCATTGGTTTGCTGCATATGGATTATTGTTTTTGGTTACGTGCTTATTCTTTTACAGTTTGTCAAAATGTGCGTCTTTATATATCTTTCAAGTCCCTGAAATTTGTAAGTAATATCATGTTTTATGTCCTCCTCCTTTTCCCTATAATCATGCCGAACTTTCTGCTCTTATATTGACATACTAAATCCAGAATTCGTGTGGTACATTGTTAACCACCTTAGTTCGTAGCCTTTCATTTCGATGTGTTTCTTGTTTTTTGGGTATGCTCTAAACGGGTTTTTATGTCCTCAATTTTGGCTTTCTATTGATTTTCTCAGTTGGAATGAAAGGGTCTATTTTAATTTCTTCTTATCTCAAAGATATAGTAATTGTTTTTTCAAAGATATAAAATTATTCAATGTATGTGATCAATAAATTTTGCTTTCTATAAAATTGTTTTCTCTCAGTTGATTACAGACCCCGAGTATTTCTCACTTACCTCTTTATTCCCATGTATTTGATCAATAAATTTTGCTTTATGGTCTTTAAGCTATTAATAATTACAACCAAAAGTGGTTTGGCGCTTACCTTTTAGTGTTATGTTTTTTTAAAGTTTGTTCATTTCTATGGTTGTCATTGCATATATTTGGGCTTCGAATTTGTATAGCAGTGTGGGTAGGTATGTCTTGATTAGGGTTTATGACACTTTAATCACTAATTTGTGATTAAAGTGCTTATGGAGACTAAGTTGGATGGAGCTAAAAGTTTATGACACTTATGGGGAGCTATTCTGGCTTGGTTAACATGTTAAATCTTTTTCTTTTTAATTTTTTTTAATTTTTAATTTTATGTGAGTTCCTCTCTCTCTCTCTCTCTCTCTCTCACCCCAAAATTAATATAAGGTACTATGTATTTTTCAGGTTTCTTCTGTTGGTTTTGAATTGGCATACTGCCTAAGAGGGGGTTTAATGCTGTTTCCTTTCGTTTCCCATTTAATTTTTTTATTAAATTTGGTGTTTATATTTTAGCAATATCTTATGTAGATGCAACCTAATTTTTGTCTTAGGAACAAAGTTTCACCACGGGGTAACGGTTTGAGAGCTCAAAGCCGCTTGTTTTGTTTGTTCCCCTTCGTTGGTTTCATATTTTGTTACTTGTTCGATATCGTGAATTATGTGGTCTGTCTTTACATTGGTGTCTTGCTTTAGTCCACATTATGTAGTGATTATCAGGATTTTGAGCAGTTCCTGTTGTTACCTTGTTTGCTGATTTTTTTGCAGGAATTTGGTTTTAACGCCACAGTTAATGAAGGAATTGGAATTAGGTTATTGGGAGAACATGTTAAATCCTTTGTCTCAAGTTTTTTAAACTTTTATATACGTCTCTCTCTCATTCTGTCTATTTCACTCCTTAATTAATATTATGTATTATGTATTTTTCAGGTTTCTTATGTTGGGTTTGAATTGACTTACTAGCTAAGAGGGGGTTTAATGTTGTTGCCTTTTGTTTCCCATTCCAGAAATTTATTACATTTGGTGCTGTTTTTTTAGCAATATCTTATGTAGATGCACCTTAATTCTTGTCTTAGGGACAAAGTGGGGGCACTGGTTTGAGAGATCAAGGCCACTGGTTTTTTTTGTTCACCTTCCTTGGATTTGTATTTTTGTCATGTGTTCAATATCTTGAATTCTGTGGTCTGTCTTTCCATTGATGTCTTGCTTTAGTCCACATTATGTAGTGATTATCAGGATTTTGAGCAGTTACTGCAGTTGCCTTGTTTGGTGATGGTTTTATTTCTCTTATTTCTTTTTAAACTTTTATACAACTCTCTCTCTCCCTCTCTCTCTCTCTCTCTCTCTCTCTCGCTCTCTCTCTCACCCCTAAATTGGTCAGGTATTGTGTTTTTCAGGTTTCTTCTGTTGGGTTTGAATTGACTTACTACAATAAAGGGGGTTAATGATGTTGCTTTTTTGTTTCCCATTTCAATTTTTTATATACATTTTGTGTTGTTATTATAGCAAATATCTATGTAGTTGCACCCTAATTCT